GTGATTTTCGAGTTGTATCATCGAAGAGATAGGAGCCTAATTTAGTAATATTTCCTTTGACTGCGGTTGGTACTGTTGGCCAGCCTTCAGTGTGGAGATGACACACAGTTTTCATTTAATGTTATATATATATATATTGTATTGCAGGGCAAGGCTTTGTCTGTGATTGGTGGTGTGAATGCAGTAGCTGGCAAGCTGCATGAACTGATATCTGAACTATGTGGTGGCTCAAACTACACTGGTCTGTGTTCTGGATTTCGATCTGCCCCAGATGTTGGCAGCCGCCTCAGTGCCAAGTTAACAAACATCACAAAGTTGAATGGATTTGGTATTAGCAATGGAGAAGGCACTACAAACATCGTGTTCTATGTGTACAGTCAGGGCTGGAAGCAGGTAGATTAAAATTAGTTGTTTCTTGCTTTGAGAACTGTATAGTTCATACATTTTATTACATATTTTTCGTCGATTTATGACCTATGCAACTTACCATAATCCGCACATACAAACACAGAAAATAAATAAAAATAGTGAATAAATAAAGATAACCACATTAGTAGCGTTAAAAAAAAGTTGAAGGAACTGATGCAATAGAATATTATGTATTTTTCACTTTATGTTCAATAATCTTACATACATTGATTGGATTTTTGTTTTTTATATACAAATTTTAAAACCCATTTGAAAAATAACATTGTTGAGAAATATAACTTTGACTTACGACCATTACGACATATGATCTGTTAGTCGGAACGGAACGGAAGTCAGTCGTAAGTTGAGGAAACCTTGCCTGTGTTTTTACACAAAAGCTTGGATGCTTGATCGATGGTGTTAGGTACACATCGGCAATGATGTGGATTTTTATAACTTTACTTTGGGTTCCTGGGTCTGCCCAGCCTAAAAAAATAGGTAGGGGGAAATGTCCTGGGAAGTAAAGGTGGCGGAATAATGTTGATAGCATCACCTGTCAAGTGTGATTGATAAAAAAAAAAATGAGTCTAGTACCTTAGGCTCTTTGCTCCAATTCTGTGAAAAAGGGCTCTTTATGTAAATTTTTTTTTTTAAACAATGCCATTAGAAACAAAAAGCAGAAAACAAAACATCTTGTTTATAGACAACCTAGAAATACTTGAAACACATATCTGCCTGCCTTATAATGCTATTTATTGTGTGATATTCTTTTCTTAGTTTTTTTTTAAATATTCTTTTCTAAGTTTTATTCCTATGATTCTTGATTTCCATATTCGATTATACCCACTGAGTCTTGATTTTATTAGGATAACTATAATCTTAGTCTTTTGAATTCAAATTCAGCCTTTATCTTAGTGTTTTGAATTCAAATGAACAGCTTAAAAACATTAACTTACTATCTCAGTGCAGTAAAGATGACTTCAGCAAACCCATAATTGGTCACCTTTTATAATATGTTTGCTAAGGGTGCAGTGGGTATTTTCTTTGTTCCTCCAAAATGAGGCCCCTTGAATCCACGTGGGTTGGACTTGTTTGATTTTTGTCCGTGAGATTAGTGTTTACTCAAGACTATCATCACAGCCCTCCGGACAGATCCATGGGTGCTCCGATCTCCTCTTCAGTAGCTGCCTAAGAGTAAAACAACTGATCTTGCTCATTCTGTGTTGATTTAAAAGATCCCTTGTGCCCTTGTAGAAAGGCTCATATCTGGCTTCTTCTTTTTGCACCTCTCTGTCTACCAACCTGGACAAGGATACTAAGTCCTGCTTGTTGTCGTGATCTTCTCTACAATATGCAGCTTGGTTACTGCCTTGCTTGCCAGATAATCTACACGCTCATTGTCTTGAACACCTATGCAGATGGTAATCCTTTAGAAAGCAATCCTGGAGGAAGGGGAAAATAGATTATCAGTTATAAAACAAAAATGTGATTTCTCTATCTTTTCACAGTTTGCCCAGTTTAACTCTGAGAGCCAGACACTGAGCTCATTTAGCCCCACCACACTGGGTAACTACCAGAGCAAACTGGCCAACTGCAGTGGTGTGTGTATGGAGTGTGAGTACTTGTCTACAATGCGGACAAGTATCTATAACACCGGTGATTGGCTGATTGCAGGCAGTTTTGCGTAAGTATAAATCATTGTAGTTTTCATTTTCTTTTAAAAGAATTGTTGCCACATTGCATTGGGGTTTACAGCTAGGCTGCGATATCTGCACCTTTTGCCAACACATCCAGTTTCAGCAAACTTTAAATTAGTTACCTAATATGACATGCTTGTTATGGGGCAGTTTGTCTGTTCTTTTCCCCATTACCACAAATAGGGTCCTGGAACCCACAAGGGGATTATGTGTTACTGGGGTATATAGAGAAGCAATGTAGTGTGTTTCTGTGGCTTTTAGAAGAAGCAGAGAATGGCTACAGTGCACCTTACCAAGCATTGAAGCTGCAGCAGTACAAAGAAAGACACTTACTTCCTGGCACAATAGGTACTGAGTAGAAGACCCTTTTTCACACCGTTTAGGGTATTGGGTAAATATTGCTAGATCTACTGTATTTTATAGACTAGTGGTCAACATCACTTTGACTGCCTTTACTTCCCAGGAGATAGCCAGTACTCATTTTAGTCTGCGTTGATCTAAGAGCCCAGGTGACTTTCCTACTGTCATGATGTACTCCAGTTTTCTCCTTCTCATCACATGACCAAAGAATGTAGATGGTCTCTTTCTGATGTGATCAGTCAGTTCTCTTCATGAGAAAGTTTCTTTCAAGACATTCTTATTACTGTTTTTATCTGAGCTCGGTATTCTCATCATTCATCTATAAAACCACATCTCCGCAGCTTTCAGATAATTTTTCTTTAATCTGCCTACTGTCGTCCATGATTTATTTCTGTACATCAAGATACAATTTTATAGCTTTTAAGAATTCTCATTCTTGTTTCAATTGGCAAAGGAAGATTGCATAAAATTTGTTTTTGTAAAATGCTGCCTTTGCTTGAGCTATTCTACATTTAACTTCTTTTATACGTCTTCCATCAGAGATGATTCAATAAATGTGTATTACAATCTTGCAGTGTCAGCAACAGTGGACAAGAAATGTTTCAGCCTTTTATCTGTGGCGATGTTCGGACATCCTATGGACCTCAGTATACTATGGCTATGCTATACGCCCTACAGCAGGTCAATGCAGGCAGAGCTCCTGTCTCCGTTAAAGGAGTTAAATTTGGTATGTGTACTGTAAATGTCATCATCAGTATTATTACCATCAAGAGTCACGCTATACCTGTCCCCTACAATCACCTAGCTCTGAATGTCTCACCTTTGTCTTTGAATTGAGGACAAGCGCTGATTTCTCATTTGCTTGTAAGTTAAACGTTAAAGGTTGAAGATTAAAAAGTCGAGAGGATTGGCTTCATTATTTGCTCGTAAGTAAAGTTAAGGACACATTCATGTTTTTTAGACATGTAGTACTAGACCTGTATTCTTATAGACCAGTGCGATAGCTCAGTTGATAGAGCGGAGGACTGTAGATGAATTGAAGTGATCCTTAGGTCAGTGGGTCAAATCCGATTCATGGAAATGTTTGGGGGGGGGGGGGGGGGGGGGGGGGGTTCTCTGTTGTAAAGTGGTCAAGTTATTTGCCTCGCTCTTTAACTCTTTGAGTCCCAGAGGGTTTAGCATCACAGGCCCAAGGGGTAGTCAAAAGAGACTAAAATCGGTGCATCATGCGTTTATTGGGCTTCAAGGCAGTAACGTATAATGCGTTCCTTGGGACTCAAAGAGTTTAAGGCCATGGGTTCATTCAATGGCTGCGCCCTTCAGTTCACGAGTGCAGTTTTTACGAGATCTCTGGGGATCGTCGCCAGAGCTACGGAGTTTGTGCTCTTGACAAGTGGCTAGTAGAAATTGGCCGAGACATATGGGATAAAACCTGGTGCAATAAAGTTGATCCTCTCGACTTTAACTTTAACTAAGACCAGCGGACACTTGATAGGTGAAGTTGTAAACATCTCGGCGTTGTTCACTTGTATCATGGGAAAATTACTGTGTTCACACATTGTGTAGCTGATTTATGATGACCTTATATTATTAACTTGACCCCACTGGGTTTGTCAAAATAAACATTGTTATTAACTCTTCTGAGCCCTGATACTAATTTAAGAGTCTGCAAAACTCGTAAAGAATCACTTTTTAACAGTGAACATGTACAATAGTCTCAAATTTTCACACATTTTTATAGTGGTTTACAGCTATGCTGTGATATTTGCATCATCAATATAGGAAGAGGAAAAAGGTGTAGAACAAATAAAATAAATGAAGTAAAAATAGTATTAATAGTAAAAATAGTAATAAATAATAAAACATGAATAACCGGAGTAATATTTCTAGTAGTTGGGGGGGGGGGGGGAGGAAAAAGGGGGGGGGGGGTAACAGTACCAATAATGTCAAGGCTATTTTCGTCACTTTGGAAATAAGTGAGGTCAACAGGTCTGAGCTATTTGAGAACCACTGCCCTAAATTCTAACTGGCATGCATGACATTAACTCCGGCAGGTGGCTGGATATTTGACCATTGCGGCAACCCCGGCCGTGCCGACTTGATAGTCTCGGATGTATATGCTGGATTCATGGACAGAATGAATGTGGACGAGAACAAGATCCTGGCCTGGTTGACGGATACCAATGAAAGCAGCAATGAGACGGTTCAGATCTTGGACCCACTAAGTAAGCATCTTGGCAGTGTTTGTCTGTTTTATAAGAGTCTTATGTTTGTCTGTTTTTTGTGAAATCTGTGAAAAACCAACAGTCTGACAACTATTGCTATATTGGTGGAGAATAGCAGGTGATTCTCTTCCATATCAGAACAGGACACAACAGAATGAAAAGTCATATCTTCTTCTTCCTCTTCTTCTTCTGCCTTCTAACACCCAATGGAGCATAGGCCCTTAACCAATTCATGCCAACTCGTTCAGTCCTTCGCTGTTGCTTGCAGTTCACCCCATGTTCAACCCATCTTCTAACTCAAGCTCCCTTCTCCATCTGATTTTTTAAAGTCTGCCTTTATTTCTCTGACCCTGTGGATTCCAGGACAAAGATATTCTAGTTGTACTGTTCTCATGTTTTCTTAGCGATGTGTGTCCTAGCCAACGTCAGCATATTTTCTTAACCTCTTGGTCCACTCGAACTTATTTAATTCTCTCCCAAAGCTTAACATTAGTGATTCTAACATACCAGTTAATTTTCTCTCTTCTGAAAAAGTCACTTACACAAATTTAAATTGGTACAGTTTATGCTTTATACATATGTGGACTTGCAGAACAGACAGCTAAATACTTGTGTGTCTTCTAAGAGTACCACATGCTTTTTTCAATTGCCGACTTTAGTACTAAAGGGCTCTATGGCTTTGAGGTTATTCTTTGCATTTCACAATCCTGGACATACCAGGATTCTACCACTGTGGTGGACCAGGTAGGGAAAAAAGACCATTCTCATAATATTTGGATGTTGATTTGAGAGTCACAGTGTGGAATAAGTTGGAATCCTAGCGCATAATATTCCCAAGCGTGGATAGATATATCCGCTGTAGTGACCCTCTGTTGTGGAGACAGCACAAAATTTAATATTAGGACTGAATATTGACCTGCAGGCTATCATCCACACAAAGCTATTAAGGGATGTTACAGAGCTTTTGTTTATGGAGTAAAAAAAAACTTGTAGACAGTATTGAGAATAGAAAATGAGAAGAAGAGAATGATGTATTTGTGTATGTCTATGTGACCACACTTTAGAAATCTGTGGGTTTCTTGCAGCTAATATATTTCTTTTGTTTGTATTTGTATTAATAAGGTCTAACAGTTACCTCTGTCATTGTAATTGTTATTAAATTTGTTTAAACTGATTCTAGACTTGATAGTGATTACGAAAATATGAGGAAAAAATAAATGACACTAGAAACAGAGTTCAGTGAACCCTACCAGATTATAGTAAGTATAATAATGGACACACCCCCACCCCCCCCCCCCCTTTTTTACCTTTTTTGTTTTCAAACTACAATAGTGAATTGGGCATATGACGCTAGATTCATAAAAATTTTATTGATCTTGGGTTCTCAGTGGGTGATTTGGTCATCAAGCTGCCCAGGACATCACCTGGTACCAGTTTTAAGCTTGGTTGACCTGGGAGTCAAGGATACTTTTAGGCAGAAAAATCCAACTGCATGCAGATTTAAACACAAGATCTAGCTGCTTATAATCATGGCTCCCTGAGCAGATGGAGTATTTTTAAATTTTTAACAAATGTTGAATTAAAAATCATCATCATAGCACTCGGGACACTCCTATAAGCGCTCCCTCCCCAACTTTAGCAGCAAGCGAAGAGTTCCAATGCGGATGTTACCAGTCACTGTCTGATTGTACAATTGTCTCACCTTTCCCTTGGGTGTTGAGACAGATCCTGTGTTAACTACAGGAAGCAGCATTCTCCTCAGACTGCATTGATATGTTTGTGCCTCCACACTGTTCACTCGCTTACAAAGGGCCCTCACAACATCTAGCTTGTCATGCATCAGTTCACCACTAAGGTGTGCAGAGCTGGCCAGTCTATCTGTCTGCTTGTTTCCCAGCACACCAGCATTACCTGGATAATTGTTAACATATTACTTTATATCACAACTGTTAACATATTACTTTATATCACAACTGTTAACATATTACTTTATATCACAACTGTTAACATATTACTTTATCTAACATCTGTTGACATATTACTTTATATCACAACTGTTAACATACTACTTTATATCACAACTGTTAACATATTACTTTATATAACATTTGTTGAAATATTACTTTATCACAACTGTTAACATATTACTTTATATACCATTTGTTAACATATTACTTTTGCTGAGCTGATTTAGCTAGTGGAAATAAGTAACACAAGGTTAGATATACATTGTTAAAATTACTACAAACCAGATGTGGCGACCATAAGTCCTTCTGCCACTGCTGACAGCTTGATGAAGTACCCAACATTCTTCAGAACCATCCAGGGCGATGCAGCAGCCGTCACAGCTCTCATCTTGATTGCTAAGGCTATGAAATACAACTACATTCAAGTAAGATGGTGTACAGTGAAAAGATAATTAAACAGAGTAAATGAGTCTTTTTTAATGTCTTTGGGTACTATGTACCAAAGCCATATTTTCATAGACCTGTCTGAACTGTAAGCGACAGGTTCACAACAAACCAGAGGGAAAAGATAGAATGGAGCAAAATAATAGGCAAGACATTACCAGTTATGAAAGCTGTGTAACTTTAATGTTTCAGCTCTCCTGTGGGTTTGGGTGGGGGAGACAATAGACCCACAAGCATGTCATAAACTTTGACCAGCTAGAGGTGTTTCCTTCAAAGTCGCAGTGCATCTTCCTAAGAGGCGAGGAACCAACAGTCTGCATTAAAGAAAAAGCCAGATCTGTAAAACAGATGTGCACAAAAAAAAACTCAAGTTCTGGAAGAAGACCAAAGTCCAGAAGTGGAAAAACAACCCAGAACTGTTTGCCGGATTTTACAGGTGGTGAACACAAGAAAAAGAAAAAGAAGAGATTATTTCAGCATATGATAAATAATCAGTTTAAACACTTCATCAACCAGTAGCTCGTCCTGCACAGGGCCTTGAAACCACTATTATTTGTTGTGTGTCCTTCACCAAAGTCAATTTTTGAAGAACATGTTTCTTCCCTGCAGCAAGATGTGAGTTGTGGACTATGTCGCAGTCCTTAAGGAAAACAATAGGGGCTGTTGACTTGAAATACTGTAGAAAGGTTCTCAAAATTGAGAAGACCATGGACAAAGAAGAAAAGAAATACTGACATCCTAAAAAATCTGTACAATCAAGGAAGGTTGGCTAGTGAACAGCATCTTGTCTCGGAAACTGAAATAATTATTTGGCCCTATCAAGTGTCACGATGGACTGAAGAAAAAAAGGGGGGGGGGGGTGAGAATAGCAGAAGGTCTAGTACCAGAAATGAGGTGCAGGGGCCAACCAGCAACACAGGATACAAGTGACATCTTGAGTAGAAAAATGCACGAGGAGGGAGAGCTGGTGGAGAGCCCAAGCTTCTTTCAGACAGGCAATGATGAGAGCGATGTTCTGCAAAGGGCTTGTTTCATCATGGAAATCATTTAGAGAGCATTGTAAACAAGCCTGAGCATATGTTGGCTGTCTGTGGTTTTACTGGGCAATTTTTTAATGTTCAGTAGTTTGCCATTGCTTTCTGAATTGTCAGCTATGGATACCATTGTTGCAATCAAGGTGTCTGCTGCCAAAATCCTGCAGCTGCAACTGTACTGGGCATTTGAGAATTACAAATTGCTTTTGCAATCCAAAAGCTACAGACATCAGGACTCTGGGAAACCACTATTGTATTTAAACAATTTGTCTCAGTCAATCACTCTTTATGCTTCTCCAACTAAAATCGAGCCATTTTTATGTCTACTGATTTCTGCTAGTAACTGGATATGTTAAAACATAAGTAATTTTGTCGTGATGTCAGTTAGGTAAATATGAATCTGTTGTTTCTGTTATTTGCTGGAAGAAGGGGATTAAAGTTTCTGTGACATGTGGGTTGGTGTGTTCACCAGCTGTAAATCTAACAGAAAGTTCTGGTTGTTCGTCCATGTGTAGATTTTGGCTTTGTTCAGGGGCCTAAGTTTTGCATGTGCACCTGTTTTACAGATCTAGCCTATTTGTATGCAGACTGTTGGTTCCTTGCCTCTCAGTTTACCAGTATTATATTACTACTGAAAGTGTTTAGATATAGTAGAATGAAGATGTTTTTTGAGAAACAGCTGGGAAAAAGAAAATGTAATTGAAAGGTATGATGTCACTATAATGCTTGTTTGCCATTTTTATGTTTAAATTTTTTTTTCTTGCCTGAAAGGTTTTTATATTTAACAGTTTTTCTTCTCTTATTCTCTGCTTCCTTCCTGTTTCCCCCTATTCTCTTCTCTGGATTTTCCTCCTCTTCTTGTGTTGAACATGTTTTCTTCTTTTTTTATTTTCAACTCCTCAACTAAGCATAGACTGCCCATAGCCATCCCCCGTGGCTCGCTCATGCCCACTTCTTATCCACTCTAGTTTTTAGTTCTGTTAATGTACTTTTCTCTCTCCTTTTTTTCTTTGATCCTTTGATTTTAATATTTTTAGAGCCAATAAAATAAAATAACATGTAAAATTACTTAGTTAAGTTAGTTGTGTATCCTTTACAGGATGTTGCAGAACCAACCCCAGCATTTTGTGGCTGTTGTGGTTTATCTTGGCAAATTTACGTCCAGTAGTTTGCCATTGCTTTCTGGACGGTCGGCTTCTCGAAACCACTGTTGAAACCAGCGCAAGGCCCTCAGCTGGGATCGAACCTGGCACCCCGTCATTATGAAGTTCGTTCCCAACGCCTAAGCCACAGACGTCGACATAAAATTAGTAGACTGGATGATGATCCTCTCCTCATCTTTTGTGACTTCACTGATTATTACTTGTGAAATGTATGTTTTCAATTTTGTAAAGGTGGTGTATTCAGCAAACGCTTATGGCAGGGATGGAATGAAACTGTTGGTGAACGCAGCCCAAGCTGAAGGAGTCTGTGTGACAAACCAGCTTGAATTCACCAATGCCAGTGATATTGTAATCCAGCTGTCTGCGGCACAGACCGATGTTGTTGTCCTGTTCATGACCGAAGCTGATGTCGACAGCTTTCTGACATCAGCCAGCAACATCCCTGCTGCAAAGTCGCTGTTTTTCCTGCTGCCAAACTATTTTCCCAGGGTAAAGTATTGCGGTTGTTTGACGAAAAATAATTTAAATTGCATTCTTAAACTGAATAATACAGTCTAAAACTGAGGCAGGTGGCTTGATCCTATGGCTTTCCTCCATAATTTAACACACTGTCTACCAAATCCTTTATCACTTGCACTTTTCCAATCACCTACTTGTTTTTGTGTGTGTGTTTTTTTTAAGTATTTACTATAATTGCCATACTTATGTGGGCAGTAATGTAGTATATGATGGAGGAACTGAGATATTAAAATAAGAATACAAAAGGCAAGAGGAGCTTTCATAGCACTAGGGAATTTATTACAGAAGTCGCAATTCTAGTATGGCAATGAGTGTCAAAATTTACGATTGCAGGTGTAATCAAAGTATCCAGGCATAACTGCCGGCTGATTGTCATAGTCAGTGGGTTATAATACAAAAAAGTGTTGAGTGTCTTGATTTATTAACATTAAAGATCACACCCACCAAGCACTGATTGGTCTGTTCAAATATACCTCTAGCCCCATTGGCCCATTCTACCAATGGTGTGAAAAGGTCCTTTACCTTAGAAGATTTACTTCGCCTGTCGTGTAAATATATTCATTTTTGCTAAATTTAGTGATTTATCTATTTTGAATGGTGGCCGCCGTGGTGTAGCGGCTTGGAAGGTCGTGGTTTCGGATGCTGGTGTAACCTGACCTTTTTAAAAAAATGACCTTGGCACTCATGTCGACCCAGCCTGCAGTGGGTACCAGGTACAGTCCTGGGAAGTAAAGACAGCTGGCACGATGTTGGTCTATAAAGTATAGGTCTAGCCCTATATGCCCAGTGTGTCTGAGGGCGTGGAAAAGGGTCCTGTACTTTTTACTTTGTGTGTGTGAGTGTGCGTGCGTGCCTGCTTGCATGCATGTGTGTGTGCATGTTTTTGTTTTTTTATTAAATAAATTTGCTGAAGCTCAGTTATTTTCCTTGCAGATTATACAACGAGTTGGAAGCCAGTTCACTTATCCAATAATGAGTCTTCAAATGCAGAGGTTCAACCTGTCAGACTACAATGCCTACATTAACTCCGCACCGACGACCAACCCATTCTTCGCCCAGTTCTACATGAAAACCATGCAGTGCAACCTCCCAGGATACTCTACCTACACCAATGCCTGCTCTACACCACTGGCACCGATCACATCTTCTGCCAACTACGTGGAAGACAACTCTGTGTTGTCCACCATCAATGCAATTTATTCGGTAGTAGATGCACTGCATCGCACAGTCAGCGACCACTGCGGGACCGACTATACTAAACCCTGCAGTGCCTTTCTTGCAGCCCCAGATAAGCGCAGAGCATTCAACAGCAACTTGAACAATGCGTACTTTGTTGATGATGGGAAGAGGACTTTTAGGTACCTGGTCAGAGAGGGTGCCACAACTTTTGATATTTTACAGTACAGTTCATCTGTCAACTATAATAAGGTATGTTACAGTAATCCAGTAGTACACTTACCTGAAGATCGGAAGGTCATGGGTTCAGAGTTTGACTGAGCCAGACCTGTTTTTTTGTTTAAAAAACCTTGGCTCCCAGGTCGACCTAGCCTTAAAATGGGTACTGGGTTATGTCTTGGGAAGTAAAGATGGCTGGCATAATGCTAACAACATCACCCACCAGGTGCCGACTGGTTTATACAATGTAGGTCTAGCACAGCAGTTCTCAACCTTTGGGTTGCGACCTTTTTGTGGGGCGAGTGACCCTTTCACACGGATCGCCAAAGACCCTCGGAAAAACACATTTTCACTGAAATTTCATAGCAGCAAAAAAAATTTTTGAATGGTTGGGGGTTGCCACAACATGAGGAACTGTAGTAAAGGGTCACCACATTAGGAAAGTTGAGAGCCACTGGTCTAGCACTATATGCCCTGTATGCCTAAAGGCATGGAAAAGGGTCCTTTGCTTTGCTTTACTTTACAGTAACACATAAACGTTTCTTACATGTTTAGAGATATTGGATGTAAACAGAGAGAGAAACTGTGTTAGATGAGAATAGACTATGAGGCAGACCAAGGAGATAGTGGAGAGATAATATACAGGCAGACCTATAAACGCTTGGAGTCGTCACCCACTAAAATGAGAAAGCCAATCACAGAGATAAATGGAGGTGGCTAATATCTGCAGCAAATCATCTCAGGGACTCAGAATACTGGGAGCTGCCGTGGGGTGGCAGTTGGACATCCACCTGCGGGTCTGAAGGTGAAGGTAAAGTCGGTAGATGTGAACCAGCGCCATTGCACACGGTTATAAACCATAAGTGCTCTGCCACCAGTACAGACAGCTGATAAGAAACTGTCCGCCTGTGTCACTGTTCGCACGAGACTCCGTAGCTACAGCCAGCCACGTTTCTACAACTCTGGTACCCGTTTCCTAGAGGCTGGGTGAACCCCGGGAACTGTCTGATTTCGAACACCAGCCGTAGACTGCAGCGATTTGCAGCTGGATTTGAAAGCGAGTCTTCTATCGACTGCTCTGACGTGGCCCCTATTTTAATCCGTTTGGTGCCACATTGTTTATAAACTGTGACTCCCATGTCAGCCCAGCCTTAAATGAGTACCAGGTAAAGTCCTGGGAAGTAAAGGTAGCCAGCATGTGTGACCTTTACTTTGCTTTGCTTGCTTGGAATACTGGAGAAGAAGATGTAGACAGGCAAGAGGTCATGTGTTGGAGGTCAGGGTATAAATAAGAGGGACTGCAGGTGAGCTGATCAACTAAACACACAACAGGCTATGGCTAGAAAACACAACGAATGGAAAGGAAAAGCCAGTTGGTCAAGGTCTGTATATGAAAGGTCTCCAGTCGGCTGCTACTATGATATAAAGTGTGTGTAAGCAGGATATGAATGTTACAGGTATTGGGGTAGATTCTTGGGGGGGAAATGCCATGGACAATATTGTTTGGAGGGGGCAAATAAGGATGAAAATGAAAACATAAAAAATGCTTGCAGAAAGGATGAAAGCCGAGCATCAAAGAAGAAACGCACCAAATACATAGGAAAACAGCAATGATCTGGAACTCCCATGTTGTAATTGTGGAAGACTTTTCTCTACGCGGGCGGGTCTTGCTAGTCACACTCATCATCACAACAGGCTGTGAGATCCCATGCCTCCTCATGGTAAAATATAACACTGTCGTCTGGAAAGATGGGAAGGTGCCAACCCGACTGGACAGGCATAATTATCAGTGCCATACATAGTGGACTTTGAGAAGAAGAAAAAGCTTGGTATTTAAAAAAAAAAGGATATTTCTTCATAATGTTGATAATGTGCTACCGTCTGTGGCTTAGGAACTGAGAATAAGCTGTGTAATTCTTAAATACCTGGTTCAAGCTTAGCTGAAAGCAATCCGGCAGCAGACTGATTTGCATTAACTTTGGCAGTTGTGTGGACCGCTGACCATTCAGGAAGCAGTACCCCGTGTGGGCTCTGGGGCCCCTTCATTGAGAAAACAAGACAACACTGCCTCCCCAGCAAGAATGTCATAGGAGTCTACTAATTGGGGACTTCCCTCCAAGTTGGAGTACATGAACCCGAGTGGCAAGGAACAATCAACTGCACATGTAAAACAGATGTACACGCAAAACTCAGGCCATAGATCAAAGTCCAAATGCACGAACAACCAGGACTTTTCGTCAGAGCTTTCAGCCAGTGAACAAAAGAGAAGAAGAAATTAGCAGTGTTAAATTACTAAACACATAAATTCCTAGTAAAATGACAGAGACAAGAAAATTATGAAGTTGGTTCTGCAACATTCTGTAAAGGATACACAGCTAACTTTATGGATATTGCTTAGTTTATTTGTTGTTACTGAATATGTGTTTGGAAACCCAAATGTGTGAAGCACGTAAATGTGCACACAAATAGCTTGCAGGTGGGCAGACAGTGATACATGTGGGAGCATAACTTCAAGCGATGGACAGTTATCTGAGAGAGTGTACCTCCAAGAAGAAAGACAGAGCATGTTGGAGATCCATTGCAGCCAACCTTTATTGTGGAAATGCACTTGATTGATTAGTCTTGGTCGAGGTTTCAACTTGATTGTGGTCGTGTCACCCCGTACTTGCTCCGTTCCTGTGCCAGTGAAAATCAAATGAAATGTTCCCATTTAAAAAAAAAAAAAAAAAAAAAAAAAACTCAACTGGTGAACAAACAATTAGTCCTGGTACAATCGAGAAATATATGCACGCAGTAAATGCACAAAGCAGTGGCTAGAGGTGCCAAAGCCAATAAAGATGCAGTTTGCTGTTGATGAAAGTAATTGGACATGATAAGTTGGCTAGCCGCACAGAAAATTATTACATAAGATATTTCACCTGCCCATATGTAAACCAGCTACTGGGCTATATTGAATACCATGACTCAGCCACTGTACAAATGAAAAGCACTCCACATGAAAAATGTAGCTCACAGTGCTGCATTAAGCACTAAACTATTTAATTCGGGCGGCAAAACTGTAGACTTCCATCTATATGTGGAAACTGCATTAGCAAAGTGCTGTCAGAAGCAAAAATAACTTTGAAGCTAAACATTCTGCCACTCCTAGTCCTCCATATGTACCAGAAGCACCTGTTGATTAAAAATTACGTATACTTCACCTTACTATCTCAGGATACAAGAGGAATGATCTGAGCTGTTGAGATAAATGTGCCATGAATTCTCTGTCAACACTACAGACACTTTATGTCTTCATGACATGACAATAGCCGGTGCCAGCCAGCGTGCACTGAATCGCAAATTGCAAATTCATTTTCATTAAATGGCCAAACCATTTCACTCTTAGTTTTTCGGTGAAGTTAATTATAGGTGTTGTTCAATATTTTTTGTAATTTCTTCATTTTTCACATAATCCATGGACCCTTCTTATTTTGTTGAATGTCTGCCACAGACCCCATAATTTTTAATAGTCTTTCTAGAGAACCCTATGCCCGGCTCTCTAGCGAAGTTGGTTAAACCTGACTTTCGCGGCAGCCGGGTGACGAACTCCTTGTGGTCCGGGTTCACTCCCGGGGGTAGGCAGAAAAGCCACATTTCTCCCAGATTAACGGTACCTATGATGGAATCAATGTAGCTCACAGTGCTGCATTAAGCACTAAACTATTTAATTCGGGCAGCGAAACTGTAGACTTCCATCTATATGTGGAAACTGCATTAGCAAAGTGCTGTCAGAAGCAAAAATAACTTTGAAGCTAAACATTCTGCCACACCTAGTCCTCCATATGTACCAGAAGCACCTGTTGATTAAAAATTACGTATACTTCACCTTACTATCTCAGGATACAAGAGGAATGATCTGAGCTGTTGAGATAAATGTGCCATGAATTCTCTGTCAACACTACAGACACTTTATGTCTTCATGACATGACAATAGCCGGTGCCAGCCAGCGTGCACTGAATCGCAAATTGTTCCTCCCCATGATGCTTAAAGTCAGAAGTGGTTTATAATGATGATGACAAAGATGTAACAAAACCCCCCCACAATATGTTTCATCCTACCATACAGGTTGGCAGCTACTCTGGACAGTCCCTGGATATAACCGATGCAGCCCAGCTCAAGTACACCAGTATCGAATCTACCTGCAGTGCTCCTTGTCTGGGCTGTATCATGACTGGCATCACCTTCTCGCACATCCCAGGGGATATCTACCTTGCAGGTGTGTTGTTATTTTCTCTCTGATTGTATTAATCACTCCTTATTATGCTGTGTTCCGCTAGGCCGCAGAGTAACAGATGATCATTATTGGAGCTAGGGCACACGGGGTTGCTGTGGTATGCTGTGATGTTGTAGAATCTAAGGGTATCAGTGACTCCACTTCTTCTTTTTGGTTGTCCCCTAACTCCTGATGTTTCTACTTTCATGTTGCACGCTCTCATTGCTGGCTTCATTGGATTAATTTTCATTAAATGGCCAAACCATTTCACTCTTGGTTTTTCAGTGAAGTTAATTATAGGTGTTGTTCAATATTTTTTGTAATTTCTTCATTACTCACATGATCCATGGACCCTTCTTATTTGTTTGAATATCTGCCAAAGACCCCATAATTTTTAATAGTCTTTCTAGAGAACCTATAATTAAAAAAAATATTAGAATCACACAAAAGAATTGCATTCTTAGGTTTTTTTTGGGGGGAAATGAAATCACTGACCCCTTAACTTTGTTTCTTGGACCCCTGAAGATCAGTTAACCATGAAATTAGAAATGATGCTGATTAATGAAATTTTACCTAATTTTTATCTTTAGCTTTGTTCTCCATGCGTGGGTTCCAAAACTCTATTTTAGAAAACAAAGAATAGACCCACTGGCCCCTAACAAGCATGTCGTAGGAGGTGGCTAATTAGAGGTATCCCAGAGTGTATCTGCCTCAGAGGCAAGGAACCAACAGTCTGCACTGAAATAAGCCCCATGTATAAAACAGACCTGCACACAAAACTGAAGTTCTGGGTCGAGGCCAAAGGCCAGGATTGGACAGCTGGGGAATGCTGAGAAGAAGAAGTAGAAGAGATTCAACTTTTTTCCAGTCCCAGTCAACACATAACGGTTAAAGTCTAGAGGATCGACTTCATTGTACAGGGTTTTACCCCATTGGGCTCGGTCTTTCTCTGCAGGACAGCTGGCCGCCTCCCAAGATCACCGCACAGAGCATGAACTCTATAGCTCCAGAGACGATCCTCAGGGATCTCCTTAAAAATTGCATTCCCGACCGAATGGCACAGCCGTGAAACGAATCCATGACCTTCAGAGTGCGAGGCAAACAGCTTGACCACTCGCCACGGAGACCTCCCAGTCAACACACATCAGCTGCAGGCCAGTTCACTTATCCAGTAGTGAGTCTTCAAGTGCAGAGTTTCAACCTGTCAGACCTACATTGACCCCTCACCAAAAACCAAACCATTCTTCGCCAAGTTCTACACGAAAACCATGCAGTGCAACCTCCCAGAAGACTCGACTTATCACAGTGCCCAGTTACACCATTGGCACAGATCAGATCTTCTGCCAACTACGTGGAAGACAACATATCTGTCTTCATTTTGTCTGTGGTTTGAGAATGGGTCTTTCTGAAAAGCACTGGCAAACTGATGAAGTAAAATTGTCAAGTAGAACAAAACAACAGCCCAAAAAAATGTGCCCTAGTTGGATTGGGAGGTTCCGGGGCCAAGTCATGTGGAAACAAGAATAGACCCACTGCTTTCCCCACCAAGCATGTCACAGGAATCAGCTAATTGGGGGCATCCTTTTAAGTTGGAGTACATCTGTCTGGGAGGCAAGGAACCAAGAATCTGCATACAAACAAGCCAGATGTGTGAAACAGATGTGCATGCAACACTTAGGTTCGGTAACAAGACTAAAATTTGGAGGTGGATGAACAACCGAAACTTTCCGCCTGAGTTGACAGCTGGTAAAATTGAAGAAGAAGGAAGATTGGGAAGTGCTTTAACTAACTATTTGATGGTCATCTGTTGTTAAGTTAGTAGTTAGTAGTTGAGAGGATCCCAGCATTTGTTGGCTGATTGTGGTTTTACTAGGCACTTTTATGTTAGGTAGTTTGCCATTGCTTTCTCATTGGTTGGTTCTTGATACCCTAGCACATGCATTTTACTTCCCATGTTTCTTTTTTCTTGATATTCACAATAAGCAAATTATTATATGAACATAACATGCTTTAATGATCAAATATAGCTGCTGTGTGTAAGATGGCTTTTTGGATGGGCTGAATATAAAACAAGCCTGCATGCCCAATTTGTGACCCTTTGAAAATAAAGTGTGTTCGTTCATTTTATGAAATCAGTGTAAAGTGAATCTGCTGCCATGTCACCACAACTGGAGTCAAACTGGGTATCTCAGAATTACAAACTGTGTTTACACACCATGATGCATCTATGGTACTGATACTATCGCTAGTGTTTGATGTTCATCTATTCTATTATTTTCACTAGGTATGTTAAATGCTCATCTGTTCTGTTATTTTGACTGTTCATGTTCAGTATCTGGAAGCACCGCGGTCAAGCGGTCAGACGCCCTCTTGCAGATCCGAAGGTGTGGGTTCAAAACGAATGATGCTGGACTTTTTTTTTCTCTCTTTCAAAAATGACCTTGGCTCTCAGGTTGACCCAGTCGTAAATGGATACCAGGTGAAGTCCTGAGAAGTAAAGGTGGCCAGTATGATGCTAACCACAACACCCACCAAGTTCTGATTGGTCTATAAATAAAGTATAGGTTCAACCTATATGCCTAATACGTCTGAAGGCTAAAAAAAAGGTCTTTTACTGTGTTAAATATCCATGTTGTTATTCTCACTAGGCTTCTTTGTTGTTCATCTGTTCTGTTACTTCCACCAGGGATGTTTGATGTCCATCAGCGCTCTCTGAGCCCCTTCACTTGTGGTACTATTAAGACCCTGCATGGCTTCCTTTTGCTAGAAGCCTTTCACTATGCCATAGAACAAGTGAACGCCAAGCAGGGACAGTTTGCGAACATCCTACCTGGTGTTCGGCTCGGAGGGATCGGTCTGGACGCCTGTGAGTCTGACGTTCGAGGAGGTTACCTGATCAGCAATATCCACAGTGGAATCACAACTCTGTCCAAGGAAGGCGTCAACATTCTGCCTTCGATGATTGATGCTTACATTGGGTCCTACTACAGCACATCATCCATATATATAGCTAGAATTCTGACGGATTTGATGATACCTCAGGTAGATTGTTTACTTGTACAGTAAAATAATTGTGCACATAAGCAGATTCGAAAAAAGGTGAGGGGGGGGGGGGGGGGGGGGGGTCAGAGAGAGAGGGAGAGTCAGAGAATTAGAGTGAGAGAAAGATGGGAGAAGGGAGAGAAAAAAAAGAATAAACATGAATTTAAGGCAAATTGATCATATGATGCAAACATCATGTGTGGATTGAATGGAACTGCAACAAAGCTGTGAAAATACAATGAAACAAATCTACAAAATGAAAAGTACAAGTGGCCATAGAAGGGTGTTTGTAGAAAGCTTTTACAGTTTAACAACAACAGTATGATAGGAAACATCAAATCAACCTAATTACAACATCATTGGACAGAGAGGATTGGAAAGTCATAATCAATAATATCTTCTCTCTCAATCGGGCATCAGAAGAAGAATAAATTGTTGACCATTCTGAAGCTTGATGGTTGGAAAGTCATAATCAATAATATCTTCTCTCTCAATCGGGCATCAGAAAAAGAATAAATTGTTAACCATTCTGAAGCTTGATGGTTCTGCAAACCCCGAGAAAATAATTTGTCATTTGTATTACCAGCTTAGGTACAGTTTGAATTATTGATGATCCCGGTGTGGTTTCAGGGGCCCCACCATTGTGGGGGAAAGCAAGAATAGACCCACTGGCGCCCCCCCCCCCTTTCCCCAAAAAAAAACATGTCCTAGGAGTTGACTGATTGGGAGCTTCCTTCAAAGTCAGAGTACATTTGTCTGAGAGGCAAGGAATCAACATTCTGCAAACAGATGAATCAGACCTGGAAACGGATGTGCATGCAACACTCAGTTTCTGGAACAGGACTAGAGTCAAGAAATGGACGAACCACCAGACTTTCTGCCGGAGTTTAGAGTTGGTGAACGCACAGAAGAAGAAGAAGAAGAATTATTGATGATGTTATGAGTCAGTTTAGGGATTGTCATTTAAGGGTCAGAGGAAACCCCAGTTGACATTAATAATGTGCAGGCCAGATGGGAAAAGCCAGACACAAGTAAGAAACAACTGTATTAGATGAAAGCAAGTTCCACGGGTTGTTAGTAGGTCTGGGAGAAAGAGTAGAAACATGGGAATTAGGTCATCATCATCATCATCATCAATTTCCAATTCTGCCTTTAAGAGTTGTGGGAAGAACAGTTTGTGATCCATATCTTGATGGCAGAATTAAGGGAGTGTAGATAATTTTAACTGAACACCTGATATGTGTATGTTTATGCTAAGAAGAGATATATAATTGAAGAAAAAACACTGAGGGCTTTTTAATGGGAGTAAGGTCTCAAGTGGTACAGTCAAATGTGTATGTCAAAGATTATTTCTGGACCAAATAGAACAGCAAAGAGTGAGCAGTTGTGTGTGCGGCTCAAGTAGATGTTTAAGCGCTTGTATGAGGACAAGCTTGTTGTATGTTTGCCCTGAACCAGATTCAAACAGTGAGTCTGTTCAATTAGAGGTTGTGAAGAGGGTATTGATCAACATATATACATATATACTCAAGTAAACCACAATGTTTCAATGTTATCTCCCTCAAACCTTCAGATTAGTTATGGATCTGGGAGTGAAGAACTGAGTGACAAGCGGGTGTACCCTTTCTTCTACCGAACGGTGCCAACAGACGCCAACCAGGTGGAGGCCATGCTGAAACTGTTAGACAAGCTCAACATTAGATACGTGCAGGTATGTTGACCACATCAGTCATCCAGGGCTGGTTGTTCTTGACTGATTTGTCTGGCACAACATTCCTGATAGGCCAGTGCTGTGTGAAAGGGATCTTTTACTTTGTGTGTTAATTCATTGTCCTGTTGTGGTATTATATGTCACATAGTGCTCACCTCAAGACACAAGAGGAATCATCTGAGCTGGTGAGATAAATGTGCCAGAAATTCTGTGTTCCTCACAAACAGATATGCACACATATGCACACACACACACACACCACTCTCTGTCCTCCCTCTGCCTGCCCCTCTCCACCTCCTGTATCTGCCTGTCTGTCTGTCTGTCTCTTTCTCTCTCTTTTCTCCCCCCTCCTTCCCTCTCCCTCCCTCCATCTCACTCTCTCTCTCCCCCTCTCTCCCTCTTTCTCCCTCTCTCTCTCTCCCTCCCTCCCTCTCTCTCTGTCTTCCCTCTCCCCCCCCCCCTCTCTCTCTCACTTATGAGCTCGCGTGTGCACGCCAATGGCGTGTTTCCCATTTGAATGACTGTTTGGTGATTCTCATTTTATCTGTTCTCAGAATGTGTCCAACATAGCACCATCTTCTATGTCTTATAATTGTTAATACTAGTGGTTACCCGCCATTTTGGTCTCAAGACTCAGTGAAGGGAAAATCCCAACTGCACCTCCACATGGTAGAGGATGGTAAACACACCTCAGTCTGGACAACACAGCTATATGGACCGAGTATCCGCCCGGATAAGTGAACACCTCTGGGGTGCTCTCTACTGTTAGCAGGAGCATCACAGAGCATGGCACTCACTTGCCTTAGCAATCGAAAAGGTTGCTGAAGGCTGAGCATATTGTCTAAAGTTACGTGGATGTGGAAAGCAACGGGAAACTACCACATTACTATTCCAAGAAACTCATCATGGAAGCCAAAAATAGATGTGAGTGACTCCTTGAGTTGTTTGTCCATCATGAGTAGTAATGATCAATGATTATGAGACGAAGGTGGCTCAATATGAGCCAGGAAAGTTCTTGAGCAGTGCTGACAACATATGGAAGCTGGAGTAGGTGTGGGATTAGCAGTACGATTCTTTCTAGTCTGCCTCCGTTTCTCTGCCTGTGCAACCTCTGCTGCCTGGCAGGCTGATGCACCATGTCTGATAGACGTACCCCATCCAGAACGATCTTGTGCAGCAGCCTTCCACATCGCTGTGTTGATGCCAAAAGAATTGAGAGCAGTCTTCAGAGTGTCCTTGTAGCGCTTTTTCTGTCCTCCCTGGCACCTCTTCCCTTGCTGGAGCTCACCATATAATATTCTCTTTGGGAGGCGATAGTCTGGCATGGTGACCAGCCAATCGCAGCTGACAATTCTTCAGTATCGTGTGAATGCTAGGCAGGTTTGCCCTATCAAGAAACACAGTATTTGGGATTTTATCTCGCTATTTGATTTTGAGCAGCTTTCTGAGACAGGTTATATGAAACTGATTCAACTTTTTAGCATGATGCTGATACACAGTCCAAGTTTCACAAGCGTAGAGCAGTACTGGAAGAATTACAGCTTTGTAAACCTTTAGCTTGGTCAGCAGGGAGATACCACTTCTGTTCCAGACACTGGTAGAAAGTCTGCCGAAACTGCTGCTGGTCTTTTAGATTCTAACATTGATCTCATCGTCGCTATTGACTCTCTGAGATAGGACTCCTTGAGTATGAAAGTACATGAGGCAGGAGAGCTGGCAAGAGACCAAGTTTCTTTCAGGCAATCCATGATGAGAGCAACATTCTGCAAAGGACCTGCTACATGATGAGTGGTTACCCACTTTTAGTGCCATGTTTTACAGAAGCTATACATTTCCTGCCTCTGTAGTAGTATCCATACTTGTTTTCTGTATTGTTAGTCTGCTTCTTTTATTTTATTTCACCCTGTCTCGAGGACTGAGATTTTATAGGTGAGATTTTGTAGGGAATTCCTAGGATAGTCCAGTGGTATAGTTATGTTATGTTTTGGTGTGAAATGAAATCAACTAACCCTAACCTTCTTTTATTTCACCCCATCTCGGGGAGTCGTAGATTCTGTAGGGATAGTCCAGTAGTATAGGGGTGTTAGGGTGTGAAATAAACACTGACTAACACTAGTCCTAACCTAACTCCCTACAAAATCTCGGAGCCCCCGAGAGTGGGTAAAATAAAAGAAGAGAACCATTGTTCTCTTTACACATCTGCTCTGAAATTTTATTGGACTGAAAGGATTGATAACCATTTGACACTAAAGCTGTAATACCTGATTTTTTAACCTCACCTAGATCTTGTATGAGGATAACAGCAATGGGCTGTCAGCTATGCAACATTTTGTAGCCAGAGCCACCAACTACAGCATCTGTGTGGCTGAGACAGTTCCCTATCCTGACTTGGGCATTGTCAGTGCGTAAGTACACTTCTACCTTCTAGTGGTTACTGACCTGAGAAATATTAAATTATCGAAGAATTCAAGCAGTGGAAGTGCGTGCATGTAACAGTTGTGATCACAGCTTACACTTTCCATGCAGATTTCCATTTACTAGTACTTCAATGCTGGCTGTGCATGCATATTCTCACCAGGGAAGCGACAAGGAGGACACTATCACTTGGTATCCTTTCCAGTGTAATCATTACCTGCTAATGCTTACACATGCAAATTGACCATGCCTTGCCACTGAATTAAAGACAAGTAAAGAAATAAGAGAAATGTCTGAACAACAGCTGGTCTCAACAGTTATAAGACAAAGAAGATGGCTCTGGCTCTATTTTGAGCACATTCTGAGAAATCTCAGGAGAGAATCTATAAAAAGGCACTGAAATAGGGAAAAGATTTGCAGAGGAAACGAGGATATTTAAGAGAGGCCCTAAAACGAACGTGGCCATGGCTGCCAGACTGGATTCTATCCATCACAATGAAATGTTTGCACAGGATGGAGCAGAAGGAAGGACTAGGCTGAAAGACCCTATGTGATGCACAACAGAATGACAGAACAGAATGACGATTATGGTTTTTATAAGAGAGTTATATTCAAGTCTGTCAGTCAAGCTGCATTTTCTGGAGACGGTGCCTGGGTTTGTATATGTGCATATACAGAACACTTACACACATATATAGAACACATACACACAGATGTAGAATACGCACATACTTATAGAAAACACTCACACATATATAGAACACAAATTCACATATATAGAACATAAAGACACATACATGCATGCTTCCATGTGGGTTCTGGGACCCCATGGGTGTCAAGAATGCACATTCTTGAGAGGTAAGGAACCAGCAGTCTGCATACATATAAACTACATTGGTAACCCTGATGTGCACACAAAATTCAAGTCCTGGAACAAGCCCAAAGTCCACAAGTGGACAAAGAACCAAAACTTTCTGCCAGAGTTTACAGCCGCTGAACGTGAATAAGAAGAAGTAGATATACATGCATATATGTCACATACTCACATATGTATGTTAATTTATATTTGTATACATGTGTATTTGTATTTATGCATGTATGGGCATTTATGCGCTGGCTGCTAAAGATGAGTACTGAGCATGCATGGGAATTCTCAGAGTGCTCTGATATCAATTCTTGACTCAACTCAAATCATATGAGCATATTCATATATACTTTGTATTATAAACTCCACATCAGTACAGGATGAGTGAGCCATTGCCAAGGAAACATTTCTAAATTAGAACCCCCACCCCTCACACTCACCCGTGCATGCATGCACACGTGCACCCCCCCCTCCCACCCCCATAGACATCCACATACAGATGCAGAGAAGGAAAGATAATTATTACATGTATGGTAGTTGTATACAAACATTTTGACTGTTAAGGGTTGTACAGAGTCCCTTTACTGTTCTGCAAATCTTTAACTTGATCAGGGAAACCTCAACTACTGTTGTTGACTTCTGACTTATTTAATTCAAGGGAAAATTTAACTGTGGTTGTTGACCTCTGACTTATTTAATTCCATGGAAACCTCAACTGTGGTTGTTGACCTCTGACTTATTTAATTCCATGGAAACCTCAACTGTGGTTGTTAACCTCTGACTTATTTAATTCCATGGAAACCTCAACTGCTGTTGTTGACCTCTGATTTATTTAATTCCATGCAAAACCTCAACTGTGGTTGTTGACCTCTGACTTATTTAATTCAATGGAAACCTCAACTGTGGTTGTTGACCTCTGACTTATTTAATTCCAATGAAACCTCAACTGCTGTTGTTGACCTCTTACTTATTTAATTCCATGGAAACCTCAACTGTCTTTGTTAACCTCTAACTTATTTAATTCCATGGAAACCTCAACTGTGGTTGTTGACCTCTGACTTATTTGATTACATGGAAACCTCAACTGTGGTTGTTGACCTCTGACTTATTTGATTACATGGAAACCTCAACTGTGGTTGTTGACCTCTGACTTATTTAATTCCATGGAAACCTCAACTGTGGTTGTTGACCTATGACTCGTTTGATTACATGGAAACCTCAACTGTGGTTGTTGACCTTTGACTTATTTGATTACATGGAAACCTCAACTGTGGTTGTTGACCTCTGACTTATTTAATTCCAGGGAAACATCAACTATAGTTGTTGACTTCTGACTAATTTAATTCCAGGGAAACATCAGCTACTGCTGTTGACCCCCTGACTTATTTAATTTCAGATAAACCTCAACAATGATTGTTGACTTCTGACTTATTTAATTCCAGGGAAACCTCAACTATAGTTGTTGACGTCTGACTTATTTAATTCCAGGGAAACATCAGCTACTGCTGTTGACCCCCTGGCTTTTTCAATTCCTGATAAACCTCAACAGTGATTGTTGACTTCTGACTTATTTAATTCCAGGGAAACCTCAACTATAGTTGTTGACTTCTGACTTATTTAATTCCAGGGAAACCTCAACTACTATTGTGGCAAGGCTGGTTGAGAAGCCAACTGCCAACACTGTGGTGACTTTCCTCAGCACTCAGTATGTCAACTCTGTTCTAAAATCCATCGCTGTGTCAGACAAGGCAAAGGATAAATTCAGGTGGGGACAATTGTGAATCTTGACAGAATTATTCTGTACGCATATGTAATTGCTTTATAAACATAAATAAGCTTTTGTCTTCTCATATTTGTAGTCTAAGTCACTGGGCAGGCTGTTGTGATGCAGCCTGTAACCAGAACATTTAACTAAGGGCAAAAGCCATTTGATTAATCAACACGCTACAATCTTTTCTTCTTCTGAGCATTTAATGGCGGGGAAAGTTCTGATTGGTCATCTATTTATGGACTTTAGTCTTATTAAAAAACTTGAGTTTTGTTTGCACATCTGTTTTACAGAACTGGCTTATTTCTAAGCAGACTGTTGGTTCCTCACTTCGCAAGAAGATGGGTTTGGATGGGTTATTTTAACAGTTGCGCGGAAGTGAAAGAATAAATGTCTATGCTGTCTAGTAAAGATTGGAAAAACATCAAGTATATGTCAGCTTTAGAGGTCTGTTTACAGAAAACAATTAGGTCATTCTATTGAACTAGCCTTCATCAGCAGAAGGACAGCAGGGAAAAAAAAACCCCCCAAAAATGAACTGAATCTGCAATGACTGCATTACCACATTCAGATTTTATGCAAAAAAAAAAAAAAAGGTGCTGTTAACATTAACAGTGACTTTGACCTTTCATTCATAGCTTTTTGGACTCTTCTGGGTCAAAGGGGTGTGAGTCTATTCCGTCCAGGACATTTCTCGGATCGGCGCAGTGAACAGCGGCACGCAACATCGGTCAATGCGTTGCTCACAGAATGGCGCAATAAACAGCATGAGAATGAAGGGGGAGAGGGTAACTGTAGCCCTACAGTGGCTAGAGAATAAGATGCATACACATGTCATAATTGTAACAAACTCTGAAAGCATGCTGAGAAAGGTGCTTCTAGCAGAGTGACAAGCTTCACTAGGAAGGTCACGGGTAGTGAGCATACTTTGGATCTTTTCTCCAGACAATGCTGGTGTTGTGGGTAATGAACAAGCAAAGAGATTGGCTGGATCTACACCACTGGGTGGTGAATTGATACATGACAAGGCAGATATGTTCAAGGCCCTTTGGGAACAAGCAACAGAGTCAGTAGAGAAACAAGATTATTATGGCCTGGAGAGAATGAGGCACCTGGGTGTAACCAGAGGTTTTGGCTGGCTCCCTACACTCAGAGGAAAGGCAAGACGGACATTTAACCAGATCATGACCGGAACCATCAGTATCGGAACTCTGTGCTGGCTGCTGCTAATGATGAGGACGAGCACGCATGGGAATGCCCCGTGTGCTGTGATGTCATTTCTTGACTCAACTCTACATTTGTAAGGTTAGCAGGTATTTTAACTGTATCTCTTAATACCAGCAGCAAAGTCATCCATGTCATTGTCAATACTGCCTATATTTACAGTTTTCTGTGGTGGAGGTGGGGGTTTGAGCCCAAGGATTTAAGGCTACATGGTTAGATGTAGTTGCCATGACAGGATTTTAATTTTGGCTCCAACAGTAAAATGAAAAAAAAAAAAAATCTCATAACCTTACCAAAGGACTCAAACCTGGATCTCCTTCATAAGAGCCCAAAGTTCGGCTCTCCTTTAAATAACGGTAGCAAGGTGGAAGGCGACGGTCGCTTAGTTGGAGTTCACTCCCTTGGCTGCAGTGCAAATACGGAGTGGTAAAGAGGGAACGAAACAAATGATATAGTTACCTGTCATCCTAGGGTTAGGCTTAGGGTTTGGGTTAGGATTTGGGGTAGGGTTAGGGGTGGGGTTAGGGGTAGGGTTAGGATAAGGGGTAGGGTTAGAGTTTGGGGTAGGGTTAGAGTTTGGGGTAAGGTTAGGGTTAGGGGTAGGGTTAGGGTGACACATTAAGGAAATGACGGAAGCTAATCGCTCATTGCGACATACAGATCCGCAGGTCTCACATCTACGGTCACTAAGTAGTGGTCGGAAGAACGCGGCCGCTAATGTGAGTCACAGCGCGTGGTCTACGAGAGTCGTGCGTCGCAAGACCGCGTTCGCTACTGTCAGTCGCAGCGCGTTGTCTAGCTCTAGCAGGCATGTCGACCTCACTTTGTTTTTTGATTCGTGACTTGTCCGCTCCGTATTTGCACTGCAGCCAAGGGAGTGAACTCCGACTAAGCGGCCGTCGCCTTCCAGCTAGCGACCGTTATTTAAAGGAGAGCCCAAAGTTCTTAACTCTTTCAGTGCCAGGGGGTTTGGCATCAGAGGCCCAGCTGGTAGTAAATAGAGAAGTAAAATCTGCACATCTTGTGTTCACTGGGCTTCTAGGTGGAAACCTATATACACATGATGTGTCCCTTGGGACTGAAAGAAATACACTATATCCAAATTTCATGAGCTTTTCCCCAGGGTTTTAAATGTATGCTTACTGTTGTGTGAAGGTTCATTGGATCTGATTCCTGGGCTGATAGCCGGGATGCTATACGAGGAGCTGAAAGCCAGGCCTATGGTTCTATCACTCTCAGACTGGATGCTGATGAGATTGAGGTGGGTCACCCTGTGTTGTATAGCCACAGAACTGTAAACCTGTCATCAAAAATTGATATATGTCCTTAGAACCCAGAAGGCCAACCCAGGCAAACAAATGCCTGCAGAAGTTGCATGTGTCAGCCAAAATGTGCAAATATCATCGCTGCATTGTAACCGGGCACAGTACGTTTACATTTTCAGATGAACGCAGAAGAAGAAGAGGAAGAACTGGGTAGATCCAGGCAGGCTAACTTAGATAACAATTATCCTAAGAGGTTTGATGTGTTAGCCATAAGGCACAAATATCACAGCTATATAGTAAACAGGCATAATGCAGTTACATCCAAAGCAGTGATAAGATGAATACAAAAGAAGAAGAAGATGAAAGATGAAGAAGAACCCAATAGATAAATTTAGAACCAATTACATGTCTTTAAAACTGGATACATGACTTTATTACTAGATGTCTGACTTAAGAACCTAATGCAGGATTTTAGATGAATTAATGACTTTGGAACTAGATGTATGACTTAACATCTGTATGAATGACTTTAGAACTGTATGAATGACTTAAGAACTGTATGAATGACTTTAGAACTGTATGAATGACTTTATAACTGTATGAATGACTTGAGAACCTGATTCATGATTAGAACTGAATGCGTAACTTTAGAACTAGATTCATGACTTTAGAATTCAATGCCTGACTTTAGAATTGGATTCTTATCATTAAAGCTAGATTTTTGACTTAGGAACTGGGTTCTATACTTTTAGAATAGGACACATCTGTAGAAGTAGATACATAACTTTACAACTGGATGGATTACATTGAAATTGGATAGATGATATTCCTCTATACATTACCCTCACAAAATATAAAAAGGATAACAGTAATGTAATTAAAGATAATTATATTCCTTTGTACCTTTATATCTACAGGCATTTGAAAATTACATCAACCAAAAGAACCTGGCCAACTCCAAAGACAACCCTTGGTTCCCAGACTACTTCCAGAACATTCTCAATTGCTACATATCCAAGACAAATACCATGGGCTACCCAATGGCTTGTCCAGCTGGCCTAGTCAGCCTCATCAACAGCCAGAGGTACCAGCAAGATTCTGATGTTGTCTACGTCATCAATGCTGTCTATGCAGCAGCTTATGCAATTCACAAGACCCTTGAGTCTACCTGTGGTAAGTTGCATGTTGTAGTTTACAGGACCACTTGAGTCTACCCTTGGTAAGTTGCATGTTATGTATGGTTTACACAAGCCTTGCGTCTACTTGTGGCAAGTTGCAGGTAGGAGTTTACAGGACCCTTGTGTCTACTTGTGGCAAGTTGCAGGTAGGAGTTTACAGGACCCTTGTGTCTACTTGTGGCAAGTTGCAGGTAGGAGTTTATAGAACCCTTGTGTCTACTTGTGGCAAGTTACATGTAGGAGTTTACAGAGCCCTTGTGTCTATCTGTGGCAAGTTGCAGGTTGGAGTTTATAGAGCCCTTGTGTCTACTTGTGGCAAGTTGCAGGTAGGAGTTTGTAGAACCCTTGTGTCTACTTGTTGCAGGTAGGAGTTTATAGAACCCTTGTGTCTACCTGTGGCAAGTTGCAGGTAGGAGTTTATAGAACCCTTATGTCTACCTGTGGCAAGTTGCAGGTAGGAGTTTATAGAACCCTTGTGTCTACCTGTGGCAAGTTGCAGGTAGGAGTTTATAGAACCCTTGTGTCTACTTGTGGCAAGTTGCAGGTAGGAGTTTATAGAACCCTTGTGTCTACCTGTGGCAAGTTGCAGGTAGGAGTTTACAGGATCTTTGTGTCTACCTGTGGCAAGCTGCAAGTAGTAGTTTACAGGACCATTGTGTCTTTCTGTGGCAAGCTGCAAGTAGTAGTTTACAGGACCCTCTTGTCTATCTGTGGCAAGCTGCAAGTAGTAGTTTACAGGACCCTCTTGTCTATCTGTGGCAAGCTGCAAGTAGTAGTTTACAGGACCATCTTGTCTATCTGTGGCAAGTTGCAAGTAGTAGTTTACAGGACCCTCTTGTCTATCTGTGGCAAGTTGCAAGTAGTAGTTTACAGGATCTTTGTGTCTACCTGTGGCAAGCTGCAAGTAGTAGTTTACAGGACCATTGTGTCTTTCTGTGGCAAGCTGCAAGTAGTAGTTTACAGGACCCTCTTGTCTATCTGTGGCAAGTTGCAAGTAGTAGTTTACAGGACCCTCTTGTCTATCTGTGGCAAGCTGCAAGTAGTAGTTTACAGGACCCTCTTGTCTATCTGTGGCAAGCTGCAAGTAGTAGTTTACAGGACCCTCTTGTCTATCTGTGGCAAGTTGCAAGTAGTAGTTTACAGGACCATCTTGTCTATCTGTGGCAAGCTGCAAGTAGTAGTTTACAGGATCTTTGTGTCTACCTGTGGCAAGTTGCAGGTAGGAGTTTACAGGACCATTGTGTCTATCTGTGGCAAGTTGCAAGTAGTAGTTTACAGGACCATTGTGTATAACTGTGATGAGCTGCATCTTGTAGTTTACAATACACTCGCGTGTACCTGTGGTACCTGTTTCCAATTACAAGATCCTTGTGTGTATATTTAGTAAGTTGCATTTTGTAATTTACAAGTCCCTTGTGTCTACATCTGGTAAACTGCATGCTACATATGGTAAGTTGCATGTTCATATGGTAAGTTGTATGTTGCAATTGACACAACTTTTGTGTCTATTTAACATGTTTATGTAAATGTGAAGCATTATTATACAATGATCTCATTTTTTTTTTCTTTTCCAGGGGCAAACTACAACACTGTCTGTCAGTCATACCGCGCAAACTCCACCCGCCATGAAATGATTCGTGACAATCTGGCAAATGTCTCATTCACTGATCCAGCAGGCAAAGATTTCATGTTTGTCAACCGGTCTGGTGTTGCCAGCTATAGATTTAACTATATCAACCCAGAAATTTTGGGCTATACCTATAAAACAGTAAGTTTTACCATATATATAAATATGTCTGTGTCTTAGACGCTACGAACACGCTTTGTAATGCCAGGGTGCTGGGTTAGATCCCAGCTGCGGACGGTTTGTCTTGCGTTGGTTTCAACAGTGGCTGTTCAGAAAGCAGTGGCAAACTGAACCTAAAATGTGCCTAAAAAAACCACAACAGCAAAAAAATGCTGGGGTTGGTTCTGCAACGTCCTGTAACTTTATATATATGTATCACAGTACTCTTTTTTACGACGGTGAAACTTGGTCAACTTGTTCACACCAGATGAAACGGCTAAACAGCTTTCACATGCGATGCTTAAGAAGGATGTTCTTCTTTACGTCCTCTTTTACCGCTTTGGATGTCGAGTGAGATAGAAGGTCCTGCTTTGTGCTCTTCTGGCTGCTTCGACCATAAACACATCGTGGTGCTGTAGAGTTTCTCTGATGTTATCTTTCCATCTTGTTCTTGGCATTTAGTGGCAGGACAAGATAACAAATTATGAGATATATGTAAGAGCGGCTGTCACAACAATTTTTGTCAGTGCTCAGTCTCCAAAGGATGATTTAACTGGGTCACACTTGGAGAATGGAGGGTAGAGCCCTAAGGACATCCTCTGTGAGGAATTACATATGGGTAAAAGTTGATATGCTAAGATATAAATATGTGTGCACACAGAACATGAACGATGCAGGTAGTTTGGTAGATTTGCGGGAGGAAAACGCCATCAACTGTGTTGTATAGAGAGGGAAGTCTGGAAGGGATTGTGGCTAAAGGGGAAAAAAAATGATTGCAAAAAGGGCGAGAACTAAACATCTGAGAAAAACCACAGTAAATACATAAGATGTGTGCACAATATAATCTTTCTCTCTTATCCTGCTTTGGTAATTCCATAGGAATGTTGAATAAAGAATAACATTATAGCACTCTGGACACTCACATAAGCGATCCTTCCCCATCTTCAGCAGCAAGCGAAGAGTTCCAGTTCCGATGGTACCAGTTAACTGCCTGATTGTACATCCATCTCACCTTTCCCTTGAGTTTTGGGCATCGGCCAGATCCCCTGTTTTCCTCAGACCATAATGATCTATTTGTGCCTCTGCACTGTTCACTCACACCCAGAGGGCCCTCACAACATCTAGTTTGTCATACATCAGTTCACCACCAAGTTGGCATAGAACTGGCCAGTCTATCTGCATGCACGTTTCACAGCACACAGGCATCACCTGGAGAAAATATCCAAAAAACTACTAGTTTACAAGCGAGGAGTTAAGTTGTAACCATTGGTGTATGTTTTTACTGAGTGTGTGGCTTTGAGGTTAGTGAATGCAGTTGACAGTTTCACGACCTTCCAGTCTAAGGGTTTGATTTCTATTCACTGGGCTTCTGTTCAATAAAGAACCATTTTCTATGCTTTCTTGGACATTGGGCATATAGGGCTAGACCTATATTTTACAGACCAATCGGCACTTTGTGGGTGATGTGGTCAGCATCACGCTGGCTGCCTTTACTTCTCAGGACTTTACCTGGTACCCATTTAAGACTGGGTCGACTTGGAAGCCAAGGTCATTTTTGAAAATGTCCAGCTCTGTCAGGACCTGAACTCATAAACTTACACTCCGGGGGCAAGCGTCTATCTGCTACACCACAGTGGCTGCCATTAGGTTTCTATGTTAGTTTGAATTACTTGAGCTGTCCGTGTCTGAATGTTAAATGACAGTAGAAATCAGTTTCCTGCCATCTTCCTGTGCAGATTGGGAGCTACAACCTGACCAGTGCCATGCTCATGTTGGATGGGCAGTACCGTGATTCCATCCAGAGTGACTGCAACAGACCAGATGCCTGTGCCGAGTGCCCAGCTATTAGAGACAGTGATGTTCGCTATGTGTTCTATAAACCGTAAGTGTTGATTTATGCTATGTTTTATGTTCCGAAAGTGGTGATCTGTGTTAATGTGTTTTGTAGTCAGAAAGTAGTCATTTTACCCCCCCCCCCCCCCCCCCCCCCCCTCTCTCTCTCTCTCTCTCTCTCTCTCTCTCTCTCTCTCTCTCTCTCTCTCTCTCTCTCTCTCTCTCTCTCTCTCTCTCTCTCTCTCTCTCTCTCTCTCTCTCTCTCTCTCTCTCTCTCTCTCTCTCTCTCTCTCTCTCTCTCTCTCTCTCTCTCTCTCTCTCTCTCTCTCTCTCTCTCTCTCTCTCTCTCTCTCTCTCTCTCTCTCTCTCTCTCTCTCTCTCTCTCTCTCTCTCTCTCTCTCTCTCTCTCTGTCTCTGTCTCTCTATGTGAGTGTGAGAGAGAGAGAACACACATTAAAATCATTAAGCACATTAACTCACATGTACACATTAAAACACTAACCTGTATAAGCTTAGTTTAAAACCTCATAGATTCAACTTCCTATAGCCAACACCAAGTGGCATTGGGAATCATATCTGCTCATATTCTTCTGTCTTCTTACTGTCAATCATTTCTAAAACAAGATGTTCTTCCATGCCATGATATTAAGCCAGGGCTATTAAACTGGTGGCCTAAGGGCTGAAGCTGACCTGCGTGGGTCTAGCAAATGACCCATGGACCCATAGTGATCTTTGTATGCCTTAGCACTGGTCCGTGCCGATTCTGATTTTCATCATTTTAGGCCCTGAGTAAACTTAGTTGGTTACGTTTGTGCTAAACTGTCCAGTTTTTACTCTGTCTGCCTTTCTTCTTTCTTCCCCTTTTACTTTCCTCATTGTCACCACATATTCCAGTTCACCCTTTTCACAGTGTGACTGAGGGGCCACATTAGTGTAGCAGCTATATGCCTGCCTGCTGGCCTGAAGGTCCTGGGATTCAACTCTTGTGTCAGATTTTCGACCCAGCCTAAAATATTTACCAGGCAAAGTCCTAGTAGTAAAGGTGGTCGGCATGATGTTGATCACAATGAGTGCCGATTGGTCTATACAAATATTAATCTTGCTTGATATGCCAAGTGCACGACTGGCACAGAAAGGAGTGTTTACTTTTACTTTAAAACATGATCAAAGAATTGAGATTGTTTCTTTGTGAACTCTGTAGATTGTTTCTTAACTCTTGGATTACTCCAATTACCACTTTTGTGTCTGTCGAAGCCTTTCTCTTCTTTGAGTAACCATGTTGTCTTCTGTTACTGTTCATTTGAAATCACTGTAGCATTTAACATACCTGACATATTGCACTAAAGAGGCCCTTGCCTGGGTGGTGGAACAGAAAGCAGCTCCCACATTGATAGTTACAGGCTCAGTGAGCATGCTTAAGAAGTTCCAAATTGGCAGACTCCAACTCCTCATCGCCTAAAAAAAAAGAAAGAACAAAAAACTGTCTTGGCTGTGCACGCTCGGATGTGCCGGAGTGAAAGGAAATGAAAGAGCTGACATACTGGCTGTGTCTGCCTTTGCTGGTGGAGCAAAAGCTATGGACAGGGCAGACATACTTATTGCACTGCATTCCAGAGATGTTGAGACAAGGGAGTCCGAGATGATGGACAACCTGTTGGAAATACATACTAAATGAGGACAAGTATATAGAAACCGGTTGCAAAGGAATACCTCCCTCCCAGGACTCTCTCCTTTACATCCCAGGACTTTATCTGGTACCTAGTTAAGACTGAGTCAGCCTGAGGGCAATACATTTCTGAAAAGGTCAGTCTCAATCAGGACCTGAACCCATGACAATCAGATCCAAAGATGAGTGTCCAGCTGCTGCACCATGGCCGCTGCCTCAGAAATATAAGGCAAATTTTAAAAAGCATAAAAATAATACCCACCATAAATTGTTATCTAAAATAGCAATTAAATGCTCATTATATTTCAGGACTCGGAGTTTGACTCAGACAATTGTTGCCTTTTTGGATGTTCACCACCAAGGTGTCGATCCCTTCCGGTGTGGGGAGATTAATGTTCTTGGCTTCCAACAGTTAGTGACACTGTTCTACACTCTGGAGAAACTGTTTCCTGCTGTAAGTGTATATGTTTATATGATCTAGATGTGTAAGTTTGTGTGAATTTCTAGGAACATTAGATGAGTAAAGCATAGTTAGGTTTTGTTATCACAATCAAAATCTATGCATGTTGGGCATCCCTGTGCCTGCTGAGTCCTCCGATGCAGCAGCCACTCCAGGTTACCTCTGCTGATTGTTTCCATGAAGAGTTGGTTTTACCTCGAAGACGACATAGACATCCTTCATCAAGTTTAACTCCACGGTTATGCAGTCGGGTTAGCATCAGAGATTTACCATTATCCCCCAACCTGGTCCGTCCAGCATTGATAGTAAAGCATAGTGATACTGCAAACTAATGTAGAAGGCTTCATGACACCTTGGCAAGGACCGCTGTCCAGTGGACGGCAGATGGAGCAAAGTGGCGGGTTGCATACTAGGAAACATGGAGGACACAAGAAAATGAAACAAAATGTAAACTGACATGAGATACCATGGGCAGAAAAGCAGCAGACAGGCAATAATGGAGATTGCTTGCGAATGCCTTATGTGTCAACAGCGACTTCAATAAAATAGACAGACAGATAGATTTACTGACAGACAGACCACAATGGAGATTGCTTGAAAATGCCTTATGTCTCAACAGTGACTTGAATAGGATAGATAGAATGATAGACAGACAGACAGATAAATAGACATACAGACAAGACAAATGTATATAGATAGATAGAGTAAGATTAGATTAGACAGATAGATTAGATAGATAGAGAGAGAGATAGAGAGAGAGAGATTAGACAGACCTACGGACAGACAGACAGACAGAAGGATGGATGGATGGATGATTAGATTAGATTAGTTTAGATGAGTAAGATTAGATAGACAGTTTTATTCATAGACCGTAAACACTGGCAGAAAGTTCTGGTTGTTCGTCCATTTAGACTTTGGCTTTGTGCCAGTGCCTGAGTTTTGCTTGTACGTCCGTTTTACTAGCTTATTTATGTGCAGTTGGTTGTTCCTTGCCACTCAGACAGATGCACTCCAACTTCAAAGGAAGTCCCCAATTAGTCGTCTTCTATGACATGCTTGTTGGGGTGACAGTGGGTCTATTCTTGTTTTCCCCGCAATGGGATCCCAAAACCCACACAGGGAGAATCGTGTCCAGTGTTACAGGTGCAGTTCACTATATCACAAGCAACAAGCTACTGTCAGACAAACTGATGTAAAGGTGTAGTAAGAGGGGCTGCCTTCTCTCACCATAAATTTTCACCATAAATATTCAACATGTATTCAGAACATGTTATTAGAAATGTAAAAAAAAAATTATGCAGTTAATTGGTGGAAATCAACTTCCAGAATCATATGTGTATATCATCATATAGCAGGTCCTTGACAGAATATCACTGCCATCACATCCTGCCTCATTCATTTTCCTGCCCAGAGTGTCTCTTATGTCCTTGCCGATATTCGCACTGGTCAGCTCTCACCCCGCGGACCACCCAGTAATGTTTACTTTACTACTGTTCTCTTTCCTTTCCATTGTGATGCTGGATGGGGCTAAACTGTTTCAGTTTCTGAGACAAGATGCTGTTTACAAGCCAAATTTCCTTGAGGTTCAGATCTTTTAGGAAGTCAGTATTTCTGTGGAATTCTGATAATCTTTCAATAATATTTTACCCCAAAAGCTCCTATTGTATTTCTTAATTTTTTGTGAAATAACCCCAGCTCACATCCGTATGTTGCTACAGGAAAGATAGATGCTCTTAAAAGTTTGACTGTTTGATACATATAGAAAGGACTTTTTATTAGAAAAACAAAAGGTGCTGGTACTCACCACAAAGTTTCCATTACAGTAGGGCTGAAAAAAAAAAGGGTTGCCTCAAAAGGGTGCTGTTTCCGTGTACCATTGCATACAACCAGAAAATAAAACCTGCATACAAATATGTCACAGTCAGATATGTACATTTGAGAATATTATTATCTGATATTTTCAGGTCAACTACAGAATACTGGTCATTGACACATGCTCCAACAGTTTGAGGGTTGATCAGGATCTCTTTGGTTTGTTGGATGGAACTGGCCTCTGTAACTCTGAGTAAGATCATCATTACAATATGATCCAATGCAGTTGTTTTGTGATAGTGGTTACTTATGAATTCAAAGTTACTAAATAACGAGACCAAGATCTGAAATCAAATTGACTAAGTAATGAGATGTGGTCTTGTCATGAGACAAGGGAGTCTGGAAAAAGGACTTAGGAAAAAGTCAGCAGGAACATTAAAACTTAGAGAAATCAGCCCTGAGACAGATATTGGAGCATTAGAGATATCAACAGGGAGACAAGAACATTAGAGAAGTCAGCAGGGATATTGGGACATTAGGGAAGTCAGGAGGGAGACCAGGGATATTGGAACATTAGGGAAGTCAGAAGAGAAACCAGGGATATTGGGACATTAGGGAAATCAGAAGAGAATCCAGGGATATTTGGACATTAGGGAAATCAGAAGAGAAACCAGGGATATTGGGACATTAGGGAAGTCAGAAGAGAAACCAGGGATATTGGGACATTAGGGAAATCAGAAGAGAATCCACGGATATTTGGACATTAGGGAAGTCAGAAGAGAAACCAGGGATATTGGGACATTAGGGAAGTCAGAAGAGAAACATTAGGGAAGTCAGAAGAGAAACCAGGAATATTGGGACATTAGGGAAATCAGAAGAGAATCCAGGGATATTTGGACATTAGGGACGTCAGAAGAGAAACCAGGGATATTGGGACATTAGGGAAATCAGAAGAGAAACCAGGGATATTGGGACATTAGGGAAGTCAGCAGGGAAACCAGAGATTTTTGGACATTAGGGAAATGAGAAGAGAAACCAGGGATATTGGGACATTAGGGAAGTCAGCAGGGATATTGGGACATTAGGGAAATCAGAAGAGAAACTAGGGATATTGGGACATTAGGGAAGTCAGCAGGGAGACCAAGAATTTTGGGACATTAGGGAAATCAGAAGAGAAACCAGGGATATTGGGACATTAGAGAAGTCAGCAGGGAGACCAGGGATATTGGGACATTAGGGAAGTCAGAAGAGAAACCAGGGATATTGGGACATTAGGGAAATTAGAAGAGAAACCAGGGATATTGGGACATTAGAGAAGTCAGCAGGGAAACCAGAGAATTTGGAACATTAGAGAAGACAGCCGGGAGACCAGGTCTATGGATTTTGGGACATTAGAGAAGTTAGCAGAGAGGCCCGAGACATTAGGACATTAGAGAAGTCAGCACGGGGACCTAGAATATTGGAACAGTATAGAAGTCAGCAGGGATATAGGGACATTAGGAAAGTCAGGAGGGATATGGGACATTAGAGAAGTTAGCAAAGATACCCGAGACATTAGGACATTAGAGAAGTCAGCTGGGAGACCTGGGATATTGGGATATTAGAGAAGTCAGCAGGGGGACCAGGGATATTGGGACATCGTAGATGTCAGCAGGGGGACCAGGGATATTGGGACATTGTAGATGTCAGCAGGGATACCAGAGACATTAGAAGTCAGCAGGGAGATTAGGGCAACAGAGAATTCAGCAGGGAGACAAACACTTAATAGTTTGACAGAGTGACAATTATGTTGATAATGGCCAAGCAAATTGAGATCACAGAAAGTAGGCATTTGAAGAGAAAAATTATTTTCTGCATTTTGATATGGCATATAGTGATGTTAATTTCAGTATCACACTTTCTTGATGCCATTGTCTGTTCATTGTCCAAGTTTCAGCACCCTATATACTCACTCCTACTTTGTGGTCCAAAAAACCAATTTGGGTAAGCAAGTAAAAACTCGAGGCTCTGGAGCTGTGAATATACAGAAGACAAGTTCATAGTTCATGGAAGAAAAAAAAAACAAATACGATGTTCTGAAGAAACTGAGAATTTTAAAGAAAGTTGTTGATAATTTGGAGAAAAAAGACATATACATTAAAAGATATAAAACTCCTTTAAAACCGATACTAAAGGGAAATGTTAAAGGCAAATGAGCAAGAGGTAGACAGTGATACATATGGGTGAACAGCAGTCTCAGTGTACAACCAGGATGAGGGTAAGATAGAATTGAAAATCCATTGTCTTCACTAATCAATAATCTAGAGCTTTGGGAGAGAACAAGTTGCAGTGGATCAAGAGGTAAAGAAAAGACGCTGGCATTAGATAGGACACACACTGAGAAAACCTGAGAATAATATAACTAGAATATCTTTGCACTGGAACCCACAGTGGCAAAGAAATAAAGGAAGATAAAAAAACACAAAGAGAAGGGAGTTCGAGAGTAAAGTTAAAAAAGATAGGGACGACATGAGGAGAGCTGTATGCGATAGCAAAGGATATAAAGACTTGGCGTGAGTTGGATGAGGGCCGCCAAATCTACACCCACCCATTCCCGATCGAGGCCACCCCAGGCAAACTCTACTAGTCCTTTTCAGGACTAGTAGGCATCCATTCCCAATCAGTGTTGCAGAAACAAACAAGATATTAGGCATGAGTACACGTCACCAAAACAAAATGAAAACGCACAGAAACAAGGACGCAAGTAAAGCAAGGCCCCAGACGCACGCTGAAGCGTTCAATTTTTTATTTTTTATTTTCAACGTCAACATCAATGGTTGAGGGTCTTTACTCCATTAAGGGTTAGAAAGGCAGAAGAAGAAGAAAAAAAATTGCCTTCACTGGGGAAATGGCACCTTAGTTATTTACTGATTTATTTTCAGATTTGACAATTCCAACCCAGTCTCGATTAAAAACATTGGCGGCGTGATCGCTGTTGGCGAACCAAACACGGTAGCAGCATCCAGAGTCCTGGAACTGCCGGGGGTCACATACCTCAGTCCAAATGCCCTGACCACATTGTTAGATAGCAAGCAGCACCTGGTGAGAACCATCGCCCCAATCAGTGCCATGATGAAAACACTGGTGTCTCTGCTGAAGAATCTTGGCTGGACATACGTTGATGTCTTGTATGAAAATTCAGCTGAGGGCATCCAGCCGTTCCACAGTTTTGCATCTTTTGCTAATGCTGAAAGGTAGGTAACTTTTGGAAAGTATGTGGAATTAGGAATCAATATCATAGCACTCAGGACACTACCATAAGTACTCCGTCCCCATCTTCAGCAGCAAGTAAAGAGTTCCCGTTCTGATGGCACCAGTAACTTGTCTAATTGTATAACCATCTCGCCTTTCCCCTGAGTGTTGAGTATTGACCAGATCCCCTGGTAACTCCTTGCAGTGCCATTCTCCTCAGACCATTATGATCTGTTTGTGCCTCTGCACTGTTCACTCTCTCCCATAGGGCCCTCACAACATCTTGCTTGTCAAACATCAGTTCACCACCAAGTGGTGCAGAACCGGCCAGTCTATCTGCCTGCTCATTGGAAAGTATTTTAAGCTTTATCACTAACTTTTTGGGGAGGTGGAGTATCATAGTAGCTTATTATGGAAGTAGATAACCCACCCACCCACCCACACTTAATTATAGTTTACTTCATAACTGTTTAGTGGTGTCCCAGTTTAACTGGGCTATATGGCTATACAGTTTAACTTGGTTTCTGGGAATTGTAGCTGTTTGATTCTCATTCTTCAGATGTTAATTCTGCAGACTGCAAATTTATAGGGAAAACTGTTTAAAGAAAAAAGGGAAGTGGCATGGAGTGGTGTCAAGGTTTATTTTTTGTTTAAGTGGAGAGGTGTTGACGTTTATTATTTAGGTGGAGAGATGTTGACGTTTATTATTTAGGTGGAGAGATGTAGAGGTTTATTATTTAGGTGGAGAGGTGTTGAGGTTTATTATTTAGATGGAGAGGTGTAGAGGTTTATTATTTAGGTGGAGAGGTGTTGACGTTTATTATTTAGGTGGAGAGATGTAGAGGTTTATTATTTAGGTGGAGAGGTGTTGAGGTTTATTATTTAGGTGGAGAGGTGTTGACGTTTATTATTTAGGTGGAGAGGTGTTGACATTTATTATTTAGGTGGAGAGGTGTTGACGTTTATTATTTAGGTGGAGAAGTGTTGACATTGATTATTTAGGTGGAGAGGTGTAGAGGTTTATTATTTAGGTGGAGAGGTGTTGACATTTATTATTTAGGTGGAGAGGTGTTGACGTTTATTATTTAGGTGGAGAGGTGTTGACGTTTATTATTTAGGTGGAGAGGTGTTGACGTTTATTATTTAGGTGGAGAGGTGTTGAGGTTTATTTTTTAAGTGGAGGTATATTTAGGTGGAGAGGTGCTGAGGTTTGTTTTTTAGATGGAGAGGTGTTGAGGTTTGTTATTTAGGTGGAGAGGTGTTGATGTTTATTATGTAGGTGGAGTGGTGTAGAGTTTTATTATTTAAGTGGAGTTGTGTGGAGGTTTATTATTTAGGTTGAGTGGTCTTGAAGTTAATTTTAAGATTCACTGGTGTCATGGCTTGTTTGCTTATTCAGAAGGCGGTTTGATAGGGACTATGGAGTATGATAGATGTTAATTTCAAAAATTGACTGGTGTAAAGGTATATCTGGAAAAAAAAAATGGTATTTAGTACAACTGCTGTTGGTGATGTTTGTTTCTGAAGACCTGGTCAAAATAAGACATGGGAGATATCCTGTTAAGTAAAGGCAGCCGACTTGGTTTTGATCTAATCCTCAATAAAGAGCTGACAAGCCTGTAAAAAAATAAAAATAAAAACGTTTTTAAGCAACATAATGACTGATATGCCAGGAGCGTGAGAAAAGTATTTTCCTTTAAAAATAAATTTTTTTTTTCTTCAAAAATCCATGTTCTTTCCACAGAGTGTGCAGAGGAAGTAGTGTGATTGTGGATGCCTCCTCTGGGGCAGACATTCAAAGCTTCCTGGCACAGTTGAAAGGAGATCAAGGTTTGTTATAGTTTCCTGTGCTTGAGTATATTTAATTATTGTAGTGACTTTTGTGTTATTTTTCTTTTCTTCTTATAGGTCTAACTCCCTTCGAGGGCTCCAGGACTCCCATTTTGGGTATTGGTGTGTTGGAAAGGGTCCTTTACTATACTACCTGAATTTTAGATATTCCCAACCATTTTCTAGAATGTCAGTATTCTTCATCTTTTTACTTGCTCCTTTAGCCAACCGGACTTCGCGGCGACCGGGTGACAAACTCTTTGTGGTCTGGGTTCACGCTCGGGGGGTAGGCAGAAAAGCCACATTCCTCCAAGATTTACGGTATCTATCATGGAATCAAGGCCGAAGGGTTGCAATATCTATAGTACTGAGCCAAAGGGTTAAAAACTCATGGTTTCTGGATACTTGGAGAGAAAGAAAAAAAAACAATAATAAAAAAATAAATATTTTCAGAGGGTACCCACGCCCATCTTGTATGCAGCACACATGTATACACACTTGCATACTTACAAACATACTCATATAACCATAATCACATACATAAACACCTGCATATATCCATTCATGTATGCGCACATGCACACCATGTGTATACATATATGCCCAACATAGATTTACAGAGAAGCTGGAGACTAAGCCTCCCAGGGCAGTGCAGAACTTGGCATAGTGAAGAATAAAAGAGCTGTTACTAAACAGGCTAGATTGTTAGTCAACTGATCATCCTCATTCCACAAGGAACCAGTCAGATCATGTGCTGCTTGATCGCCTCCTGTGAATCCCACAGCTGCCAGCACCAGTTCTTTGTTGGTTTATTGTCCTTATGCATAGCACTCTTGTCTGGCTTCATCCCTGTTAACTTGCTGTTTCTTGCAGTCAGATCATGGTTGCAGTTCACAGACATCACAGGGTTCTTGCAGACATCTTACGTCTCATAGTGCATTCATTGTATCAGCCTGGTCCATTACTCATTCGATATCCACAGAAGTGTTACCTGCAAGTCTTTCCACTTGTTAATTTTCTTTTACACCTGTGTGCCCTAAGATGAAAATTAACCTGATTTTTGTCAGCCAAACCTCAGAGACTGCAACCACTATCTAAGGGACAGCATATCTTCATTTTCTTGAGCATACTCACCCAGCCATTCTCAGTGGCTATCGGTCTAGATTGTAAGTAATTACAAACAAAAGAGTTGTAGAATTTTTAAAATAGAGAATTGCTATTAATGCTATTAATGTTTAAGTTAGTTCGTTTCCAGAAGAAGAAAGTTGAATGAAAAATTGACATCATAGCAATCGGGGCACTCCTATAAGCGCTCTGCCCCCATCTTCCGCAGGAAGCAAAGAGTTCAAATTCCAAAGGTACCAGTAACTCTGATTGTACATCCATCTCACTTTTCCTTGAGCATTGAGCGTGAGCCAGATCGCCTGGTAACTCCCCACAGGGCCATACTCCTCAGACAATAATGATCTATTTGTGCCTCGGCACTGTTCACTCCCTCCCAAAGGGTCCTCACAACATATAGCTTGTCATACATCAATTCACCACCAAGTGGTGCAGAACCGGCCAGCCTGTCTGCCTGCTCATTTCCCAACACACCAGCACAACCTGGAAAAAATATCCAAAGGATGCTAACTAGCAGGACCTCTGAAGCAATGCTTGCCAATGTGCATGCAGCATGCCTGACTCCACCTTTTTCAACATACTCTGTGAGTCAGTTACAATTACGACATGTGTGTACATCTGATTCTCAATCCAGAAGAAGAAGAAGAAGAAAAGAAAACGAAGGTTACTTGTCTGCACACTTATAATTTGTTGATGCTACTTCATACAAATTCAGTTCTCCTGGGTCATTTTTTCATTCTCATGGGTCATTTTTTTCATTCTCCTGGGTCATTTTTTTCATTCTCATGGGTCATTTTTTCATTCTCATGGGTCATTTTTTCATTCTCATGGTCATTTTTCAGGATCTAGAGTTGTGGTCCTGCTGGGCAGCTACGAGTTTGTGAAGAATGTTTTAGCCACAGCCAATGCCATGAACATTGCTGACCGCTACCTCTGGGTCCTGGGTGTTGAGTGGGACCTAACCAGAGATGCACTGAGTGACCTTGTCCCGGTCGGAGTAGAGATTCGTCTGATCACCCTTGGACGTCTGAGCTACACTGTAGGTGCTTTCATCACCTATATGAACAGTCTGAGGTACTCTGATGTCCATGCGGTTGGCACCGGGAGCAGTATTCCCATGGATTGGTTTGATGAGTTTTATCAGAAGGTCTTTGACTGTAGAATTGCCAACTTTTCTAGATCGGTCAATCTCAGCATGCCAGTCTGTGACACCAACAAGGTAAAAGTACTGCTGTGATTTCCTAATAATGATACCGGGTCTTATATCAATGTTTGCATAAAATAAAAATAACAATGTCACTAGGGCAGTGGTCGACAAACTCTTTAGTCAAAAGAGCCAAATAGCAGCAGGACGATTACGCTCTTCTTGAGAGCCAAATTTCTTTTCATGAACCTGTCAAGAACCATGCTTTTTGTTTGTGGCTGACTTCCTGAGCCGCACTCAGGTTGCTAAAGATCTACACGTGGTTCGCGAGCTGCAATTTGTTGACCACTGCAGTAGGGCATATATATTCGCCCAGGAGGAGGGGGGAGGGGTCTTAGTTTTATTTCAGATACAAAAATTTGCATTTATTCATGCACTACATTTTTAATTCTTTCTTTTCCAGTTTAGATGAGAAAGATAATTCTTAAAAGCTATTTAAATCATTTCCTGATATATGGAAGTGAAGCATGGACAGTTGGTAGATTATTTACACATTATTTGGAATCTGCAAAAATGTGGTTTTATAGACGAATAACAAGAACACCCTCATGAATAATTATAATCCCACACTTTGTGTCAAAGGGTGTTTATCTCTCAGTGTGATATCCTGGTGGGGTTGAACGTCAATCAATAGATCTTCTTCTCAAATATCATCATAACTCTCCCTAACTTGAATTCCCATCTGAATTTCTAGCGACTCTGTTTCGCATAGAAGAACTGTTGGCCCACCCTTTCAACGAATTAACGAACAAACTTTTTTTTCAAAGGGTCACAAATTGGGCACGCAGGCCCATCTTACATTCAGCCCTTCCAAACACCCATCTTTCAACAATAAAACAAGTCTCATTCTAGCTGAGGATCCTAACAAGATCTTATATTGGGGTAGGAGCTATTTTTAAAGCATCCTGAAAAATCATACCAGGGCTTATTTTGGGATAGGAATTTCTCTCATTCTAGCTGACGATCCTAACTAGAGCTTATTTTGAGGTAGGACATTTTTAAAGCATCATGAAAAATCATACTAGGGCTTATTTTGGGATAGGACTTATTCTGTAAGCATCCTGAAAAATACTAGGGCTTGTTTTCTGGGGATGAAGCCTGTTTTCGGCAAAATACATTACCATTATATATTTTTGTAAAATTCAATTTTCTGCCTGCCAGAAGGTCTTAGGTTTCAGTTCATATCAGGGTGTCTCAATTTGTAGTGCATTTCTAGTTATTTTGTGATATTGTGATGGTTCAGGACTTCTGCAGGACATCAGGAGCCTCTCTTGGCAGTGGTGAAATTTCACAAGCTAGCTTGGTTCTGGTACATGGTGAGACAGGATACAGTTGTAAAGATTGCACTTCAAGGAACATCAGGGGGTAGTCGAAGAAGAGGAGTGCAAAGAAGAACCTGAAGTGATGACCTAAAGAAATTGACAGGACTGTTATCATACACTTATTCTTCAAGCAGAAGACAGAAAGATTGCGGGTTTTGTGGGCTAGTGCTTCCATCAATACACCTCCACCACCCTAACGGGTCAAGGGTTATGTTATCTTATTGTGATGATTAAATTCAACATTTAATCATATTCACATGTCTTACGCTGTTTAGCATCTGTCTATATCTTCTTCCTGTCCCTGTTGACACATAAGCCAATCACGAATGACCTCCAGTGTTGTCAGTCTGCTGCTTTTCTGTCTGTGGTATCCCATGCCATGTTACATTCCTTCATTTCTCTTTTTAGTGTCCTTTCTCAGGTTTCCTCAGGTAATTCACATCTTTTTTTTTCTCCATCTGTCATCCACCGGAGAGCTTTTCTTGCCTAAATGTCCTCCAGGCATTCTACAGACAAGTCCAAACCAGCTTCGCTTTCTTCCTTGATAACATTTAAAGTCATGAACATGTTGTTTTTTTCTCCTCATTTATTTTTTTATCCTCTTATTCTAGAATCATCCTGAGATATTTTTATTGTCAAATTCCACAGCTGTTGTCGAATATCAGCTTGATGCAGGATATGTACACCTTAAATCTGGTTGCTGCTACCATTGCTGTAGTACAAGGGCTCACAGATAGTACAGTCTCACCTCCTCTTGATGATGCTGTGTCCCGCATGAAAATTCTGTAAGAACTCCTGTGATAAAGTAACAGTTTGTGCTTTAAAGAACTTCGGCAGAAATGTTTGATATTGTTTTAGATCTCCCTGTGTGGGTGCCGGGGTTCTGTTTTGGAGAACAAAGAAAAGTCCCACAACCTCTGGACAAGTGTGTCATGGGAGATGACTAATTAGGGATGTTTTTTTAAAGTCAGAATTAATCTGCCTGGGCGCAGAATAACTAAGTCTTCATTCACATATGCCAGAACTGTGAAATAGATGCACGTAAAACTCAAGTTCTGAATTAAGACCACAGTTCAGGAATGGATGAACAACCAGAGTTTACAGCCTGTGAATTATAAGAAAAATATAGTTTTAGTTAATGGGACATGTGTTTTCACTTGCCATTTAGCCTTGCCTGGTCGCTTAGTGACGGGATGACTAGATTTTTTTTTAAAGACTATTCGAATTTAATCATTTAATTCTCAGCCCTGCCCATGTTTGATTGGTTACTCTCTTTTTTTATTTTATTTTATTATATTTTTTAAATGGGTAAAACATTTTGTTTGTTTTATAAAAAAAAATTGAGTTAACCATATGTTTTGATTCCTCCCCACAAAGAAAATGGTTGACACATTACGTTTCTGGGGACAGCTTTTATCGAGTTTGCTCTCTAGACAGTTGCAGTACCCTGCTGATGAGATTCTATCGTCTCAAGTGGCCCGTCGCAATCATAACATTCTGAAGGCAGCGTGGTCGAGGCTGCGAAAACTATCAGTCATTGTTCTTCCCCCACATAGCACAGCCACAATACACGCTGCTCCTCCCATGAAAAACACATAGTATCCTGCGCTGGAAATGTGCACAAAAAGCAGTCCATGATAAGGGAACAGAACAATCCAAAAGAAATCACCACCTGTGAAAAATACTACCACTGCTATCCGCCATTTTGAAAACGGAAGTCTTTTAAATAAATAACATTTTAAAAATTGTTTGAAGTGACCTGTGTAAAATGGGAGTTTTGTAAAGGTTTTCCCCAGCAGTGCCAGGTTCTTTTTGCTTTCCCCCACAATGGTTTTCAGGTGAAAGGGTTTAAGACTTTTATGGTAAAATGTACTGTGTAACGACATATATTTTTGGGGCTTCCTGTGCATCTGACAAGTTGCAGCAAAATATTTGAGGCACTAAATCTGCAGTGTATTTATGTGTGTGTGTATGGAGCCAGTGTGGCACAGTGCCGACTCGGCTGTCTTGAGTTTGAATCCATATTGAATGGAAAATTTTTTAAAATGATAACCTTAGCTTCCAGGCTAAAAATGGGTTCCAGGAAACGCCCTAGGAAGTAACAGTGGCTGGCATGGTTTTGACCCATTGAAATCCGATTGGTATTTAAAAACATGGGTCTAGCACCATATGTCTAATGTGCCAGTGGTGTTGAAAAGGTACTTAACTTTTTTTTTTTTTAAAGTAGTAGTGTGTTTCCTCTGGGGCAGACATTCAAAGCTTCCTGGCGCAGTTGAACAAACGAATGAACATTTTTTTTTAAAAGGTTAAGAATTGGGCATGCAGGCCTATCTACCATTTTGCCATTCTATTCTCCCTTCTTTCTTACATCATTTCATTCATTCATCAAGTAATTGTAATCATAACCAGTAGCATTGAAATATTCCATACAAGCACTGGAATATACACATTTATAACTACAGTTGAAAGTAAGTTAAGGCTAATGGTGTCTTTTCTTCTTCACGTTAACCAGCTGTAAACCCCGGCAGAAAGTCCTGACTGTTCATCCACTTCTGGACTTTGGTCTTGTTCCAGTATCGGAGTTTTGCATGCGCATCTTATGCAGACAGTTGGGTCTTTGCCTGTCAGGCAGAGACATTCCAGCTTTGAAGGAAACACCCCTGATTGGTTGCCTTTTTTGACATACTTTGTTAGAGGGACGGTTGGTCTATTCTTGTACCCTCTTTGCGGGCCGCATTAACGCAGTCAATAGGAGACTCACTTTTTATTCCAGCAGCGACTCCCTGCAGACCACGGCCAGTGTTTGAAACCGGGCGGTCCCCGGGATTCACCAAGCCTCTATGAAATGGGTACCAGAGTTGACACTCTGGGGTAAATGGAGGAATGTCGCTGTAGCTACAGAGTTACATGCGGACGGCGACGCAGGCGGACAGTTTATTATCAGCTGTCCGTACTGGTGACAGAGCACTTATGGTTTTTAACCGTGTGCATTGACGCTGGTTCACATCTCCCGACTTTACCTTTTTTACTTTGTACCCTCAAAATGGATCTCTAGAACCCACATGGGAAGCCAGTGCCATGAAAAGGGTCTTTACCTATTTTTTAAAAACTATATTTCATGTTTCTGGCTGGTTGTTCACATATTCCTATCACTATTTTCAGAAATAGCGTCCTCAGTGTTGAAAGGGACTTGAACACACAGAACTTGAACATACAGAACTTGAATATAAACCCACAGAATGTATCAGCAGTGTTGAAGTTTGATAAAGCTCACAGATGGTGGGACTCTGGATACTTGATCAAGTACATTCGGGTGAAGAAGTCAGCTGATGGGAGTTTGGATGTCAAGGAAGATGTGGTATGTTTGAGTTGTTTATGTGCAGATATAGATAATTTCTTTCATTTAGTTTAGTCGACAGATCAACATCACGGCACACGGGTGTAAACCCATAACTACTCCATTCTTCTTCTAACTCAAGCCTGAGTTTTAAGAATCTCAGTGATTGAACTCTGTAAGAGCGGCAAGGATCCTGAAATACTTTCAGGTAGATTTTTAACTCAAAATTTCGCCCACGCTAGGCTACTCTTTTCAGTTTCCAACTGCCAAGGTATTTTTTATGTTCTCAACAATACACATGGGCATCCGGTCTCACTACCCAGAGACCAGGGGAAATTACTAGAAGTCCACGTGAAAAAATCCCAGCCTTCACCGGGATTTGAACCCTGGACTCCAGCACTCGAGATGGATGCCATACCTGGAGACCACCCTGCCCTTGAATTTATTTCAAGTGAACAATAGAAGTTGTTGTTTATGTTACTGACTATGTGTTTTTTATTCTTCTTTCTCTTAGCATTTCCTGGCTGTATATTCTAGTAGAAAGTTCTGGTTGTTCGTCCACTTCTGGTCTTGCTCCAGAACTTTAAATTTTGTGTGCACATCTATTTTACATCTCTGTTTATTTGTATGCAGACTGTTGGTTCCTCTCCTCTCAGGTATATGTGCTGTGACATCGGGGAAGATTTTTTGTTTGTTTTTAGTTTATTTATTTATCCTTTCAGTATGGCTCTGTGGCTTACAGGCTAGTGAACAAGTTTCACAGTCTTCAATCTGTCATTGTTTTATTTCCATGGCAGACATTGTAGAAAGAAGAAATTTGCTTTGCTTTTGGATAGTTGAATGAAAGTTGCACTGTGGAAGAGTTTGAGGCCTCATCACGTAATTGTTACAATTCCTATGATAAAGTAACAGTTTGTGTGTTAAATAACTATAGCATAAATTTTTATTTTGTTCTGTTTAGTGGGGCCTGTCAGCATCTATGGCTTAGTAATTGCAAACATGCTTCATAATGCTAGGGTTCTGGGTTCGACCATAGCTTCGAGCGATTAGGGAGCAGACTGTCTTGCGTTGGTTTCGACAGTGGTACCGAGAGCTGATCGATCAGTAAGCAGTGGCAAACTACTGAGCATAAAACTTGCCCAGGAAAACCACATGTTGTAGAACCAGATTGGTTCTACAACATCCTGTAAAGAATACACAACTAACTGTTTTAGTTTAATGGGAGATATATTTTCACTTAATAATTATCACAGTGGAGTAGATGGCTAAGGGTTCCGAATGTTCATCTCACACACTGTTGGCTGTTTGAACCTTGGCAAGACACTGGCAGTTTATTAGCATGGGGCAGATCCATTCAGCTAAGTTCACATAAGGGACCCAAATGTTGAAAACTGGGATTGTCACAGACCAAAGACCCAAGCCCCAGCATTTAGAAGTTTTTTAATGCACTACAGTTGGTAGTGATCAGTGGGCTGCTTGCTAGGTCTCAGTGGGCCCATTTTGGCCCGTGGGCTGCCGGTTGAAAAGCCCTGTTAGAGGAGTTACCAACACTTGCCTGTCAGCCATATGGGCTTGAACAATGTTTGGAATCACCGCTGAGACCATTTAAAAAAAATAACTTGGACTTGCATGTAGACAGCATCAAATGGGCACCAGAAACAGTTTTGGACAGCATCAAATGGGCACCAGAAACAATTTTGGGCAGCATCAAATGGGCACCAGAAACAGTTTTGGACAGCATCAAATCTGCACCAGAAACAGTTTTGGACAGCACCCACTGAGTACTAACGTTCCATAAAATGGACACTAGGAAACATTTTGAACAGTACTCATTGAGTACTAATTGTTTCATAAAATGGGCACCAGAAATTGTTCCCCCCCCCCCCCCTTTTCCCTTTCCCAGCGGGTCATTTCAGCTGAATCAGTACAATAAATAAACCATTGTGTTAAGAGAAAAGAACAGTGACGATTGAAGAAGGGAGATAAGAAAGTTGTTAATGTTTCTGTATAGGCCAGGTTATTTAATGCATCAAAAGTAAGTGCCGCCCAGCAGTTACTTTCCCGACCCTCTAAAACCAATGAATGTGCATTAATTATTTTGTCTGTGATGCTGTCTTTTTGTCTTTCCCAGCTTATTAGTGGTGATTTCAGTCCAAGCATTCAGGAGATATCAAATATGAAAGCTCTTCTAGGCATAACCTCGGTCTGTAATGAAGGAGGAATCAATCCTTGCGACTGCACATATGAAGACATTGAACCTTCCCAGCCACTCATTTCACAACCCTTCACACCCACAGAACCACGAAACTACTACTACTACCACGCTGATGGCAAGCCGCAGTACCAATGGCCAATATGGGCAATTGTTGTGGCAATTATCACGTCTGTGTGTCTTCTAACAGCAGTCATCCTTTTCCTCATTCTCATATTTGCTTACCCTGTGAGGAGTGGAACAACGGTCCTTGGATACATGTCCATCATTGGTATCATCGGAATCTACGCCATCAACTTCGCCTTCTTTGTGCATGCAACAGATGCCACGTGCGGAGCTCGGCGCTTCTTGATGGGTGTTGTCTACATGATTGCTGTCGGCCCCTTGCTCGTCAAAGCTGTAGACAACTGGAGATTCCGGAAAAATAACAGTGAGAAGGAAAGATACAGGTAAGTAGAAGACCTTGACTTGAGCATGGTTTCAGAAGTTGTCTCTCTTTTTTTTTCTCTTCTTCTTCTAAGTGTTTCCTGGTTGGAAACTCCAGCAGAAAGTTCTGGCTGTTTATCAGTTTCTGAACTTTACCTGTTTTCCAGAACTTGGGTTTTGCATGCACGTTCATTTTTACATATCTGGCTTTTTTTTTAATGCAGACTGTTGGTTCCTTGTCTCTCAGGCAGATGCCCAGTCCGACTTCAAAGAAAACTCAGCTAATTAGTTGCCTTGTACAACATGCTTTTTAGGGAGGCAGTAGATCTGTTCTTTTTTTCCTTTGAAAATGGGGCCTACAAACCCACACAAAGAGTGTTGTGTGTGATTTTGTGACAGGCCTCACTGTAAAGCTAAGTGGTTTTATGTATTTCTGTTTATTATTGTATCATTATCCCTTTGTGTTGTATGCTGATGAAAGCTTTCCAGCTGCAGCATTCATGTTGTTGTTTCTAGTTGTGGTGTGGCAAGACTGACCAGCTCTACTTCCCTTGTGGATTGATGTGTCTTGTGATAATGCCTATCGTTATGATTCCTGATCATTATTTCATGAAACACGTTATTTGTCATGGCTGTATAAGTACCCTAAGATAAACAGGGGCCATATTGGATTTTTTGGGGGTAAATGTCCTGAATCTGACAGAAGAAATACTAAGGTGTGTGAAAATAAACTTTTCCAAAAATTGTCCACCTCACCCAAACTGGCTATTTTTCCTCTGCCACACATGGCCCTAACTCTTTCAGTACTAGCAGCTGGTCAAAATTCATTAGTTAGTCCAAGAAGAGGGCATGCACGCTTCTGACTTTTCTGTTATATCAGATGGTTTTTATATGAACTCCTTCATTAGAATTATTGGTTTTTACCCCTTCTGGAGACAGTGTTGTTATTGCAACTTCTCTCGAGAAAAAAATAAAGCTGAACCGTCACTCCTAACTAAAAACCGTCACTGTCTGTCTCTATTTCCATTCTTCCTGCTTCATTCAACGGATGGTCAATAGAGGTTCGGGAAGATATTCAGCACTGAAGGGGAAACATAGCGGGACTTTTAATCATGTTGATACTGGTACTGTTGGCGTGTCAGCTCTTTGTTGGCTACTGAAGAAGGGGATGGACCATGTGTGGGAATGTCCCGAGTGCATTAAAGTCAGTTCTTGATTGAGTGATATATTAATTCATTGTAAAAACTTCAAATAATGTTCTGCGATTTAGAGGTTAGTGAACATGTTTAACAGTTTCATGATCCTTTAGTAATTGGGTTCAGTTTCTAGGATGGATAATAGGGGGAAAAACACATTCTCATGATTTTGAGGCAATGGTATGAGAGACCTACTATGGAAAAGTTTAGAACCTCCCTATATAATATTCACAAAGACAGCAACGGGTCCACTGCAGCCAACCTCCAGTGTGCGGTGGGCATAGAATTTTTCCTTTTGAAAATTTCTTTTTTTTTCTTCTTCATGTTCTTCTTCTTAAAGTCCATACTGTGTGGCATCGGTGGTCATGTCTATCCACAGCCTTCTGTCTCATGTCAGACTGTCCAGCATCTTCTCTCTCAGTTTCTCTCTCTGCCTCTTTTCCCCTCCAGCTTTTCTACTGTCATGATGTACTCCAGTTTTCTCCTTCTCTTCACAGACCAAAGAATGTAGATTGTCTCTTTCTGATGTTGGCAGTCAGTTTTTTTTTCGTGAGTCAACTTCTTTCAAGACATCCACATTACTCTTTTTTTTATCTGTCCAGGGTATTCTCATCATTCGTCTATAGAACCACATCTCTGCTGCTTCTTTGCATTCAACGGCTATAAAATCCCAGTGGAAAGTCCTAGTTGCTTGTCTACTCCTGGACTTTGATCTTGTTCCAGTTTTTTTTTTTAATGTGCATTCATTTTACAAATCTGGCTTATTTGAATGCAGACTGTTGGTACCTTGCTTTTCAGGCAGATGCGCTCTGACTTTGAACGAAACATCCATAATTAGCCTTTTCTCATGACCCCCTTTGTAGGGGGGTGGGGGGTCTTTTCTTTGTTTCCCCAAATAATAGTACCCCAGAACCCAAATATGGATTTTAAAGATTCACACAATTACAGTTTGTCTTGTCTCTTTCAGCGGTATTTCCTCAGCATTTGTCCTCTTTGTGGCTGCAGTGGGAGTGGTTCTCCTCCAGTGTATTATCCCCATCATCTGGCTCATCCTTGTGCATCCAACAGCAACTGAGTGGAAGCCTTTTGCTTTTGCCCGCCATGACCACTGGTGGTGTGACCCCCCGCAGGACTATGATACGGGACTGGTGCAGTCTTTCATCTTCGTCATGTTTATCATCCTAGTGACCGCGGTCTTCTCTGCCCTGACCTTTGACAGCGAGAGAAATAACTTTGAGTCCAGGTTAGTCATTCAGCAACTATTAATTTGTTTTTTGTTTTTTTAGATTGTAATTGAATGTTGTTGTCATTCATCATCATCATCATCATCATTATTATCACCATCATCATCATTATTGTCACCATCAACTCTCAGAACTCCATATGAAGTATTCTCTGTGCTATCTTTGATAGCGAGAGAAACAGGTTTGATTGGAGGTAAATAATTCAGCAGCTGTTGAAATTTTATATTTGAGTGTTTGCTGTCATTTTATTCATCATCATCATCACCATCAAACCCCTTTCCACAGTAATTGAGTCTGTTAACAGTTATCATTATCATCATCAAGTGCACGGCTAGCATGGGTGATTATGCTTCCTCACAACCTGCAGTCTTCAACACATGACAGTTTGATTGCTACATAGAAAAAAAAAAAAAAGCAAATCACACATGACAGTTTGATTGCTACATGGAAATAAAAGCAAATCACACATGACAGTTTGATTGCTACCTAGGAATAAAAGCAAATCACACATGACAGATTGATTGCTACATGGAAATAAAAGCAAATCACACATGACAGTGTGATTGCTACATAGAACCAAAGCATATCCCACATGATGTTGATTTTTATATAAGAATATTAGCAAATCACATGTGACAGGTAGGTTTTTACATAGGAACAATAGCAAATCACATGTGACAGGTAGGTTTTTACATGGGAACAATAGCAAATAACATGTGACAGATAGGTTTTTAATAGGAACAATAGTAAATCACATGTGACAGGTAGGTTTTTACATGGGAACAATAGCAAATAACATGTGACAGGTAGGTTTTTACATAGGAACAATAGTAAATCACATGTGACAGGTAGGTTTTTACATAGGAACAATAGTAAATCACATATGACAGGTAGGTTTTTACATAGGAACAATAGCAAATAACATGTGACAGATAGGTTTTTAATAGGAACAATAGTAAATCACATGTGACAGGTAGGTTTTTACATGGGAACAATAGCAAATAACATGTGACAGGTAGGTTTTTACATAGGAACAATAGTAAATCACATGTGACAGGTAGGTTTTTACATAGGAACAATAGTAAATCACATATGACAGGTAGGTTTTTACATAGGAACAATAGCAAATAACATGTGACAGATAGGTTTTTAATAGGAACAATAGTAAATCACGTGTGACAGATATTTACATAGGAACAATCATAAATCACGTGTGACAGATAGGTTTTTACATAGGAACAATAGTAAATCACATGTGACAGATAGGTTTTTACATAGGAACAATAGTAAATCACATGTGACAGATTTCTCCATAGGAAATAGTGGATAAATGACAGAGGTTTCTACATATGAGCAGAAGTAAGTTATATATGACAGGCTGTTACACAATGTTTTACAGGCTTTTATTACTTGTAACTACTAGTTATATATGTCTGTCTCTTGTTTACTTACAGGTGGATTCTGTTCAGCTGTATTGCAACAGCCGGCTGTTTCCTGGTGTGGATGATTGTATCAACAAGTGCTACACCTTCTGTCAGGTAAAAATGTCGACGCTGTTGCTGCCTGATTCTATATTTTTTCATCATATTTTTCTTTTCTCCTACTGTTTATGCTGCAAAGAGAGGTTTGAGTCTCAGAGGATTTAGCATCGCAGGCCCAGGGGGTAGTAAAGAAAGTAATAAAATCGGCGTATCATGCGTTCATTGGGCTTCTAGGTAGGAACCTATGAACGTATGATGCGTTCCTTGGGACTCAAAGAGTTAAAGTAATTTTCTGTCTTTCACTAATTGCGTAGTTTGTGTTATATTGAGCTTCTGTAGTGTCTCTTTGACTCCTTCTACCCACATCTTTTTTTGTATGTGTGTGGCATTGCACAAGGCCCTAACCATGTGGCATGCAATTTTTCGTTATTTGAAGCCCCACCTTGGCTTTTGCCGGGGGCCCTAAATATAGCTGGGCCTTAAATATGGCCTAATGGCTGAATGTGGTTTCCGGGTCCTCTTCACGGGTTATCCTTATCCACATGGTGGCACTTTGTGTCACTGGGTGTTTATCGCTTGTGTGATGTCCTGGTGGGGTACAACTGACATACATACATCTTTCTTGGTCAGTTTCTTACCTTCTAGCCTGCTGTTCAAATAATACACTCTGACTGCTGGCTGATTTTGTTCACTTTAGACCAGATATCCAGACCATTTGATGTTCTGTACAATCATTCATTGTTACTACACCTGCTATTATTCGTAGTTCTTTACTGATGGTTCTGTCTCTTCTTGTCTTTCCCGCCGCATATCTTATACATCTCATTTAACATGTTGTCATTTCACATTAATGTTTTTATAGGGCTGTTCCTGTCTGGCATTCATATCATAAACTTGGTATAAATTTCCCATTGATCAGCTGCTTTTTGTGTGTGTGCATGTTGATATTTTGATGGCTTAAAAGTAGGGGAGCTATTTTGTAATGTATGTTGTTGGCTTTCTGTATTTTGTTTTCTATTTGTCTGACCAACCTTTGGGAACAAGCAATGGAATCAGTAGAGAAACAAGATTATTATGGCCTGGAGAGAATGAGGCACCTGGGTATAACCAGATTGTGACCGGTACCATCAGTATTGGAACTCCTCGCTGGCTGCTGAAGATGAAGACAGAGCACATATGGGAATGCACCGAGTGCTGTGATGTCTGTTTTTGACTCAACTCAACTCAACTCTGACCAATCCTTGTTCCTCTGTGAATACACTGCCTAGGTACTTAAACTCCTTAGCTTGTTTTAGTGTCTCTCTTTCAACAGTTAGAACACATTGAACTGGTCTTCTGTTTACTGTCATTTTTTGTTTTTTTAGTATTATTTTTTTAAATATTATATTTCTTGCAACAGGCTCTATAGTTTATCATCATTGTTTATTATTAGATATAGTAAACACACACACAAAAACACAGCAATGTAAGACAATTCCACAGGATGCACTGCTATAGAAGTGAAATGGTGAAGTCATTAAGCTCTTTGATCTCATGCTCTTAAGGTCATGGGCTTGATTATACTCTATCCTTTGCTTTACAACTACAAGTGTTTTCAGAAATCACAGTTGTCATCACTAGAGCTGTGGAGTTTGTGCTTTGTGCGACACTCAGCAAGTGATCATCTGTTCTGCAGAGGGAGGGGGAAGAGAGAGAGAGAGAGAGAACAAAGAAATGAACAAACTTTATTTTCAACTAATCACAAATTGAGCATGCAGGCCTGTCTGACATTGAGCCCTTCCAGTTGAATTTTTTAGGTAAAGCTTTTATGTTCAAATAACAGTATACACATATGAATATAATAAATAAACAAAATCGTGGGTGGTAAATGCATATACGTACATACATATACACACATACATACATACCCATATATATATATATGTATCTGCCTAAATACACACATACACACACACAGAGGAACAAATGGTCGTGTCAGCTGCACCTTTTATTGACCCCCCCCCCCCCCCCATTTTCCCCCTCCCCAAAAAGCTGAAAGCTAAAGTGTTACTATTCTTTGCTTATATACCCCAGTAAGGAACAAGTGAATGAAACAAACAGTTCATCTTCATCATCCTAAACCACTTCTGCCATTAGTATCTTGGGGAAGGAACAATTTGTGATCCAGTGCACATTGGCTGGCACTGGCTACTGTCATGCCATGAAGGCTCGAACTGTCTTTAATGTTGTCAGTCCATCTATTCATGGTCGCCCTCTGGATCTTGTAGCTGATCTTTTGAGATATAGTGCCTGTGATGGTAATTTGATGTGAGTGGGATCTGTCTTTGCAGGGATGCTGCAGTAAGCATTGGCAACCTTGTCAACGCCACTCTGCTGTTACTAGCCATGCCTCTGCGCAAGTGTATCCTTCTCTGCCAACATTTGAGGTACAAGGAAGAACTGGAGGATGCCCGGGAGGTCTTGGACCATCACAATGGTAAGTTCTGGGAGATACAGGTAACATCATAATGGTAAATTAGGGAAGATACATTGGAATGGTAGTAGTATAGGTGTCAATTATGCATATTTTTTGTTTGCCCTGTTTAATATTGCTTATTTAGGGAAAGGGGGCTTAGATAATCTAAAGGGCTATATTTAGATCAGGGGTCATCTTGGGGTCAAAGTGACGTGTGTTATTTTTAGATCAGAAGTTAACTGATGGTTCAGAGGAAGTTTATTGCAGGGGCCTCATGATGGGGCCCCATTTGGGTGAGACCTAGGTAGGGACGCTCTAGTTCTGTATAGCAGGCACCCTGGGTGGTTCTTCGTTGTATTGTATTATTTTCTACCCTTGCCCACCCATTTATTTTTCAGAAGTTTCAGACACAGAAAACTTGTGAGTAGCTCGACATATAGCTGGACAGTTAGACAAAAAATAGATAGATACTTTAACAGCTGTATACTTGAACAAATATACATTTAGTTTAACAGCTTTATACTTGTACAGTTAGACACTAGAACAGTTATACAGTTAAATAGATAGTTAATAGACATATACAGGTGAGCAGTTAGATAGCTGTTTAGTTAGACAACAGAACAGTTATACAGTTAAATAGTTAGATAGCTTAACAGACATACACAGTTTGAACAAAGAGACGTATAGTTGAACAGTTAGACAACAAAACAGACAACCATATGAAAAGAACAATAAGTCAATATATAAAATACATGTATAATTTTTATTGGGAACAATTGGCAAGAGTTGATCACCGGTCGGCAGGTAAATATATTCTACATGTAAAATACATTGCTTGAACTTACAGGTCATGTGAATATATAATGTATGATTTCTGTTAGTGGTCTGAGATTTGTTGAACACACAATTCATATAAAAGGGAGTCGCTATGGCCTAGTGGCTAGATGCTCGCCTTGGATCAAAAGGTCGTGAGTTCGCTCCCTGGCAGAGCCGGACTTTTTCAAAAATGACTTTGGCTCTTAGGTCGACCCAGCCTTGAGTGGGTACCGGGTACAGTCCTGTGAAGTAAAGGTGGCCAGCGTGATGCTGACCACATCACCCATCTTGTGCTGATTGGTCTATAAAAATATAGGTCTAGCTCTATATGCCCTCTACGACTAATATCGTGGAAAATTGTCTTTTACTTTACCTTTACTTTCCAGGTCATATGAATGTCTATAATGTATGATTTCTGATAGTGGTCTGTGATTGCTTGAACTTTCCAGGTCATATGAATGTCTATAATGTATGATTTCTGATAGTGGTCTGTGATTGCTTGAACTTGCATGTCATATGAATGTCTATAATGTATGATTTCTGATAGTGGTCTGTGATTGCTTGAACTTGCATGTCATATGAATGTCTATAATGTATGATTTCTGATAGTCATCTGTGATTGCTTGAACTTGCATGTCATATGAATGTCTATAATGTATGATTTCTGATAGTGGTCTGTGATTGCTTGAACTTGCATGTCATATGAATGTCTATAATGTATGATTTCTGATAGTGGTCTGTGATTGCTTGAACTTGCATGTCATATGAATGTCTATAATGTATGATTTCTGATAGTGGTCTGTGATTGCTTGAACTTTTCAGGTCATATGAATGTCTATAATGTATGATTTCTGATAGTGGTCTGTGAATGCTTGAACTTACATGTCATATGAATGTCTATAATGTATGATTTCTGATAGTGGTCTGTGATTGCTTGAACTGCATATGAATGTCTATAATGTATGATTTCTGATAGTGGTCTGTGATTGCTTGAACTTTTCAGGTCTTATGAATGTCTAAAATGTATGATTTCTGATAGTGGTCTGTGATTACTTGAACTTACATGTCGTATGAATGTCTGTAATGTATGATTTCTGATAGTGGTCTGTGATTTCTTGAACATACATGTCATATGAATGTCTATAATGTATGATTTCTGATAGTGGTCTGTGATTGCTTGAACTGCATATGAATGTCTATAATGTATGATTTCTGATAGTGGTCTGTGATTGCTTGAACTTACAGGTCATGTCTATAATGATGGGTTCGACAACCCCATGTTGGACTTGAATGTCTATGACAACCACTATGGAATTAACGGAAAACCTTCAGAATACTAGATGTCTGTAGTAAGTTGTCTGTGTAATGACTGAAGTTGTTAGTAATACAGTTGTGAATTGTCTTTCAGTTATTGTTGGGGTACATTGTCTGTCTCTGTTTTTAATTCTTTTCAATGTAGAATATTTTTCTCAGCATAGCGTACATTGAAAAGTGTTGGGAACAGAATAAATGTACATGATAAACATGTTATTCTACAGTCTATTGTGGAAGATTGGATATGTAACAGAAAGAGAAAGCTGTAAAAAATATTTAGTCAGGCTGTCATTTTCTGGCGGTGCACAGTGGTACACAGTACTGGATCCTTTTTGTGTGTGTGTGTTAGGCAACACATTTTCAGCACTTCTTTAAAAGACTGTTGCATACCAGCACCCTTTTAGCTAGTTTATGGTAAGTACTGGCACATTTATTCCAGAAAAAAAAAAAATCCTTTTTAATGATGACAAGATGATTGTTCTTTTTTTTTTCTTCTCTACATTCACCCTCAAAACAGTGGTTGGCAAATTGTGTTGTGGTTTATAGCTGGGCCAACACATTTGATTTCAGGAGACTCCCGTAGGTCACTTTCTGCATCATGCTTATTAAGAGGCAGTGGGCCAGTTTAAACTTAGCTCAGTTCTCACCAATGTGTGGTGGACAGATATAACTTTTCAATACATCAATTCAGTCTGCTAGCAAGCCAAAGGTTGAACTAACTCCCTTATAAGAGATGCAGACACATGTACACTTAACGTTCGCGTGGCATACCTTCACACTGCTGGTGACACACACTGTGGACAGATCTGATCTAGTCACTGTACTACCATGTCCCCCCTGTTGACTCTTGTCATCATTAGTCATCATCTTTGATGTCCTGATGTGCCATTCTATGTCATATAGGGCTTGCAGTCTATTTATCCATTCCATTCTTCTTCTTCTTCTTCTTTGCTTTCACCAGCTGTAAACAGAAAATTCTGGTTGTTTGTCCACCCCTGGACTTTAGTCTTGATCCAGAACCTGAGTGTTGCATGCACATAGTTTTTACTTATTTTTCCAAGTTGCATGCAGACTGCTGGTTCTTTGCCTCTCAGGCAGATGCTCTCTGACTTTGAAGGAAGCCCCCAGCTAGTTAGTTGGTTCTTTGCCTCTCAGGCAGATGCTCTCTGACTTTGAAGGAAGTCCCCAGCTAGTTAGTTGGTTCTTTGCCTCTCAGGCAGATGCTCTCTGACTTTGAAGGAAGCCCCTAGTTAGTTGAGCCTTACAACATACTTATTGAGGAGGCACTGGGTCTGTTCTTGTTTCGCCCACAATGGGGGCCCCAGAACCCACACAGGGATCCATTCTGTTCTTTCTTGTACAGTCCATTTGATAATGTGGATACTAACTGGTGAATATTTTGAAAAATGTGACAAATTACAATGAAAATTGTAAGCACATCTCTCATTGAACATTCAGCATAGATTATGAAGTCCCTATCATTTGAAAAAAAAAATGAATGTTAGTGAATTAATTTTTTGAAGTCATTTATTATTGTCCATTTAAGAGAAGGAAGTCATTTATATTTGCATGTTTTATTCCCTCCTGTCAACAGAGATCTCATGTGATTGGCTGTACTTTCTGTAGGATGATGTTCCTAAGTCCATTACATCATTGACTCAGCGCAGGAGGAGGAGCCATTCCATAGAAGGAAAATTTGTTTGAATGAATGACATATGTATTATGTGATCATTATGTTTGTTTTTTACTAATAGCATAACTATAAAACAAAGAGATCAAACTTTTTTTAAATCAAATTGTTGATACCTTTCCGTCTTGCCAGACGATAGTGTTATATTGCCCTATGAGGAGGCATGGAACTCACAGTCCATAGTGACGGCGAGTGTGACTAGCAAGACCCGCCTGCGTTCAGAAAATTCTTTCAAAGTTACATGAAATTTCAGGACCGTTGTTGCCGACATTTGAAGTTCCTTCTCTCTACAGCACAAAGCCTGGGCAATATTGTAGAGACCACATGTTGCCCTTCCATCATATAATCCCTCTCTCGACCTTGTTTATTCCAAAGGAAAGGTAACACTAGTACATTTGGAACAAAGCAGGATGCAGAAGCTACCAGATCAGAAAAGCTGTGCTCTGTCTGCACGTGAGAGCTTCCCTCGTAGACCAGCTGCCAGCCAAGGCTAAGGGCCTGGTCTGCCCTGTCATAACTGTCCTCTTTTTAAGATAAGGACAGTATCCTCCCCAGTGAGCTTCTCCACCTGAAGCTGTTGGCACACGTGGGATGTCAGATTTAGTATGCCCAACATTCAGCGTTAACAGAAGACTTGTAGTACTGGCAATTGTTATATGGTAGCTCAGTCATATCTGATCAAGACCTGACCTGTTTCTCATAGTATAACTATTTAGACAAAGAAATAGTGCGTTATATTTTCTATTTGTATAACTCTTTAAAAAAAAAGATTATACGTTTTTCTAATTATGCAACTAAAAACAGATATTTTTCTTTAATCGTACAACTATAAAGAAAGAGAAAATACGTTTTCTAATAGTATAACTATAAAACAAATAAAATATTGTTTCTAACAGTATAGCTATAAAACAGAAAGGTAATACTTTTTTCTAATAATATAACTCGAAAAGAAAGAGATAATATTGTCTTCCAACAGTATAACTAGAAAACAAAGAGATATTTTTTTTCTAATCGTATAACTATACAAAAAAACAATTAAGATAATATTTTTTACTAATATAAATCAGTGATAGACTTTTTCTAATTGTATAGTCTCAGAATAAACCTTACTAAGATTTTTGTATATCCTCATTGTTTCATTTGTTTATTTATTGAATGGTTTTAATGTATGATCTTATGCAAGTGGTGCCTTTGTTCCTTCACAAACTTCCTAGATTTCTTCCATTGTGCTGTGCTTTGTTTATATAACAGATTTATTACAATTATTGTATTTAACTTGTACATTGTGATTATAATTGTGCCTCATAAATGTTCAATTGCTCTGTTAATCAGTCCAGACTTCTGTTGAAGAGGAACAATGTTATGATTAAATCTAACTACAAAATAATTTTAAAAAAAGGGAACATTGTTGTAGCACTTAGTTAGTTGTGTATCCTTTACAGAACCAACCCCCAGCATTCTTTGGCTGTTGTGGTTTTTCTTGGCAAATTTACGTCCAGTAGTTTGCCATTGCTTTTTGGATGGCCAGCTTCTTGTTACCACTGTTGAAACCAGCGCAAGGCCTGCAGCTGGGATCAAACCCGGCACCCCGGCATTACAAAACTCATTCACAACACCTAAGCCACAGATGCGGACTATTGTAGCAGGCAAATCTGATTTTAAAAAGTAAAGAAGAGAAACAACCTTTTTCCGTACCTTGAGATTTGTTTGGTAAATAGTAAAGTAATGGTAGAGACAAATGATAAAGAAAATATTCTGCAGACAAATGATATAGAAATATTCTGCAGATAAATTATAAAGAAAACATTCTGCAGACAAATCATATGCAAACTTTCTGCCAACAGTAGGTACAGAAATCATTACTTAGTGGTATTTGATCAATTCTGCAGACAAATTATAAAGAAGTTTCCTGTCGGACAGATATTATGACCATGTGAGTTCACACCCGCATATACTGATGTAAGCACACTGTTGAAGATAATTATAAAATATACGTACTGTGACTTTCACCACCAAAAATAAAGGTGTAATTTGTTAGCTTATCGAGTTAAAACAGCTAGTGTTTGTGTTTTTGCTCAATTCTTTAAGGTGTCTTCTTTTTCTTCTATATTTGTATTTGCCCTTACAAGGGATTGTGGTTTACTGCTAGGCTGTAATATCTGTCTTTTGTCAAAACACTTCTGATTTCAACAAACCCCTAATTAATCACCCCGAAGCTCCTTCAGTGGGTTCCTGTTACCCAAAACGCACAGAGAGGTGATTCCTATTTTATTAAACAAACGTATTAAAATATGTTAGTGTTAGACATCTGTATTTCTGTTTGCTAATATCGTTATTGTTATGTCTGTTTCTTTTTTTTTTTTCCACTTCTTATATGTAGTTTACTGAAAAGTCAACAAGTTATGTAAATATCCGCATGACGGAAATAAATTTCATACTTTACAACTGTGTTTTCAAGTTTCATTTTTCATTGTATTAATCATATTGATTTACATACCTAGTCTTCTAGCCAAGATTATACTCTAAAATTCCTAGTTGTCTTGCCAATAGTAAACTCTAATATTGCAATGTCTGCTATCCAAGATTTTATACTCTGATAAACCAAGTTGTCTACCCAAGATTACACTCTTAATACCAGTGTCTTCTTCCCGAATATTTTATACTCTGATACACCATTTCTTCTACCCAAAATTATACTTTAATATACAACATCTACCCAAGTGGAAACTCTAATATACCATGTTTTCTACCCAAGTTGAAACTCTAATATACCATGTTTTCTACCCAAGTTGAAACTCTAATATACCATGTTTTCTACCCAAGTTAAAACTCTAATATACCCTGTCTTCTACCCAAGTGGAAACTCTAATATACCATGTTTTCTACCCAAGTTAAAACTCTAATATACCCTGTCTTCTACCCAAGTGGAAACTCTAATATACCATGTTTTCTACCCAAGTTAAAACTCTAATATACCCTGTCTTCTACCCAAGTGGAAACTCTAATATACCATGTCATCTACCCAAGATTAAACTCTTGTATATCCTGTTTTCTACTCAAGATTATACTCTGATATACTGTGTTTTCTACTCAAGATTATACTCTAGTGTACCAAGTCCCCAAGATTATACTCTAATTTACAGTCTTCTAACCAAGATTGTACTCTAGTATACCAAGTCCTCTGCCCAAGATTATGCTCTAATATATCAAGTCCTCTGCCCAAGATTATACTCTAGCATACCAAGTCTCCTGCCCAATATTATACTCTATCAAGTCCTCTGCCCAAGATTATACTCTAATTTACAGTCTTCTAACCAAGATTGTACTCTAGTATACCAAGTCCACTGCCCAAGACTATACTCTAATATACCAAGTCCCCTGCCCAATATTATACTCTATCAAGTCCTCTGCCCAAGATTATACTCTAATTTACAGTCTTCTAACCAAGATTGTACTCTAGTATACCAAGTCCTCTGCCCAAGATTATACTCTAATTTACAGTCTTCTAACCAAGATTGTACTCTAGTATACCAAGTCCTCTGCCCAAGATTATACTCTAATATATCAAGTCCTCTGCCCCAGATTATACTCTAATATAACTAGCCATCTATTTAAGGGTATACTCTCTAATATATCTAATCATCTGTCCACAGTTATATTCTAATATATCTATCTACCCAAGATTATACGCTAATACATCTAGTCATTTATCCTAGATTAAACTCAGGGCTGTTTTTCTGGTGGTTTCATCTTTATTTGGGGTATGCAGACGTTAATGGCAATGAAAGCGCTGATAGACTGGCTGGCTCTGCCATAGTTGCATATGGTCAGTCTATGAAGCGCCCCTAAATTATTAAGGCTAAGCCTCCTAACCAAACCATGAAGGGGACCCTCAAGTGGCCTGAGACCCCAGGTTCTCAGCAAGAGGGGGGGGGGGCGAGCTTTGACCCCTACATTTATTTGGGAGGGAGGGACTGACCCTTTAATACTACAGAAAAGGGGGGGGGGGGGGTGTGAGGTTCAGGTGCTTCTACGGAAGAGCTTTGACCTGCGTGCTCAATTTGTAACGCTGAAAATCCAATTCTTTCGTTAGTTCAACCCGGGGTCAGATCTTCAGTAAAGTGATGGTATGTTTTCTTACTGGATCAAAAGTAAATTGCTAACCTGCTCAGTTTGTGGCAACTGCAATTATTCACATGGCCCTGAATTCTCAGACACCAGCACCGTCGTAAACAATGATATAGTTGGGGGGGGGGGGGGGGGGGAGGGGGTTTAAAAAAAGGGATTGTGCAGGAGTTTAATAAATTGTTTTCGTATCCCTTTTTGTTACCATCCTATTTTTTTAATGATTTATTTAGGCGAACCTATGTCCACTTAGTTAAGGCAGCATAGTAATCTGGTAGTGGTAATCTTAGTTAAAGCTTCATAGCAAACGGGTCATCCCATAGTTGATCCGCTCCTGTGCCAACGAAAAACACACAAAACATTTATCACAGTCCCTTGTAGAAAGATTGACAGACTGCTGTCTCAGCATATGCGCTAACATAAACACGCATTAAAAGCATACGGTAGCCATCCGAAGTGCTAACACAAACTGTCCGAAATTAGGAATGCAGTTCATCATGGATGGTAGCACCAGTGACTAGCAAAAGTCACCAACAGATCAGCAATTGCACACGCGATCAATTTTAATCACATAATGGCACCACCAATATTGCATCGCGCCATTTTCTGAATCTACAGTTCACACCACCACGCTGGTCACAGTCGAAAAACATTCCAAATGAAATTCGCAGCTCACAGTGTCACACCATGCACTTAACTTAGAAGTTGGGCAACGAAACTGAATCTTTCCAGTCTACAAATGGAGCAAAAATGCAACGGCCACCGTCTGGCAGAAGCAAAAATATTTGCCACAGTTAAAAAAGTGGCCGTGCCTAGCGCCCATTTTGACTTGAAGCATTATTTGAGTGTTAATAAACGGTCACCCCAGCAGTACCCTCGCTATTAGCTGGGGAAGGGATTTAGGACAATTCAACCACCTGCAAACGTCGGCCCTACAACGACCTGACTGCCTTCGTTAACGACTGTTCACCTGACAAATATGCAGTATAGTAGCCTAGACGTCATCAACAGCTGGAGCCACATAACACAGCTACCCCTTTCCCACGTCTTAAATCGTACTGGGCATATAGGGCTAGACCTGTACCACATAGACCAATTGGTGGGTAATGAGGTCAACATCATGCCTGTCTGTCTGTCTATCTATCTGTCTGTCTGTCTGTCTGTCTGTCTAGAATTTGTGTGTGTGCGTGTGACTATGTGTCTGTGTGTGTCACTTGGCGTGTGTGTGAGTTTGTGTTTGAGTATGTGCGTGTGTGTCTGTATTGTGTATGTGTGCATGCGTTTGTACGTCTGTTTCTGCATGTGTGTTTATGAGTATCTATGTATGTGTGTGTCTGGATGTGTCTGTTCGCGCGAGTGGCTGCGTGTGTGTCTGTAAATGTCTGTGTTTGTCTGTGGGTGTGTCTCTGTGCCTGTGTATGTATGTATGTATGTATGTATGTATGTATGTATGTATGTATGTATGTATGTATGTATGTATGTATGTATGTGTGTGTGTATGTGTGTGTATGTATGTATGTATGTATGTATGTATGTATGTATGTATGTATGCGTGTGTGTATTATGAATGTAAATATGTGTGTATTATGAATGTATGTATGTATGTATGTATGTATGTATGTATGTATGTATGTATGTATGTATGTATGTATGTATGTATGTATGTATGTATGTATGTATGTATGTATGTATATATGTATGTATGTATGTATGTATGTATGTATGTATGTATGTATGTATGCATGTGTGTAAATGTATGTATGTTTGTTTGTATGCTATTGTGTGTGTATGTACGTATGTGTGTAAATGCATGTATGTATATATATATATATATATATATATATATATATATATATATATATATATATATATATATATATATATATATATATATATGCGGGTGTGTGTATGTATGTAGGTATTTCTGCATGTATGTGTGAGTGAGTGAGTGGGCGTGTGCATGTGAGGGTGTGGGCGCGCGCGTGTGTGCGCATGCATTTTACCACCTGTGCTTTTGCGTTTTCCCTTGATATTTATAATATGCATATTATTATATGAACATAACATGCTTCATTGATAAAACACAACTGCTGTGTGAAAGATGGGTGTTTGGAAAAGTTGAATGTAAGATGGGCCTGCGTGCCCAATTTGCGACACTTAGAAAAAAAAAGTTCTATCCGTCTGTCCATCCGCATATATACCTACCTACCTGTCTGTCTACATGACTGCCAAAGAGAATCTTCTTTAAAAAAAATGTCTGAAATAAGTAAACTGGTAGTCCCCCCCCCCCCCCCCCCCCCCCCCCACCCTCCCCTCCCCTTGAACTTTAGGAAAAGAAGCGAAGAAAACAATATCAGGACCGTATCCACGCCACCGGCGTGTTATCATATTACATACACATTTCTATCGACGGTATGCGATGTGCTCAAAAATCACACCGGCCGCCCTTACTTTCCAGGCCATTAGCCGGAATCCCATTTTATGCTGGGTCGAACTGAAAAGCCAAGGTCATCTATTTTTAAATTCGCCCTTTGCGGATTCCAAAACCAGACCAGCTTTACAAATAGGCCTACGCCTAGCCAGAAATGTTTTGTTCATACTGCACACTGTTTGGATATTTGAATCGGCGATAACAATTGCAAACTGATAACCTAAGTAAAGATATATTAGTACATCTACACGCATGTGTAACGGAATGTCGGTCTAGTTATGTAGGACAGCTACGTTTGACAGACACCAGAAATAGGACATAGAAACTATAGGCGTGCTCCAGATACGTGAGTATTATATATGAATGTAAATGTAACTAAATTCATCGAATCGTTTGGCCATCTTGTTAGAATGCAGCAAGATCAAATACCATCACAAGCACTGCATCTCACAAGATCAGCTACAAGAGCAAGAGGACGGCCGCGGAAAACATGGATCGACAACATTAAAGACACTCTATGCTTTCACGGCATGACAGTTGCCAATGGCAGCCAGCGTGCACTGGGTCGTAAATTATTCCTGACCACGAAGTGTAGTCTGTCTTAGTGTGTGTTCTTTTCACCTCAATTTTTCTTCTCCTCCTCCTCCTCACATTCATCTTCTTCTTTTTCTTCTTTCTTCTTTCTTCTTCTTCTTCTTCTTCTTCTTCTTCTTCTTCTTCTTCTTCTTCTTCTTCTTCTTTCTTCTTCTTCTTCTTCTTCTTCTTCTTCTTCTTCTTCTTCTTCTTTCTTCTTCTTCTTCTTCTTTCTTCTTCTTCTTCTTCTTGTCACCTGATCGACAGATTGAGAATAAGGAAGAAAAAAAAAAAGGGGGGGGGGAGGGAATATATGTAAAGATATTTTATGTGCATTTTCCAGTTCTCTGTTTAAGAAGATCTTCATTTATGTAAGGCTGTTCTTGATGCCATCGTTCCCTTTGTTTGTATGATCTGCTCCCTGCTCTGTGTTCATTATATTTCTTCAGCGTGGCTCTCTGTAATGACACCGTTCATTGTTTGCATCAATGGGTAACTTTTTAGCTCACAGTACACCAACATACAGTCTATTTTTCAGGTGACAAGAACTCTTAAACTTTACCATGATGCCAATAGAAAAGGTTGCAGATGAAAACGGTGACACCTTGACCCTACTGTTCTGCAATGGAATGTACTGGGCGCCAGTGTTCAATGAGCAAGCGATTGAAAACATGAGGGATTTGCCTTTGAGGACAGACGATATTCTTCTCTGCTCGTATCCAAAGTCTGGTAACGTTTTTTTTAACTAGTTTAGTATCAGAAGGTTCTGTACAAGATACTAATGTTAAGAAATAAAGTAAAAAAAAAAAAAAAAGAAATATCTATGCTTGACTTTCAAAGTGGCAATATATACACAACGGATTTTACATTGACGATGACAGATTTATGTAATATGTTCTGACAAAATATTACATATGAAGAGAATGCACATGCTGTTGAGGGGAGAAAGAGGGAGAGATCAAGGGACAGACACACACACACTAGATGTTACACAATGAAGTCAGAAGAGAAAATAGATTATCATGGCCCAAGGAGAATGATACACCTGGGTATGGCCAAAGGGCCTGGCCGGCACACTATACTCAGAGAAATTGCAAGATGAACATATAATCAAACTGCGTTCTTTAACATTAGTATTGAAACACTGCGCTGGCCGCTGAAGATGGGGACGGAGCGCATATGGGAATGCCCCAAGTGCTGTGATGTCTTTATTGACTCAACTCAACTCAGTTGAACATAAATGACAACAAATAAATTTTATTCACTTGTCAATGTATTTTGAAGACACGCCTAACATAAAATAAAACCGGAAATTGTGATTTTTGCTGTAAGTTCACTCCAGTTATTAACAATGATTCGAAAAGATCAAAAGAATTGGTTAGTATCAGCATCTGGGCATCTATGGTGTCATAGATATTCTAAGGCTGTTTGAAAAAAAATCGTTGCGATCTAACAGTCAGTTCTCGAGAGAATGGCTTGCAAGTGTTCATGAGATGTTAAACGAACTATAGTTGTAGCAGCAGAGGCACCACTCACCTCCCCGATTGTTTTCCCCCTTTAGGCTCACAGTAAACCCATATGTACTTGGCTTGTCCTGGGGGACTAATCCATCCGTGTAAACAAAAATGGGCCTGTTCCCCTCCCCACTTCCACAAAAACAAACAAAAAACAGGAATTTGGTTGTGAGTGTAGGAGGATTGGCAAAAATGCTTGAGCTCCCGGGTCAGTCCCTTTATAACTTCTGGTATAGGGAAAAAAAAGGGCGGAGCCTCAGCGGACTTAAATTTTATTCAAAGGCACACTATTAAGTTAGATGCGTATCCCTTACAGAACTTTCAGAACCAACTCCGGCATTGTTGTTGTTGATGCTGTGGTTCTTCTAGTTAAATTTTACGCTCAGTAGTTTGCCATTGCTTTCTAAACAGTCAACTGTCGGTACCACCGTCGAAACCAACGCAAGACAAACCGTTTCAGCATTAAATCAAAATCGCCGACAAATGCAGACAAAAACTAGTAATGATATATGTTGATTGGTAAGTAAAAATAATTATATGAACGAAATAATATAAAATTAGTTAAGTTAGCTAAGTTGTCATCATTGCACTTCGGGCGTGTCCATAGGTGCTCAGATCCTCCCCTCAGTATGAACCTCAGCGTCCGGTGGCTAATTGTACCAGTTCTATGTTGATTAACAAGTCGTCTGGTGTGCGTCTCGTTTTTTGCTATGCCGATCTAAACTCCCAAGTCTATCATTCTGGCCAGTGATGTGGATTCGCCGCCCCAAAAGTCTTCCATCATTCACTCTTCTCGGAGGGCATTATTAATATCAGCATGATTCATTTACTGATTGTCTGTAATGATAGCAGGTCCAGCCAACCTATCGGCTCGTTCAATTACATTGACGCCCGCTTGTTCCGGAACGAAAATAAAGGTGACTCAACGCACAGTATATAAAATTACAACCGTATACTTAAAAAAGACCGTCTATACATGACTAAGAGGTTCATCAGCTGGCTTGCCCAGCGCCTATGCTTGTGATTGTACTACCCTCTATCGGAAAGCTGTCGTTGCCGCATCCACCTCTATTCTGATACTGGTTGTTGTGATGTATGTTTTAGAATTAGCAGTGGTCTAATATTGAAGCTTTCTTTCTGCAGGTTTTAAGATTTGTAACATATATTTTGTCTAGGATGTCATTGGGTTTGGGAGATCGTTCGAATTCTACTGGCCGGACAGATCAGTCATGGGGAAGTAGTGCACAAGGAATCCTTCATGTTGGAATGGAACCCACATGATGTTCTTGCATCATTGCCGTCACCTCGTGTTCTCAATACTCACACCCCTTTTGAACTGATGCCCAGAGATTTGCTGGTCAAGAAACCGAAAGTTGTCTTCTACTACAGAAACTTCAAAGATTTAGCAGTCTCGTTTTACTATCATCACACGGGAATTCCACCTTTTGAGTATAACGGCAGTTTTGACGCCCACACCAAGCTTCTAGTGAAAGGCACAAGTAAGGCAAACCATTCATTCTGTCTGTTTATCATGTACTTCACAAAGAATGGAATTTCGCGTTATATTTATTATCATCATCATCACCTCTTCTTCATCTCCTCTTCCTCCTTTTTCTTCCTCTGCTTCTTTCCGTTTACTGTGATGTTGACTGTTGGCACACGCTTTCCATTCTTAATTACCATTTTTTATGGTGGCTGCGTGGTCTCAAGGCATGGTGTCTGCCCCGAGTGCTGGAGGTATTGGGTTCAATCCCCGTTAAGAGCTGGGATTTTTTCACGTGGACTTGGACTTATAGTAATTTCCCCTGGTCTCTGGGTAGTGAGATCGGACGCCTGTGTGCATTGTTGCGCACGTAAAAAATTAATTGGCAGTTGAAAATCGAAAAGAGTAACCTAACGGCGCTGCCCGGGCAAAATTTGGAGTTAAAAATTTACCCATAGTATGTCAGGATCCTCGCCGGTGCTGCAGAGTCTGTGCACTGTGCTGAGCTTCTTAGGACTCAGACTTGAGTTATAAGAAAAACACTTAGGGTTACTACCCGTGTGCCATAATGTTGGTCCGTTGTTCAAACTTAAAACTTTAATTACCATTCTAGTATTAATATAAGTGCGCCGTGGCCCTATCTGGAGAAAGCTGTGGCTTATGCCACAGACGATGATTCGTGGAAACAACAGCTATAAACCGGTTCTGTCCAGATTTATGTAGACAAAAGGACATCGACATCACATTACCTTGGTGAAGCAGTTACTTTTAAATGTAATAAATTTTGTGTCAGTTGGAAAGATTCATTTATTTGCTTTACTGTAATCAATTGTTACTATAGTGTGCACCTAATGAGATACAGCCAAATATGTCAGGCAATAAATTGTCTTTAGTTAATAACAAATTGCTTATAGTTAATAATGCCTATAGTTATTAAAATCGCAGATGTGTAAAGATGAACCATTCTCATAACTGCTTACATGGCAAGTCAATGACGGACCAATCCACGTGGCTTTGAGCAGGTCGTGTTCAGGAAAGATTTCCTTATCCCGAGCGGGTTTAAAAAATGTTGCCTACAGCTGGTCATTATCCACATTATTATAAATTAGCCATCCCTTTGTGGGACGCAATTTTTCGTTATTTGAAGGCCTACTGTGGCCTTTGCCAGGGGCCGCAATATAGCCCGGCCATAGGTATGGTTTAGTGACTGAACGCGGTTTATGGGACCTCTCCACGGGTGATCCTCATCCACATGAGGGCACTATGTGTCATCGGGTGTTTGTCGCTTGTGTGGTGTCCTGGTGGGGTGAAAGTACTACTACTACTAGCTGGTCATTCCGTTGTGCATATTTACCAGGTTGCAATTAATTTAATTAAAACTTCGCTCCACTAGATAAATATTTAAACACAACAATGTTTTTAATAATTGTAATCTGTAAGGTGTTTTTTAAAGCTTACATAGATAACACAGCACTGCTACAGTTGTATGATTTCAGTTGATCACGGAAGTCCATTTGATTACATCCGAGGCTGGGAGAAAGGCATTTCTGAAAACCCCGACCTGTCTGTTTTTGTTGGCTCGTATGAGGATTTAAAAGAGGTAAGATCCATCTTGATCATACCTTTAGTAGTTTCATTTATAGTTTTAAAGCTGCAAGTGCTCACAGTATAACCCCAACGATTACTGAAACTAAATCAGTTCTGATTCTCTTGTGTGACTTAACTCTTTACTGCTTTGTAGACTTGACGCAAAAGATGATTCACTTAGGCTTTTCAGAAGGATAACCAAACAGACTGTCACATGACACCAGTATCGTAAACAACACGCGTCTGCTATTAGAGGTTTATTTTAACAAAACTGCCTCTTGCACAAGATCCGTCTCCATATGGGACTGACTGACTGACTTTCTACCCCACCAGGACATCACACAAGCGATAAACACCCGATGACACAAAGTGCCACCATATGAGTGAGGATCACCGTGGAGAGGTCCCCGAAACCGCGTTCAGCCTTTCTTCTTCTTCTTCTGCCTTTCTATCCCCCAATGGAGCATAGGCCCTCAACCAACTCACGCCAAGTCGTTCTATCCTTCGCCATTGCATGGAGCTCTCCCCATGTCCCCCCAATCTTTCTAACCTCGTTCTTCAGCTCTCTTCTCCATGTGTTTTTGGCCTTCCTTTATTCCTATGCCCCTGTGGGTTCCAATGCAAAGACATTGTAGTTATGCGTTCAGCCTTTAGGCCATATTTATAGCCGGGCTATATTGCAGCCCCTGGCATGAGACAGAGTAGGGCTTCAAATAACGAAAAATTGCATCTTAAATATGACTGCAAGTGCTTAGTCTCCATATGGGACGCAATTTTTCGTTATTTTGAAGCCTCACCCTGGCTGTTGCCGGGGGCCTTAATTTACTCAACCTATGGGTTGAATGTGGTTTCTGGGTCCTATTGCCGCGTGATTCTCATCTGAATTGTGGCAGTTTGTTTCACAGGGTGTTTATCGCTCGGTGTGATGTCCTGGTAGGGGGTAAAACGTTAGTTAGTCAAAACTGTGAATCCATTTAAGCCACGCGTTTGGCAAACTAAGGGACATAACGCTACGATATTTTAAGACCTACCATGTAATTTTAAATTTTTTTCCTTAACTCCCCGACTATTTTTGTATTTACATCTTACAACCACATTTTAAATTATTTTTTAACTGTTATACTTTAAAAAAAAAAAATCAATTTAAAATAAAAATTGGATATCTTTAACTTAAAAAAAATTGTATTTTATAAATTTTTAAAAAACTACGGTTTTTAAATATGATGTTATATATATATATATATATATATATATATATATATATATATATATATATATATATATATATATATAGTTCTGAGTTGTATGTACATATGTGTATGCATTACTATTTTATAATCATACATATTTGTCTACATTCAACAGCTAAGTCGGCCATCTTGGCTAGGCAGGCACTTCACGGACATCGCTGGAACCGCAGAACCTTAATGATGGCATTTTATGCTATTTGGCAGACATCTTGCTGTGACAGGAACCTCAATAACCACAGCAGAATCTCATTGGCAGCATTAAAGGGTCATGGTTGGCCATCTTTCTTTTGCGAGTCATATCCCTAAGGGTGGCCTTTGACCTGTTTTCCTTATAAACATCTATAACCGCATCAAGGTCGTCATAACATCCTCCTGGCAACGTACACCACAAACCTCATTTGTATTATTTAAAAATCATAACACCATATGTCTTTACACCTCACTGACCCCTAAAAACCGCATCTAACGAGACAGGACACCATATTCACCGGGGGTGGGGAGCCTCTTACAACCCCCTTTATTCACATTTCATGTTTGGGTTAAAGTAACGTTTATCTCCCCAAACAGAGTAGGTCATTTTTCATTCACAAGTTTGTTGGGCTGGTTCACTTTTCTGAAGGTTACGGGTGTGTCTCACTCTGTTGTTTGCTTTCTGCCTTGTCTTGCATTTACGTTTTCATTCTCAGAAAGAGATTGCCTGTGACATAGGTTGCAGCACTCTCGAGGGGAGATGTGTTAGGGCCAGTTTCTCTATGTTTTTGGAGTGTCAAAAGCGCTGGCGTGCTGAAATATACATCATGTGATATCAACGGCATTGCAGAACACCCCCGTAACCTTGTGCCAAGGTGACAGGTTCAGAAACTACCAATCAGAAGTGAGCTAGTGTGTATATGGGCAGGGCATGGGGAGAAAAAATTTACGTATACTCATTTTTGTTCTATAAAAAGGCGTAGCACAGTATGTCTTGACCCCTATAACCCCTTAACACGACAACTTGACCCCTTACTGACCCCCTAAAGCATACATCTAACAAGACGACATGCTCTCATCTTGACGGCACATCCACAAGCCCAGGGATGAACTCTCCTTTTCCTGTATTAAAGACCATGAAGTCGCTGAAGTTTACTTAAATTGCGCTTACCTTACTACTTACAGACGCCTCAAAATAGCTTGGTTTAAATCGAATGGTTAAAACGCTGGGCTCTTAAATGGGAGGCCCGGGTTCAAATCCTTGGTAAGGCTTGGGATTTTTTTTCTGTCGGCGGCAAAATAAAATCCTCACCTGCACATTCTTAGCGACAGCTCTAGTCATGGGGCCTTAAATCCTCAGGCTCAAAGACCCCCCCCCCCCCCCCCCCCCTCTCCTGCCTACACCGCAAAAGTGGTATGATAAAGGCAGTTATTGGCAGTTTAAAAAAAAAAAAATCAACAAGAACTGTCTGAATTAGACTTACAAGCAGACCAAGAAGACAGTGGAGAGATACTATACAATTGAAAATTTACAGATATAAACACTTGAAGTACCAAGGGGAAGGAGAAAAGGAAAAGAGATGAATGGAGCTGATGATATCTGCGGCAGTGGACCTCAAGGGCTGGAAATGCTGAAGAATAATAATAAACAATACTAGTAAATTTCTCATTAAGTTTTATTTTTTACCCTCTTCCAGAACAGCTTGGCAGAAGTGAGGCGATTGTCAGAGTTTTTGGGTAGAGATTACAGCGACGAGTTTCTGCAACAAGTTTGTGACTTCACCAGTTTTGAAAGCATGAAGAAGCTGAAAGCAGATCTGACTTTCAAAACCAAGGAAGGAGAATCCGTCATGTATAGGAAAGGTTTGACAACTAGTAATTACAGTTCTATCCCATTGTTTAAAAAAAAAAAGTCATCAACATCATCATCACCATGGTGATTGATGTTTTAGTTAGTCGCAGTTCCAGCTTTCCGACAAACGGGTAATCCCGTAATTGTTCCGTTTCTGTGTCAGCGAAGAAGGATTTCGATCGTTGTCTTTAGTAAAAATATGGTACTTTATTAATATCCTACCCCAAACAGAAGAAATCCACAGGTCACGGGACAATCTAATATTTCAGAGGGTGGAAGATAGGCTGCATGCAGTCATGGGATCTGGGCTACATGCAGTCGTTGGTACTAAGCTGCACTCTCTTGTGGGATGTAGGTGGGTTGGGGTTAGGGCTAGCTCTAGATGTTTTAGGGTCATTAAAGCTTCAGAAAGCCGGGAAACCCAGTCTTAACACCCTCTAAAATGTTGGACTGTCCTGTGACATCGTCTGGGGTAGGATATCATGAAAGAACCCAACAAATTTACACAGACTAGTCTCAGCAAAACCAGTTTGCAAACGGCAACCATCAGAAGTGCCAACACACACATTCTGCCACTAGAATTGCAGCTCATTGTTGATGGATGCAGCATTTACTATGAATCATCAGCTGCACATGCAATGTTGCATGAAGCACCGTCATAGCCATGCATCCTATTAGATGGCGCTGATGTTCATTTTCAACAAATTGCAGAATCATTGTGATAACTTCTAATCATAGTGATTCTCTCTTCTATCGTCTAACACCAGTCAGTCTAATTTCTCTCCATCTGCCTTTTTCTAGTCTGACGCTAACTTCCCCAGACGCCACAATGATATACAATGCACCTGTTCTCGCCTCATTCCTACAGAACACTGTCGGTCTTTTACTGTTAAATTTTACCAAAAAATTTGACACAAGCTCTGAGTGTTGCCACCAAGTGGCCTTCTTCATTGATGCTCTATTGGTGCTGCAAGCTTTCAAGAATGGTAAAGTCCCTGACATGAGAAGTGAACCAAAAGGTAGCTGTACACAGCGTATATTCTACTTCAGTTAATGCTGCCCTATTAGGATATACAGTGATACCTCGGTAAAAATTTGCTTTGGCATACATTAGATTTAGCATTCATACGATTTGGCATTCGTCCTGTTTACACGCAAAAACTTGTGCTTCGTAAACAACCTTTGCTTGAAAAATTAGTCACGACACTGTGTGCTACCGTTAACCTATCTCGAGACAAAGCCACAGATAAATATCTATGACTTTGCATAGAAGTATCACCCCAACAAAGCACAAACTAGCCATAATAGCATTGTTTGGGATGAGCAGACAATGCCACATTTCTGATACATCCTGAGAAAAAGGCAGAAGCAAAATTCTTTGGCCAGATTTTTAGTAAAAGTCAAACCTGATGGGCTCAACTAGATCCAAGTAGTGAAAACAGTCAGGGAAGAAAAAAAAAACCACTAGAATTTCAGATTCCTGAAGTTTTATTTGAAGGGGACTCTTTTTTTGTAACACTAACATCTCCGACTCTACAACTGAAAGAGAGCAAGCCTTATTACAAACATTTGAGAATAGAATCTTAGAACGAATCTTTGACCCCATCACGGATGCAAATAGCGAAGAATTGAGAGTTAAAAGCAACAACAAAATTCACAATCAGTTTAAACCTCTTCTAATTACTGGCATCATAGGGCCTAAAAAACTGCAATGGTTGGGGTATAAAGATAATGTAAGGTAACTGAGAAACAAAAACTGGTCTGCAAAAGAGTTAAATGAGAATAGACAATGAAGCAGACCAAGAAGATGGCGGAGAGATGAGAGATAATGTACAAGCACAACAACAGACACTGAGTCGCTGACTAGAAAGAGAAGATCAGTTGCAGAGATCAATTGAAGCAGGTGGTATCTGCAGCAGTGAAACCCGAGGGACTCGGAACGCTGAGCAAGAAAATAATCCCAGATACAGATTTAGACAACGGACCAACATCATGGCACAAGGGTAGTAACTCATAAGTGCTCCATTCTACTTCTGATTCAAGCTTGAGTTAGAAAATCTCAGCGCAGTGCACAAACTCCGTAGCACCAGCAAAGATCTTGATATACTTTCAGTAGATTTGTAACTCCAAATTTTGCCTGGGCAGCGCTGTTTGGCTACTCTTTTTTTTTTTAAACGTGTGCAGCAATACACATGGGCGTCCGATTTTACTACCCAAAGACCAGGGGAAATTACTAGATGTCTTCGTGAAAAAATCCCAGCCGGGACCTCCAGCACTCGAGACGGACACCATGCCTAGAGACCACGCACCGCCCCCCCCCCCCTCCTTCCTGTTTAATCCCAAATACATATAGCAGAACACTTATTGAAAACAAAACAGTTCAGTATTCTCTATCTGACACTCAGTGAGATTCATGACATATTATATTTTTAAAATGTTGTATAAAACTGTAAAGGTATTTACTCAACAGGACAAGTTGGTGACTGGAAGAATCACTTTACAGTGGCGCTCAATGAATGGTTCGATGAAATCATCCAACGAGAAAATGCAGACTCCAAGCTCAAGTTTAGATACACGTTGTAAACCTTTTCTATTGTATTGTTATAGAAGAAGTACAGAACATTGGAAGTTTATATATATATATATATATATATATATATATATATATATATATATATATATATATATATATATATATATATATATATATATATATATATATATATATATATATATATATATATATATATATATATATATATATATATATATATATATATATATATATATATATATATATTTGTTGCTACAGAAACTTGCAGGGAAGTAATTGGAAAAACAAATGCTCAAAAAAAAAAATGTTAAACATAAAATGCAATGAATTCAAGACGGGTGAAGAAATACGAGAAATGTCTGGGCAACCTCTGGTAACAACAATTATAAGACTTACAAGATGGCTCTATTTCCAACACATCCTGAGCTCAGGAGCAGAAAATTACTAAACAGGCACTAAAATGAGAAATAAAGGGATGGAAGAAGTGAGGATGCCAACAAGAATTCCTAAACCGAACATCGACAAAAGAGGCAGACGGCTCAAACGGATTGCGGCCATGATAATGAACTGAAAAGCAAAAGATAGACGGAATGGATGAATACCCCGAGCCCTATGTGACACATAAGGGCACAACAGGACAGTAATGATCTATATATACCCACTCACACCCACACATACACACATATATATATATACCAAATAATCTCCAGAATTTCCAGACGTCTGGGAAAGAAATATGACGAGGAGAGGAACTGGCTGCCTCATCTCATCTGAAAGAAATATGACGAGGAGAGGAACTGGCTGCCTCATCTCATCTGAAAGAAATATGACGAGGAGAGGAACTGGCTGCCTCATCTCATCTGAAAGAAATATGACGAGGAGAGGAACTGGCTGCCTCATCTCATCTGAAAGAAATATGACGAGGAGAGGAACTGGCTGCCTCATCTCATCTGAAAGAAATATGACGAGGAGAGGAACTGGCTGCCTCATCTCATCTGAAAGAAATATGACGAGGAGAGGAACTGGCTGCCTCATCTCATCTGAAAGAAATATGACGAGGAGAGGAACTGGCTGCCTCATCTCATCTGAAAGAAATATGACGAGGAGAGGAACTGGCTGCCTCATCTCATCTGAAAGAAATATGATGAGGAGAGGAACTGGCTGCCTCATCTCATCTGAAAGAAATATGACGAGGAGAGGAACTGGCTGCCTCATCTCATCTGAAAGAAATATGACGAGGAGAGGAACTGGCTGCCTCATCTTATCTGAAAGAAATATGATGAGGAGAGGAACTGGCTGCCTCATCTCATCTGAAAGAAATATGATGAGGAGAGGAACTGGCTGCCTCATCTCATCTGAAAGAAATATGACGAGGAGAGGAACTGGCTGCCTCATCTCATCTGAAAGAAATATGATGAGGAGAGGAACTGGCTGCCTCATCTCATCTGAAAGAAATATGAAGAGGAGAGGAACTGGCTGCCTCATCTCATCTGAAAGAAATATGACGAGGAGAGGAACTGGCTGCCTCATCTCATCTGAAAGAAATATGATGAGGAGAGGAACTGGCTGCCTCATCTCATCTGAAAGAAATATGATGAGGAGAGGAACTGGCTGCCTCATCTCATCTGAAAGAAATATGACGAGGAGAGGAACTGGCTGCCTCATCTCATCTGAAAGAAATATGATGAGGAGAGGAACTGGCTGCCTCATCTCATCTGTAATTAATTGTCTGGAATATGCATAGGCCTGATACATCAGAACAATTTACCTTTGTATAAACTGATCTTTTCTTCTTCTGCCATCTCCAAATAAAGCCTAGTAGGCCGTAAAGTAATTCACATTAAGCCCTTTACAGACCTCTATATCACTGTTTTTTACCCCTGCAGCTCAAGTTTTCTTCAAAGTGAGGTAGCTAGTCTCATTTCAACTCTATTGCGTTAGTGCAGTCGATAGGAGACTCACTTTCAAATCCAGCTGCGACTCGCTGCAGCCCACAGTCATTGTTTGAAACTGGGCGGTTCCTGGGGTTCACTCAGCCTCTAGGAAATGGGTACCAGAGTTGACACTCTGGGGTAAATGGTCTAACGTCGCTGTAGCTACCGAGTTGAGTGCGGACAGCGACACAGGTAGACAGTTTCTTATCAGCTGTCAGTACTGATGGCAGAGCACTTATGGTATATAACCGTGTGCAATGACGCTGGTTCACATCTTCCGACTTGACCGTTACCCTTTTTTTAAACTCTCTTTAAGTGCCTTTTATGACATGCTTGGGAGGTTACAGTGCTATTATTTTTACCTCCCTTATTGGCCCCCTGTAATCCATGGGTATCATCTTATTTCAAATATTAAATGTTCTCATGAAAGAGAAAGAGAGAAAGTCCCACAGACAGAGGTAGGTAAAAGGGAGAAGGATACTGGAGGCAGGGAGGGAGGGAGCAAAAAGAGAAAGAAAATATGACAGAAAAAACCCCCCAGAAGATGAGAGAGAGGGGGGGGGAGGGAGGGAGAGACAGACAGACAGACAGAGAGAAAGAGAGACAGAGAGAGAGAGAGAGAGAGAGTGAGAGATGGGGATGTGGAGAGAAAAGAAGGAAGATCAGACAGATGTGAAAGATCAAAAGGAATAAAGACAGATAAAGTAAAACACAACATAGAGGGTGAGAAAGAGACAGGAAAAGAGAGAAAGACTGGAGAGAGAGAAGGAAGAGGGAGGGAAATAGTCACTACATTAAAGTTGAAAGCATATCAACGAAGTCCACATTTTCATTATGAATAACACATCATCTTTTATCACTCATATGTTATGTAATAGTTTAAAACACATAACACAACTCCGTTTATGTGTTCACAGTATTATAAATGCAAAATAATAAATGTTAGCAGTATATTTACCAAAATATACACCCACATTTCATTGTTATTATTGCGTGGTTTAAGTAGTTCAGGACTTTTTCTAGATAAAAAGGTACTGGTCTTTAAAAAGGTGTTGGTACTTCTAAATAGTACCTATAACAACAGTAGCGCTGAGAAAATAATGCCTGAGAAAATGTGCCGGTACTGTGTACCACCATTTAAAAAAGGCCAGAGTATGTTACAATTATTATCAACGCCATTGCACATTTTGTTTTTCTACCCCTTCTGTGTCTTCTTCAGCCTCCCACTTCCACCCACACACACAAATTTACACCAACATTAAAAATACAGTGGCACTTTTGAATTCAAATATTATCAGTTTCCAGACTACAAATAAATTCCAACCTGTTCGAGTTCTCATGCAATTTTATTTTCTACTGAAAGCAATAGAAACTAAATTAATATCTTCAGGGTCTTGAAAATATTTTTTTATTCAATTTCAAAATTTAAGTAAAGGACCCTTTTCCATGCCTTCAGGCACATTGGGCATATAGGGTTAGACCTATATTTTATAGACCAATCGGCACTGGGGAGGGGCAGGTTTATGTGGTCAACATCACGCCAGCTGCCTTTACTTCCCAGGACTACACCTGGTACCCACTCAAGGCTTGGTCGACCTGGGAGCCAATGTTATTTTTTTTTAAAGTCCGGCTCCATCAGGATCCGAACTCGCAACCTTCCGATACTTCAACTGCTATTTTTAGGGCAAACACACAAAACAAATTACAGGTCCAGCTGAACCAAACATGTTCCATACCCTTTGCATTTCTAATGATGGCACACACCACGGAAATAAAAATGTTTCCTGAGATGCTTCATAACTTAAGATATCTTTATATAGAAACATAAACATTTTTCAAGGTTAAAAAATACGTATTCATTTCTGTAGATGAAAAACAAATATTTCCACAGATAATTACAATTGTATAATCAGTGGCCTGGGGGACATAGGCACTTTTAGCCTACACCCCCCCCCCACCCCCACTCTAGAAAATTCTAACAATTGTCAGCAGGATAAGGTAACCACCCACCCATGTAGAGAAGTTTTCATTTTACAGTTTTTAGATTATCATCATCAAGTGCCTTGCCGACTGGCATGTGCGATCATGCCTCTTCACAATCTGCAACTGCGTTTATCAGTTCGTGTGCTGACACCCCTCCATGCCATTAAAAAAAAAAAACAAAAAAAAAACTGGCATTTACTGCCTCTATATACCACTGTTGTGGTGTAGGTGGAGAGGGGGGGGGGGGGGGGGGGGGGGCGCATGGCTAGTGCTGTCGCCATAACTGTGCAGGTGAGGATTTTATTTTATGCCGTGACAAAAGACTGTCAAAAAATCTTCTCACGCTGTTTTCCTCTGTTTCTCTTTCCACCTCCACAGATCTTTCAAGTGGTGACAACATGTTCCATTTTTCCTCTTCGCATAACATGACCAAACTAATGATGACTGTCTCTTTCTGATGTTTGTTACAAGTTGTTTCGAGCACTCACCACTTTTAAAACATCTGGGATGCTTTTCTTAGCTGTCCAAGGAATTCTGAGGATTCTTCTGTGAAACCACATCTCAAGATATTGTTTGGCCTGTCTGTTTATTAACTGTCCAGGCTTCACAGCCGTATGTTGAAACTGGCTTTATATAGCATGCAAAAATTGTTTTCCTAACCTCCAATGACATGGATTTATTGTACTATATGTTCTTTTGGTAAAATGCAGTTTTGGCCTGTCCTATTCTATTCTTTACTTCTTTTAGATTATTCACATCATATTATTGCAAATATATTTTGTTAATATGCCGAGTGGTACATTATTTTTATTATTATTATTCTTAAGCACTTAATCAGCTTAAGTCCCTTGAGCCTGGCGCCCCCTACCCATTTTTTCCATAAAAAATGGCAAGGATGCTGAGGCCCTTCCCCCTTTTCCAATGTTTTCCTTTTCCAATGTATCCCGGTAGACTAAATGATATAAACTTGTCTATAGACAGAATTTTAATATTTCTGTAGACATGAAAATACATGAATGTTTCTATACATAAAATTATATACCTAATATCATAAATAAGACAACATTGAGACCTTTCTGTTGCCATAAAACATAAACATTTGCACAGAACATTTTCTACAGACAATATAATATACACATTTCTATAGTTAAGATAATCATACCTTCATATTACGTTTAAAAAAAAAACAATTATAGCTGTGCCTAGTTTCATAATGATGACATTCCTTTACAGACAACAGGCCTATATCACAAATATTTCTAGACAAGTAAAGGACCTGTTTCCATGCCTTCAGTGGTATCAGCCATTTAGAGCCAGACCTATATTTTATAGACCAACTGGCACTTGGTGGCTGATGTATAGTCAATATCACACTGGCCACCATTACTTCCCAGGGCCTGGTACCCACTCAAGGCTGGGTCGACCTGGGAGCCAAGGTCATTTTTGAAAAAGTATCCGGTTCTGTCAAGATCCGAACCCACAACTTTCCAATCTGCAGGTAAGCATCTAGCCACTACACCATGGCAGCCCCCTACACATATTTCTAGAGAAAAGATAATTTATAAACACTTGTACTGACAAGGCAGCTAACAAATGTATACAGAATTAAGAAAAACTTTCAATAAGCTTCTCTTCTTATGTTCACTTAAAGTAAATTATCTTCAAGGCTCACTTTTTAAGTAAGTCCCGGTATAACATTTTTAAAAAACCCCTCACATATAAAAATGATTTATTGCATCCAAAAGTTAACCACACATTTACATTATTTCTCAACATAGTCACCATTGACTTCAATCAATGTTTGCTATCGTGGCACCAGGTTCTTAATGTCGATGTCACAGAAGTCTGCCACCAGTGTCTTGAACCCTTCATTAACGCCTGTTTGCAGGTCGTCATCAGTTTCAAACCCCTGGGATCTCAGCCACTTCCATAAGCGCATGAAAAGGTGGTAATCACTTGGCGCCAGGTCGGGGCTTCAGGGCGGGTGGTCCACAATTTTCCAATGAAATTTTTGCAACAACTGAACAGTTCCATCTGCAACACGAGGTTGAGCATTATCGTGCAAAAGCCCAATCCCAAAGGGCAGCAACCCACATCTTTTGTTTTGGATTTCACATGCGTGCAAAATTTGTTGTATCCAAGGTTTCCTGTCACATTGTCGTAACTCAATGAATGTGCAACTTACAAAAATTAAAGACAATTCATAAATTGTTAACCAATGGTTTTCCTGAATTTGTTGGTTCACTTCTTTGGCCAAATCATCTATCACCACACTCGGCCGACTGCTAACATCTTCATCACGGATATCAGTTCGTCTTTCTTATAAAAATTCAACACCATTTCCAAACCATATTATCAGTCATAACATCTGGCCCATAAACTTCAGTGAGCTGCCTGCAAATTTCTGCAGCACTGTTGTTTTTTGCTAACAAAAAAACAAAAAAAACGTATCACAGCACGGACCTCGCAGCTGGCAGCATCAAACACGATTTCGACAATAAAAAAAATAGCACACAGCTAGCTAATGGACCTGTTAAATATACTGCATATGCACATTTACCTTTTCCACCAGTGTTTGTCACTGCGGTCAAAACGGGACTTCCTTTAAAAATGTGCTTCATATATAAGCAATGCTGTCTCTAGTATGAACTTCAATGTCTGTTGTAAATCACTTGGCAGTCCGTAAAATTTGGCTTCCACCAGTGTTTCTCTTGGCCAGAAGTTTTGCCTGGACATGATGTATTTGGGACAGTCTTAGAGGATGTGATCTGTTGTATAGGATGCTCATACACATGTACACATGGCTGATTCACAAATCTTAAATTTGGTGTACATTTGGCTGCAAAGTCGATTGTGCCCTGTTCTAAGGAATATATATTTATAAACATTTGTATAGACAAGGCAGGCATAAAAATAAATCAAAGCAATGTTTCCCCGATGTGAATTTGAACAAAGAAGACACAAACAATAGTCACCTCAACAACAACGAATCAGGTGACTGGTCGACAAAATCTATCATCAGCAATTGCGTGCTATATTCTAAATTCCGGGCACATCATTAACAGGGATGATGCATTTAAAATTATTTACAATTCGGCCAACCGTAGATTACTCAGATACGCGGAAGCTTCAGCGATCAACCGGTTAAAACCGGATCTCTGTAGACAGAAAGAAATGGTAGTTTCCTTAAGGTTACCTTGGTGAAACAGACAGTGTAGAATGTACTCGAATTTGTGTTTCAGTTTCTAGGATTCAGCTATTTGCTTCATTTATTCACTTGTTACTGTAGTATGCACCTGACGAGATACAGCAAAATATGCCAGGCAATAAATTGTGCAGTCTATTGTTTGTGTCTTCTTTGTTCATAAAAATAAATGTATATAGACCAGATAAACTTTCAATATGCATTTCTTCTTCTTCTTGTGTTTACTGGCTGTAAACTCCAGCAGAAAGTTCTGGTTGTTCATCCACTTCTGGACTTTAGTTTTGTTACAGATTCAATTTATTTATATGCAGACTATTGGTTCCTCATTTCTCAGGCAGGCGCACTCTGACTTCGGGAGGAACAGCCCTGATTAGTCGATTCTTACTAGATGCTCGTTATGGGGGACAGTGAGTTGATTCTTTTTTCTCCAACATGGGGAATGCTTAAAAAAATGTCTACAGTCGAAACAACTTATACAAATTTATAACATAAAATAAGTAAGCAAATGACCCTTTTCCACACCTTTAAGTGTACAGGGCATATAGGGCTAGACCTATATTTTATAGATCAATCGGCACAAGATAGGTAATGTGGTCAGCATCACGCCGGCCCCCTTTACTTCCTAGGACTGCACCCGATACCCACTCAAGGCTGGGTCGACCTGGGAGCCAAGGTCATTTTTGAAAAAATTCCGGCTCTGCCAGGGAACGAACCAACGACCTTACAATCCGCAGTGAGCGTCTAGCCACTCCGCCACGGCGACTCCCCTTATAACATAAGTTTAATATAAACATTTCTATAAGCATCTAAAATTTCTATATACAATCACCATCAATTTTATATATATTATCAACATCAATATAACCTTCACCTTCCCCTTTGGTTGCTTGAAATACAATTCTGAACTCTATATCAAGAGCTGAGAGACTGACCTTCACCTCTGTCCATGTTAGTAACTGGAAATTAGAAACACTAGATGACCAATTATTACAATCCAATGTAGGATTTTCATTAAAAAACAGCTTCCTGCAAACGCTAAGTACGCCAGCATTGGCAGAACTGAGTCTGATTTTGAACAGCAAGCACATGGGAATAGAAGTCTTCAGTGCTGGAGATAGAAATCTTGCTATATCACCTGGGAAACCATTGCTTTGTGCCCTGATAAAGACATCTGAAATACAATCAAGTGGTATTTATCAGAGAATGTTAGAAAGGTAAAGGGACCCAAATATTCAACAATGCGTGGTACTTCTTCTGACAATAGAAAGTCTCCTGCTGTGACTGCTACCTTGCCGAGTTCTTACCACTTATGTAATCTCCACTGAGTCAGTTAGGTCCTGTCAACACTCTGTCTCGTGCACTGGTTGCGGTCTCTCGGAGATAGTCTTTTATCCATTTCTTAGTGTTATCTTCCCACTTCGAGACCGTCTTTTATTCATTTCTTAGTGCTATCTTTCCACTTCGAGACCGTCTTTTATCCATTTCTTAGTGTTATCTTCCCACTTCGAGACCGTCTTTTATCCATTTCTTAGTGTTATCTTCCCACTTCGAGACCATCTTTTATCCATTTCTTAGTGTTATCTTCCCACTTCGAGACCGTCTTTTATCCATTTCTTAGTGCTATCTTTCCACTTCTATCACAATCTACCTTTTGCTTGCCTGCCTTCAACTATTCCCTCCAGTTATTTTTAAGTTTTTTTTAAAAGAGTGTTAAGCCTACGTCTTTTAATGCAGTCAAAATATATCACTTGTTCTCCATGTGGGTTCCGGAGTCCCTTTGTGGGGAAAACAAGAATAGACCCACTGCTCCCCAACAAACATGTTGTAGGATTTAATTAATTGGGGACATCCTTCAAAGTCGGAGTACATCTGCCTGAGAGGCAAGGAACCACAAGTGAGTATACAAATAAGCCAGATCTGTGAAATGGATGTGCACACAACACTCAGGTTCTGGAACAAGTCTCAAGTCCAGACGTAGACAGACACTCAGAGCTTTCCGCCGGAATTTACAGCCAAAGAATGGGAAGAAGAAGAAGAAGAAATCACTTATCTCTTTCTTAAAATTTTTGTAAATAATGATCTTTTATTTCCATCTCTCTAAAACCACAAGCCAGTGCGCATGCATTACCAGACCCATCAAAAAAGCAGAGAATGTTGACACTAACCTTCCATAAATGTCACAGAGGACTAAGAAATGTTGGCATGAGATTGGCTCATCTCATCTCATATTAGGGAAATATCCAACACATGCATGATCTATCCCATCTAATAACAGGGAAATATCTCAGATGTACATCATCTATCCCATCTCATAATAGGGAAATATCTCAGACGTACATCATCTATCTCATCTCATAATAGGGAAATATCTAAAATGTACATCATCTATCCCATCTCATAACTGGGAAATATCTCAAATGTACATCATCTATACCATCTCATAACAGGGAAATATCTATAATGTGCATCATCTATCTCATCTCATAACAGGGAAATATCTAAAATGTACATCATCTATCCCATTTCATAACAGGGAAATATCTAAAATGTACATCATCTATCCCATTTCATAATAGGGAAATATCCATAAAGTGCATGATTTGACGTGAGTCTGCATCTGAATCAGATTGTACTATATCACTTTGGTCAAGAAAGAGATGGATAAATGGTGCTGAAGAAACCTGCAGAAAGATGAATAAATCCATCACCCAAGCCACCCCAGAAGCGCAGGACAAATACAGAAAGCCATGACACTGGGCTACAATCTGGTATCAGTGAGATGACAAAAGAAAGAAGTCTTTGGCCTCTGTTTGGTCATTGTTTCCCTCCATGATGGCTGACTGAAGGATTTACACCTCAAGGATGAGAAACAGACAAGAGCAAATCCTAAAAAAGCCTGTTTAACCAAATAACAGGGCTACATTAGGGCACCCATGTTGTTAGAAAGTTACCTGCGGTCAAATGTGGGAATGGAATGTATCTTTCAATGTTAATAGTCTAATATGAGAATGGAATGTGTCTTTGAATGTTAATAGTCCAGTGTGGAAATGGGATTTGTCTTTCAATGTTAATAGCTAGTGTGGGAATGGGATTTGTCTTTCAATGTTAATAGCCAGTGCGGGAATGGGATGTGTCTTTCAATGTTAATAGTCCAGTGTGGGAATGGGATGTGTTCCATAAAATTACACTCAGTTTTAAGGTTAAAAAGTTTGCAAAAATATTTTATACATTAATAACAAAATACAGTATATATGTACAAAATCAGAGTTAAGAAGTCAAAGTTAGAATATCCCAAGTTTCCTATGCAGGTTTCCCTATTCTGGAGCGGGTACAAAAATAATTTATGAACAGACCCCTTAACAAGCATGCATATTAGAGGTTTGCTGAAACTGGATGTGTTGAACTTCTTCTTCTTCTGGGGTCATCCGAAGATATAATTGTGTTGTGTCCATTTACAGCATGGCTGTGATATTTGTACCTTTCTGCCAACACATTCGACTTCTAAGGGCATTTGTTGACCGGATTACCCTTCCCGGACAGGATGTGTTGAACAGAAAGGTGCAGATATCACAGCCTAGCTGTAAGCGACAACACAATACTACAACTGCTCTTTTAGAGGCAAAAATAAAATGAGAAGAATAACCCAATATTTTATGGGATGAAGAATATTTGACGATAGATAATAGATGAATTGGTTTAGGGTCTATTCTCTTCGGAGATAAAGGATTAAAGAACAAGACAAAGAGGTGGAAGAGAAGAAGAAAAAGAAGACTATTTGATACGTACCATCCTCCGACCCATCAATGGTACCCACGTCACCAGTGTCAAAGGAAACTGCCCAATCGAAATCATCAGAAGGGTCTTGCTGATACTCACACAGCATGTTCTCAGTTTTGCCACCTCTGGCAGTTTCAGAGATTTTGTTGAACTTACAGTTTAGAAGTTTAGAGCCTTTTGAAAGAAATTATGGAAAATTATGAGAAGAGATATATTAAAAAAAAAAAAAAATACTTAGTTCAAAACAATACTCCATACATATCATCTAATTTTTCATCCTAGATATGTGATCTTACATATTCTATATACATCTTAAAAACAACATATAATATACATTTTATACAAGATTGATTTAGTGAAACCTCGGGTTGTAAACTCTTTTGCCCTGTGAAAATCTACAAAGATAACCTTTTCCACAAATTTGTTTAGAAATGAATTTTTATAATTTCCTGAAACTCTAAACTAAGAAACTAGAGGAAGAGAAGAAAAGCAAAATAAATCTGGACAGTTCTTGTAAACATTCAGATGGTCAAACTCTTAGGTCGCAGAGCAGACAGGTGTGAAGTCTACAGCTATATCGTGGTCGTCAGATAACTGAAATATTTCCTATTAATTATCACAACTATTTATTATTTATTATAATGCTTACTTACGACCTTTTTAGGACGTAATTTTTTGTTATTTGAAGCCCCACTCTGGCTTTTGCCAGGGGCCGCAATATAGGCAGGCCATTAATGTGGCCAATTGTCTGAACGCGGTTTCTGGGACCTCTCCACGGTGATCCTCATCCGCATGGTGGCACTTTGTGTCATCGGGTATTTGTCGCTTGTGTGATGTCCTGGTGGGGTAGAAAGTCAGTCAGTCAGTCAACTATTATTTATTACTGTAAAAACAAAATTTTAAGCAAAGGAATTGATAACTAAATACAGACATAGCAAAGAATTAACTGCCTTCTTTCCCTGTGAGCATGATAAATGTAGCTTTGTTGACTCAGCCATGGAGAGCAAAGTGACATCATGAGTTTATTATGATGTATGATGACATCACAATTTTTTAAAATGTGATTTTGTTTAAACCCCTAATAAAACCTTTAAAAAAGTGTGTGTGTGTGTTTGCATGCATGCATGTGTGTGTGCGTGTGTGTGCGTGTGTGTGTGTGTGTGTGGTCCTACCCACTATGCAGCTACAGCTGTTATTTAAGCTGAGCCCAGACTTCATGCCAACAGAAACCCATAAAATTCCGGGAAAACTGGTTTTCTCGGGGTCAGCAAACCAAACTCAGTTTTACTGATAATGTTACGGATTTCAGCAGTTTTGACCCACGTCTTGATGTAAGTCCACACACATCTTTGTTGCCCTCTAGCTCTATTTCCTGTCCACTTACTCTATGTTGCCCTCTAGCTCTATTTCCTGTCCACTTACTCTTTGTTGCCCTCTAGCTCTATTTCCTGTCCACTTACTCTATGTTGCCCTCTAGTTCTATTTCCTGTCCACTTACTCTTTGTTGCCCTCTAGCTCTATTTCCTGTCCACTTACTCTATGTTGCCCTCTAGCTCTATTTCCTGTCCACTTACTCTATGTTGCCCTCTAGCTCTATTTCCTGTCCACTAACTCTATGTTGCCCTCTAGCTCTATTTCCTGTCCACTTACTCTATGTTGCCCTCTAGTTCTATTTCCTGTCCAGTTACTCTATGTTGCCCTCTAGCTCTATTTCCTGTCCAGTTACTCTATGTTGCCCTCTAGCTCTATTTCCTGTCCACTTACTCTATGTTGCCCTCTAGCTCTATTTTCTGTCCACTTACTCTATGTTGCCCTCTAGCTCCATTTCCTGTCCACTTACTCTATGTTGCCCTCTAGCTCTATTTCCTGTCCAGTTACTCTATGTTGCCCTCTAGCTCAATTTCCTGTCCACTTACTCTATGTTGCCCTCTAGCTCTATTTCCTGTCCACTTACTCTATGTTGCCCTCTAGTTCTATTTCCTGTCCACTTACTCTATGTTGCCCTCTAGCTATATTTCCTGTCCACTTACTCTATGTTGCCCTCTAGCTATATTTCCTGTCCACTTACTCTATGTTGCCCTCTAGCTCTATTTCCTGTCCACTTACTCTATGTTGCCCTCTAGTTCTATTTCCTGTCCACTTACTCTATGTTGCCCTCTAGCTATATTTCCTGTCCACTTACTCTATGTTGCCCTCTAGCTCCATTTCCTGTCCACTTACTCTATGTTGCCCTCTAGCTCTATTTCCTGTCCAGTTACTCTATGTTGCCCTCTAGCTCTATTTCCTGTCCACTTACTCTATGTTGCCCTCTAGCTCTATTTTCTGTCCACTTACTCTATGTTGCCCTCTAGCTCAATTTCCTGTCCACTTACTCTATGTTGCCCTCTAGCTATATTTCCTGTCCACTTACTCTATGTTGCCCTCTAGCTCTATTTCCTGTCCACTTACTCTATGTTGCCCTCTAGTTCTATTTCCTGTCCACTTACTCTATGTTGCCCTCTAGCTATATTTCCTGTCCACTTACTCTATGTTGCCCTCTAGCTCCATTTCCTGTCCACTTACTCTATGTTGCCCTCTAGCTCTATTTCCTGTCCACTTACTCTATGTTGCCCTCTAGCTCTATTTTCTGTCCACTTACTCTATGTTGCCCTCTAGCTCAATTTCCTGTCCACTTACTCTATGTTGCCCTCTAGCTATATTTCCTGTCCACTTACTCTATGTTGCCCTCTAGCTCTATTTCCTGTCCACTTACTCTATGTTGCCCTCTAGTTCTATTTCCTGTCCACTTACTCTATGTTGCCCTCTAGCTATATTTCCTGTCCACTTACTCTATGTTGCCCTCTAGCTCCATTTCCTGTCCACTTACTCTATGTTGCCCTCTAGCCCTATTTCCTGTTCACTTACTCTATGGTGCCCTCTAGCTCTATTTCCTTCGACTTCATTGCCTTGTTTGTCTCATTTTTATTTCCCCTTCAGCAATGGCATTTGTAGCAGTTTCTATTTTTTTTTTCTCATTTACTGTTTGTTTACACTGAAGAAAACCAAACCCAATCTTCTGAAGATGCACATTTGAAAAGACTCAATGAATTCATATCTTCTTCTTCATCACCAGCTGTAAAAAGCTCTGGCTGATGCCGTCAACTTATGAACTTTTAGTCTTAATCCAGAACTTTACAAATCTGTCTTATTTGTAAGCAGACTGCTGGTTCCTTGCCTCTAAAGCAGATGCACTTCAACTTCAAAGGAACAAATTAGTCGTCTTTTACGACATCCTTGTTAGGGTGGCAGTGGGGAAAGGGGGGGGGGGGTGGCGGCAGTGGGGGAAGGGGGGGTGGCGGCAGTGGGGGAAGGGGGGTGGCGGCAGTGGGGTGGGGGAAGGGGGGTGGCGACAGTGGGGGTCGGGGGGGTGGCAGTGGGTCTATTCCTTCCTCCTCAAAAGGGAAATTGGAACCTACATGGGGAATAGTTTACAAATAAATGAGTAATCTTGATGCTGTGAAAAAAAGGCTGGCTAAGATATAGACAGCTTAGACTAACTGGTCTAAAAGAAGTATGAGTGGCATCATATGCTTGATAGGCCACAGGAAAAAAAAAAGGATCTTTTTACTTTACATGATGATGATATATGAAACGAGACCTGGAGAAAGAATCAAAACTGTTAATTTACCTTCACACAAACCTGCAGCAAGTATTACATCATCCAGTCCAACACCGCCACCAGAATATTTGCCTGAGGTGGACAGGAAATTGATCTTTTCGGTATTGAGAGGAAGATCCAACTCAAACCTGGTCCACAGAAGACAAAGTGAACTGATAAATGAATTAAGAATTAACATCCTTGCAATCAAGTGAGTCCCCGATGTGCTCTGTTTTCTTCCTCAGTAGCCACTGAAGAGTTGTTGTAGTAACTGACAGTACTAGTATCAAGCTGGTTTATAGTTTGCCTCTATTTCTCCCTCTATGTTGAATAAACATTTTTAGGAATCTATACTCACCCCACTCCTTCCCCCCCCCCCTCTCCCCCCCCCCCCACTCTTCTCCCACTGAATTTGTCTTTCTTCTTCTTCTTCTTCTTCTTTGCGTTCAGTTTCGTTTGCTCAGATCAGAGCATCAGTTGGGTTGCCTCTATGAACTCGCATGTCAGTAGCAGGTCCTTCATGGTTTCCCATAGCTTGTTCTTTGCTCTTGAGGCCAGGTGTCTTTTCGAAGTTGTAGGTAGAGTACGCAGATCTGCAGAATGTGCTGAGGTGTTTGTGGTCCTGTTTGACAGGCACACTGTGGGGACTGTACAATCCTTATTTACATGCATGTGGTAGTTGAGCCTGCAGTGTCCTGTTCGTAGAAGGAAAACTACATTTAATTACACATTTCAAGAACAGGTCACTGCAGAAACAGCGATATATCGGGATTTACGGGGTGATAGATTTAAAGCAGTCACAAGTAAATTTCCTGTGAGTTGCTTGGCATTAAACGAGTTAAACCTGTTTGTATATTTAGTTAAATGCATGTGAAACATAAACTGCAGACCTTGAGTTGTCTACAAGCAGCGTTCTTATTTAAATTTGTCTTTGTCTTTTTCTAAGTTCACCCTTGAAATGGCAGTTGACACTTTGTATTGTGATTTACAGCTAAGCCATTTAGAACAAACATCTAATTTCAGCAAACCTCTCTCTTCTTCTTTGTGTTTACCAGCTGTAAACTTTGGTGTAAAATTCTGGTGGTTCATCCACTTCTGAACTTTGGTCTTGTATGAGAATTTGAGTTTTGTGTTCACATTCGTTGTACAGATCTGGCGATTTGTAAGCAGACTGTAGGTTCCTCACTTTTCTGGCAGATGCACTCTGAGTTTGAAGGAAACACCGTTAATTAACTTACTTTCACAACATCCTTGTTAGGAGGTAGTGGGTCTGTTCTCTCCCACCTCAAACCCCTTCAAATAGGGAAGGACCCAGGGCACACATGGTTAAAACAAAGCCCTCATTATTCCCATTTTATGACATGCCTGTTAGGTAACTAGGCCAATTCTTTTTTTCTTCCCCCAAATGGGGACCCTGATCCCACAGAACACTAGGCCACTTCTTTTTTCTCCCCCAAAATGGTACACCAGATCCCACACAGAGAATCTTAATTGGCCTTACCTCATCCAGTTTGTGGTCAACTCTGACGTCACTCTGAGAAGTGTCTGTGACTGGTTTCTGGAGCCATCAGTAACTCGAATCTCAAATTTACACTTACTGCATTCTTTGATGACGACACTGGCTTGCAAACAGTACCTAGTTTGTGCTTGGCCCACCCGCGGGGATGTTAACATTGCTGTCTTGAACTTTGCACCATATGGAACATATGTATACATATAGTGGCCTGGGGAGAATATGTTAACATACATATGATTAATTATCTCTTTGAGTCCCATACAGAATGTTTGAAGCTGAATTAAGAATTGACATCATAGAGCTCGGGACACTCCTATAAGCGCTCTGTCCCCATCTTCAGCAGCAAACCAAGAGTTCCAGTGCCGATGGTACCAGTAACTGACTGACTGTATTTCAGTCTCGCCTTTCCCTTGAGTGTTAGGCGTCGACCAGAACCCCTGGTAACTCTCTGCATTGCCATTCTCTTCAGACCGTAATGATCTACTTGTGCCTCCTCACTGTTCACTCACTCCTAAAGAACCCTCACAACGTCTAGCTTGTCCTACATCAGTTCACCACCAAGTAGTGCAGAGCCAGCCAGTTTTTATGCCTGCTCGTACCCCAAAACACCAGCATGACCTGGAGAAATAATCCACAAAGGACGCTAACTACCCGGGATCTTTGAAGCAATGCCTGCCACTCTGTCCATGCCTGTCTCCACCTTTCTCAACATCCTTTGTGAGTGTGTTGAGAAACAAACCATTGTTACATCAACTCTGCCTGAACCAAAGAGTTCAGCTCTTACAGTAAACAAATGCTAAGGTCAGCAGAGATATCATGGGGCAGAAGTAGTTAAACTAACAATTCTGATACAAGGGGTTAAAATAACATTTGTCTGTGATGAAGTCAGTAAGAACATTATGTTATGGGACTGCTTACCGTCTCAAAGAGTTGGATGGACAAACTAGAGCGCATACAGAACGCGGCTATGCGGGTCATTCTGGGTTGCACCAGAGACACCTCAGTGGTGGGTATGCGATATGTCCTTGGTTTGCCGACGGTTGCAGGTAGGCACAAGGTGATGCAGGCGAAGTCATATCTCAGGGTAGCTGCAGACACAGACCACCCTCTGCATGAAGCTCTGGGTGCAGTTAAGGGTCAGCGGCTGTTAAGAGGGAGGTCATGCATGGCTCAGGCAGAAGACACAATCAGATAGGTTTGCATCTTTGCGAACATGAGGCGAGGAGAGGAGTGGGTCAAAGTGCCATCTGAGCAGTCAGACTTGTGTAGAGTCATAATCACGCTGAGCCGGAAATGCAGAGACTGACCAGCAGGTGTCACGGAGGTGGAAATTCAGCAATTAATTCAAGATAATGCTCGCTCAGAAGATTTGATCATTTACACAGACAGTTCAGTGTCAAGAGACAAAAGAAGTGCTTGGGGCTTCTTAGCAAAAGTTAATGGTCGACGTTTGGTGCAGGAGAGTATAGCATATGATACCACAACATCCAGCTTAATAATGGAGGTGGAGGCGGTCACTGCAGCTTTCCGCTGGCTAGAGAACACGACACACACATCGTGATTGTAACTGATTCAGAAAGCATGCTGAGGAAGATCAGAACAGGTATGCTTCATTCAGAGTGGCATGCTTCGCTGCGGAGGACATGGGTGAAGAGTATTGTCTGGATTTTTTCACCAGGGCCTGCAAGTGTGTTGGGGAATGAACAAGCAGACAGACTGGCTGGCCCTGCACAACTTAGTGGAATACTGATACGTGATAAGGCAGATGTGGTTATTGCCTGTGGAAAAGTGTGTACAGTTCGGAGGAGCAGATGGATCACCACAGTCTGATGAGACTGATGCAGTGGGGAGTGACAAGAGGTTCTGGCAGATGCTTGAGGCTCAGAGGAAAGGCAAGACGGACGTTTAATCAAAATGCTACTGGCACCATTAGTATCGGAACTCTTTGCTGGATGCTGAAGATGGGGACGGAGCGCTTGTGGGAATGCCCCGAGTGCTGTGATGTCGGTTCTTGAATCAAATCAAATCATTTTTTTTTTATCTACGGAACTACCGAGAAAAGTATGGTGAGTTGTTCGGTTATTAATGAGTTATATTTATCAAGGTTTGCGGAGAATATGTTTAAATATGATTAATTACACATTTCAGAATCTGGGGAGAATATATTAACATATGATTAATTTATATGGATCAGGCCTTGGGGGAGAATATGTTAAAATCATGATTATTTATACACAGTGACCCAAGAAAAAAATATGCTAAAACGGTATACATAAATAAATATATATCTATACACACATATATAAACATTTATATTTATATACACACAAATACATTTTAGTATGAGAAACATGATTATTTACATAACTACACACTGTGGAGTATCACTGTTTTACACATACACACACAGGCACACACACACACACACATGCATATAAAACATCTAAACTACAGATCCACATATATAAAGGAACATTAATAAAGTCCATTTATCAACCAGACACATCACAATTTCACCTGATGCATTCTTGAATGTATTGTCTGTGTAAGGTCTATCAGGGTAGTTGGCTCCACCCATTCTTCTAGTCCACAGAAACTCACTGTCTGATTGGCCAATGTAGCCACAAACATTTGGGTATTCAAAGTTACACGATACTCCATAGTTTACTGGGGGGAAAATGTACTTATAACTAATGATATTGCAAGGTTGATCAAAAAATAAAATGAGCAATGATGGAAAGGAGGTGTCAGAGAAAGGCTGCAGGAGTGACCAGAAGGGATAAATCAGAAATGAAGTAGGCATAGAATCAGTATTAAAAAGCTACGTGCAAAGACAAATAAAATGGCTCAGGATATTTTGTGACATCAAACACTACAAGACATACATCAAAAGAGGAGAGGGATGAGGCAGACTAAGGGTAATATGGCAAGATAACAACAGAGAAACTCTACAACAGCAGTGTCTGTGGTTGAGATAGCCAGAAGGCCAGGAACTAGAAACTTATATCTCCTCGACACCTGAAACAGAAAAAGTTGAAACTGCAGAAGAAGAATGCAAAGTTGTCAAGCTGATACAAGTTGGCTTCAAATAAAAACATTAAAAGTATAATAGAAATTACAATAAACATGACAATGTCTCGTAACTTGTCAAGAATGTTGTCAAGAGTGTTAAGCACATGACATCAAGGTGCAATTAACATGGTGATGTCATAATGACAGTTTGAAGATGGTCGTCACATTTTTGACATGCACCAAAGAGGAGCAGGGTGCTTTTATCCATTTTTTATAAGTATCCATAAACCATGAGTTGTTAATGTTAACCCTTTGGCTTGGTACTATAGATATCGCAACCCTTCGGCCTTGATTCCATAATAGATACCATAAATCTGGGAGGAATGTGGCTTTCCTGCCTACCTCCAGGCGTGAACCCGGACCACAAGGAGTTCGTCACCCGGTCGCCGCACAGTTCGGTTTAGCATAACTGCTAATCATCGGACACACAAGACAAGCTTAAGTTATCAAGATAACTGTTAATCAATGGACACACAAGACAAGCTGAAGTTATCAAGATAACTGAAAGTTGAAGTTATCATGAGAACTGAGAATGAATGGTACCTGTCTCATTAGCAGATGGACAGACAAGTTGAAGTTATGATGACAACAGAAAATGAGTGGACAGACAAGGTAAAACATAAGTTAAATTTGAAAAGACAGCACAAAATAAATGCTGCCTTGCTCATCGGTGGACACACAAGACAAACTGAAGTTACACTAAAAGTTTAAAAAATAATTGGGCAGACAAGACAAGATGAAGTTATAAAGACAACAGAAAATCAGTGGACAGACAAGATATAACATAACAAGCTGAAAATATAATCTTTTTTTTTCTTTTCTATTCCACCTTGTACCTCATCTAAGTGTCGGTGGGGGTGGGAGGGGAAGGGGGGGGGGGAGAATGTAATATTCGCTGATGAACTCTGTCAAGAGCACCATTAAGACTGGCGTTCATTTCTGTAAGACTGATCCTTATGCCATCACTCCATATTTTCTGAGGTCTTTCACTGGCTCTATACCCGTTGTAACGTTTTAGTGTGGCTCGCTGTTGCGGATAGTACCAGGGCATTCGTGTTAGGTGTCCAAACCACTTCATTTATTGTTCTTTGATGACCTGTAAGATTGGCTTTATTCCTAGCATTTGTCTGATTTCGTATTCTGTCTCTCCTTGAAACTCCTGCAGCTCCTCTAAGGCATTTCATCTCTGTTGTCACAATTTTACATTCATTGAAGGATCTAAGTGTCCACGTTTGGCACTGATAGCTATAAGATAATGAAAATATAATGACAACATCAAATGACTGCTACCTTGCTCATCAGTGGTGAATTTGATCCAGTCAAGGAAGGAGTCCACACGGGTATAGACACCTGGCTTTCCAATAACCCCGCATCCCTCCCCCCAACTAACCACACCAACCAGCTGCCACTTGTGGAACTGTGTGGCACACATTAGAGGCCCTCCACTATCACCCTGAAACAGATCCACAAAACTACATATAAAGTCAAGCAAATCAAGCCTTTTTTTTCTTTTAAAACATATAGGGGAATCTACCTCTACTATAATACAAAGATATGTGCAAGTGGGACATAATTAACACAGGTATTGAGGTGGACTCATGGGAACAAAATGCCATGGAACGGGTTGTGTGGAAGGACACATCAGGAAGTGATTGAAAATGAAGGAAGAAATGACTGCAGAAAGGATGAGAGCTGAGCGTCGGAGAGGAAACAGAACAACCACAAATGTTGACAACAGTGGTCCTGAAATCCCATGCTATCATTGTGGAAGACTTTTCTTAATGCGAGCAGGTCTTGCTAGTCATACTGGCCATCACCGTGAGCTGTGAGTTCCATGCCTGCTCATAGCGCAATATAACACCTTTGTCTGGAAAGATGGAATGGTGCCAATCCAATAGGGGAATCTGTCTATCTACTGACTTTCTCTGCTGAATGTTGCTAGGTGTCAAGGCAAGGCTAATGATTGGTTTCCGAGATAGTGTGCGCTCTTAGCCTGCTGCATGATGATATTGTTGAGTTTCAGCTAGTTATTAACTCCATCTATCCATATTCTACTTAGCCTTCCTTTGCCTCTTGACGTTTCCAATCTCATCTTGTATGCTCTTGCAACTGGTGAAGCTGGATTCATTCTGAAAAGGTGGCCAAACCATTTCAGTCTTTATTTTTCAATAAATCTAATTACAGGTGTTGTTCCTACCATTCTAATGATATCTTTGTTTATTTATGGTCTCTTCTTGTCATATTAACTGCTTTTCTCAAACATCTCATTTCATCCGTCGTTAGTCTTGTTCTTTTGTAAGTGCCTAGGTTTGGCATTAGTAACAATGTTGATGGTTTGGCCACCTGATGAGAATGCCCTGGTATCAACTGCCACAGAAAACCACGCTGGAGAAATATAATGAACACAGCAAGTGGAAGACCACGCAAGTATGGAGCGACACCATCAGGAGCAAACTAACAGAAATGAACAGCAACTTGTACAATGCACTGGAAAAAGTTCATCTCCCCCAACACCTTGCTGAGGTAAATGGTGGGGAAAAAAGAAGAAGAAGAAGAACACAATGTTAGTTTTTAAAAAAATTGTATTTTTGATTTGTGTTTGAGTTACCACTGGTATCACTGGGTGTTTCAGTATTGGGGAATGTTGGCAGGCAACACTGTTTGCTTGCTTGATTCTGGACTCGATTGACAAACAGAGATAAAGGGGAAGAGGAGTAGCCAAACTATTAAGAACGCTGGGCACTCATATAGATAGACCCAGCTTTATATAATTGATGAGGCTGTGGATTTTTTCTGTCAGGGGCTAAAACATGATGTCATTTACTTCTTCTTCTTCTCATTACTCTGCTATCAAACTGTTTGTTTTTTGTGTGTGTATAAAAAGATACCCCTAATTTATTTTTAAACCCAAAATTAGGAAATACAGAGGTACCTTTACTTATGAACCGCTCTACACAGACATTTTTCGAGATACAAACTTTGTCATGTCCAATTTTAAACTCTACATACAAACCTCGATTCAAGATAGGAAAAGTGATGCACTGCATAAGCACAAGTGTTTGTTGTTACTGATCTGGAAAATAATGGAACGAGTGATGTGTGTGACACATGCTGCATCTACATGTTTGCCTTTTTATTTGGTGTTTCTATTTTGGCATTTGTGTAAAGAAACAAAACAGTTTCTTTACTTCAGGAGCGTTATGAACTAACAATTTAAATTATTATTTTGATACTGCGTATCATTTCAAACACGTGGCCAAAGAAAACTAAGAAAGAAAAGAAGAAGAAAATCACACAAAACAAATTAAGAGATTGTGTAAAAATATGAGAAAGGAGTCAGGCAAACTGATTTGTGTAAGCAGTATATAACTTGTCCGTCCACCATAGCTGCAGTTCTCAAGAAAGCAGATTTTTTTTTGTTTATAATGGTCTTGATGTTGCCAAAAGTGTAACTATCTTTATCATCTAATGGAAACTTTACTACTCATCTGGATTAATGGCATTCAACTTAAAGCAGCTAGTGTTTCTCAAAATATGATCTGTTTATTAAATGCTCAAGCTTTTGACAAAGATCTTTGGAGAACTTTCCATCCACTACCAGTAGCAAAGATATCAGTAAAGAATTTACAGCTAGCAAAGGATGGTTTGAGAAATTCAAGAATGGACACCAGTATCCAGTGTTGTTATGCATGGAGAATGTGCAAGTGCTAACAATAAAAAAGTGACTAAAAAGTTCATGGAGGAATTTCAGAAACTAATGGTGTCAGAGGGTTACAAACCAGAACAAGTTTCCAGCTGCAATGAAACAGCTTTTCTGGAAGAAAATGGCTAAGAGAACATTCATCAGTAAGGACAAATTTACCAGGACACAAGCCAGTGAAAGACAGACCAGCTTTGCTCTTTTGTGCTTATGCCACTGGTGATCTGAACACCAAACCTAAGTTGGTTTATCACTCTGAAAATTATGGTGTCTTTAAACAACAGAAGGTTACCTGACACAGACTTAAAAAAAAAAAGGAAAGATCCCTCTCCAAGCATTTAGGCCTATCGGGCAAATGTGAAGAGCGCCCATATTTTTACAGACCAACAGCACTCGGTGGGTAATGTGGTCAGCATTACGCCGGCTGTCTTTACTTTCCCAGGACAGCCCATCCTGGTACCCATTTGAGGCTGGGTCGACCTGCGACGTCCCATACCACGATAAAAATCCACGCAGCCCGCAGTGGGTTTCAATCGCGGTACGTTGGATTACGAGTCAGACTCGCAACGCCTTAACCACGGACGTCGGTGACACAGACTTAATTTATTTGTTTATCTTCAGATTTTTAATATGAGAACAGAATAAAATGCAATGGGCAAATCTGTTTCGAGACATGACATTTTCAAGCTATGAAGCACAGTCAAGGACTGAATTAAGTTCGTTAGTCTAGGTACCACTGTAAATATTTTAAACACATTTTATGTATAAGTCAACTTCCAATTTTAAATTAAAAAAAAAAATTTTAAGAAAATATACTGCTATTACATGGAAAAATATGGTAATTTCATTGTGCTCATTTACAGCATGGCTGAGATATTTGTGCCTTTTGGTCGACACATGTGACTTCTTGAGTCATTTCTTAGCCTTCCTGTGTATCCTTTACTGACTGACTTATAATGCAATGAAAACCACGAAGGTCCCCCTACCTTGCAGGCATCCATCTCTCCGTTCTGAAACCCTGCACACAGCATCGACTGCTTGATCTTTCCTGGGTACGACAGTTCACACTTTGACTGCTCCCAGATGCTGATCTTAGCATGATGTAGGATGGGACTCACTTGTGGGTTTGAAATCTCTGATGAAACGCAGAGGAACTAACACGTACCATAATAAAGAAGTATACTCAGATAAAATGTAGTACTATACTTACTGACACAAAAAGTAGTGCTGTTTTGAGATAAGAAATAACGCTATATTAAGATAAAAAAGAATGGAGAATGACCAAAAAGGATGCACACAAGCTAACCACCTTCCACCACACATGTCTACATAGAATTATCAAATTTTCTGGTCAGATTCAATCTCAAACCCTAAACTACTTGAAGTCAAAAACCAAGAAACTCTAGGCAGTATGAAAACCAAGAGAAGATGGAAATGGCTTGGCCACGTTATGAGAATGAATCCTGATATGCCTGCCAAAACAGCTCTCAGATGGATACCAGAGGGAAAGAGAAAACAGGGGCGCCCAAAAACAACATGGAGACGAATGATGGAAAGTGACCTGAGTGCGGCATCTTTGACATGGAAAACTGCACTGAAGATTGCACAAGACAGGAAAGCATGGAAAGTCCTCTCTGAAGCCTCATGTGCCACTAGGCATATTGAGAACTGAAGAAGATAAAAAGTAGTACTACATAAGATGAAAAGTAGTACTGTGTTGTGTAAAAAGTAGTGCTGTACAGAGATAAAACATACACTGAGATTAATTGTAGTACCACAATATGAAAAGTAATACTTTACTGAGATGAAGTGTAGTACTACATTGAGATAAAAAAGTAATATTGTACTGTAAAAAAGTTCTTAGGTAAAATGTAGTACTGTACTGTAAAAGAGCTCTTATATTGAGTCTCTGTGGCTGAGTGGTTAGGCCATTTGCTTCATGCTCTGATAGTCTTGGGTTTGATATGGACAGTCTTATTCAGTACGTAGGTGCAAGTTAAGAGAAAACACCAAACCAAACAAAAAGGAGAACCAGTCAGCTTCAAATTATTCTAAACACACACAATAAGTAAACACTGCAGCAAGAGAGCCCTCATCAGCATAATATATGAGTATAAAATACTACATACACGAACAAGAATACACACAAAATCATGTAACTGAAGTGTTTCCAAAAGGAATCCTTGTATCTGTCTGGCCAGCTGAATTTCTGACATGTGTGTGACCACTGGAAAAAAAAATACTAGCCAGAAAAAGCAGTGAGCGGCAAGGGCCGTAACTCAGCAATATTGGTCAAAAGTGTGCCGGATGTTAGGACCCTAGACGATGAAGATTTAGAGACCTCAGATGATCATTGCTGGACTTGTGGAGTTCATGCTTTGTGCACGGCTCTCAGCAGGCAGCTAACCATTTTGCAGAGAGACTGAGCCATTTAACACAAAGCCCAGTGCAATGAAGCCAGTTCATTCTCTGGACTTGAAACCTTTTTTAAAGGTACAGTGGAACTCCAACCAATATTTGTCATTTATTCGTTCCTGAAGGGAGGACAAATAATAAAAACCATGAACATCAATCAAGGTTTTCCTATAGAAATAAACTAAAAATGTTTTAATCCGTTCCCAGTCCTAAATTTTTTAAACAACAACAAAATGTCACTTGAAAGTCAATCTCGGAAATCATTCAGCAAGTAAATTTTAATGACATATTAACCACTGTACTTTATCATTGTACTTTATTACTGTCACAAATGTTTACTCCTCCTGATGATGTAAATATACGGTAGACCAAGACAGAAGCATAAATACAAATCCCAAAAGAATTTACCTTGCAGATAAAAAAAAAAAAAAAAACACCAATGGCTGTTATTTGAAAGGGGAGTCATCTGCCATTAAGACATCAAGTAATGTCCCTTCTGGTGATTGGTGTCGTGATAATTCATTAAGCATTTCCAGATGAGAGAGAGAGAGAGAGAGAGAGAGAGAGAGAGAGAGAGAGAGAGAGAGAGAGAGAGAGGGAGAGAGAGAGAGAGAGAGAGGGAGAGAGAGAGAGGGAGGGGGAGAGAGAGAGAGATTGTTTCTGTGTGTGTGCGTGTGCACATGCGCTTTAAAAAAAAAAGTTTTCCAAATTTAAAAAAAAATAATATAATTTTGTGTATTTTCAGAAAGTTTCCAAACACAATGTGATCATGTGAATTGTGACGCTGACTAACTATAATGATGTCTGGGTGCTATTTCTAGATGAAAATCTGCATTTTTGCCCAAATGGACAACCATTATACAAATTTCAACGAAAAACAAGATAATTTTGCAAAGACTAATATTGACATGGGCGAATATTGGAGTTCCACCGTACTCGCAATTCTTTCTGTGCTAAGCTGCTGTTGCTACTTCAACTCTTTGTACCACAAGATGATGCTGAAAGGGTTAAATAAAAAAAATAAAAAAAACATTTTATCTGGAAAAAAAAGACACTATCGGACACAAGAAATTCCAAAATAATGAGAAGAGAATGGGTTAATATAAAAATACAGATAAGAGCACGAACTTCTTTTTCGTCTTTATTTGCCCTACAAATGGCAGTTGACAGCTAGGCTGTGATATCCTAAATTTGTGGCCCAACACATCCAATTTCAACAGCCCTTTACAGCATAGTTGCTTGGGGACTTGTTCTGTCCCCCCCCCACCACCCCCCCCCCCACCCCCACCTATCCCAACGGAGACCCAGAACTCGCACGAGGAGAGAGCAAGAAACGTATATAATCTTTTGCTGTGAAAAGAAACTTATGATCACTTGCTGGGTACCCATACAGATGAAGGACAGGAGTTTCACTTGGGGCCACTGAAAACAAAAAGTACTTAAGATCTCATTTTAATCTGACTGTTTTTTTTTGTTTTATTTTTATTTTACATAGTTATAGACTTTGTTGTGTATCCCCTTCTGGATGTTGCAACCAAACCCAACATTTACTAGCTGCCTGGTGGTTTTACTAGGGAATTTACACTAAGAAAGAGTTAGAGAAGAAAAGCAGAAGAAGAAAAGGATACGGAATGAGGAGAAGGGAAAAGAGGAGGAGGAAGAAAGGAGGAAAAAAAAAGAAGATCTGAAAAAGGGCGGGGGGGGGGGGGGGGGGGGGGGGTGGAGGAGGAGGGGGGGGTGGGGGAGTGGGGGGGGGGGGGGGGGGGGGGTGGAGAGAAGGAGATGTAGAAAAAATTAGAAAATAATAACAATAATAATAATAATCAGACGAAGAAGAAGAAGAAGAAGAAGAAGAAGAAGAAGAAGAAGAAGAAGAAGAAGAAGAAGAAGAAGAAGAAGAAGAACAAGAAGAACAAGAAGAAGAAGAAGAAGAAAAAAAGTAGAAGAAAATTTACTTACTAGATTTATCAGTAACACCCCAGCCAGCAACATAACAAGGTGTGTTCGAACCCCAGTCTCTCGGCAAGGAATCCAGACACACAGGCCTCTGATTGGTGTTGATCTCAACTACTGTCTCCAGCCTGAGCAAACCAATATCATTTTCATAAATGTAGTTGTTCTGTGGGTGCACGATCACTTCCACAATACGGATGACTACAATGTCAGTTGAATGGATGTTGACATGTCCCAACCTGGCCGTGGTTGTTTGTGGAGAATTCACAAGGCTGAAAATTAAAAGTAGTTACACTACACTAAAAGTTGCAGTGGACCAAGAGGTGAAAGAAAAGACACTAGCATTGGATAGGACACATGCTGAGAAAACCTGAGAACAATATAACTAGAATGTCTTTGCGCTGGAACCCACAGGGGCATACAAATAAAGGAAGACCCAAAAACACATGGAGCAGGGAGTTAGAGAGTAAAGTTAAACCAATGAAGAGGACATGGGGAGAGCTGCAAAGGATAGAACGACTTGGCGTGAGTTGGTTGAGGGCCTATGCTCCACTGCGGTTAAAAAAGCAAAAGGAAGAAAAAGAGGAGATTTATTTTTGTTTGTTAACTCTTTCAGACAGGAAGTAAGTAAAAGTAAAGTACATTAATATTTATTTATTTTTATTAATTCTTTCAGGCAGTAAGTAAGTCTTCTTTCTCACACACTTTCCTAATCAATGTGTCACTTTCATTCTGTATTCATTTTTGAACTGGTTTCCCCCCTACTCTTCTTCCCTGGAACCATGCTTTGTATTATTCATTGTTCTAATCCACCCTTAATTTGTTCTTGATCACTTTAACCTTTGATATTACCAAAATATTTCAGTTTCCAAGAAAAGATGCTACTGACTTGCCAATCTTAATTGATATTCAGATCTTTCAGGATGAAAGTATTTTCTTCGTTGTCACAGTATTCTGAGAATCTTTCTATAACATTTGAGCTCAAAAGCCCATATTTTTCTTCCTTAAGGACTGCGAGACAGTCCCTGATCATCTCAATTTATAAAAAGATGACTGCCAGCTGGTATGGTGAGGGAAGGGGGAGGGGGTCATGCTTCTCCACACTCTGTTAAATTCAACAGCATGTATCAGTTTATATGATATCATCTTTCATACCATGACAAACGTTGCCAAGAACACTCTCATTCTCTTCTTACAAACCTCAGACCTCTTACAGTGATGACTGTGCCCAAAAAATCAAGAGCTGAATTCAGGTATTTAGCCATTAGCTAAAATCAACACATGAATCCATGTGTGTATTAAAAAAAAAGTCCATGCTTACTTACTTGTACACACAATGTCCAGCACTGACCAGCCACTGTCTGGAGATCAGGGTTGCGCCACATTTGAATTCTGCCCCAGAAAACAAGGCCACAGTCCACGGCCACTGTCCGTCCACAGACGAACTTGACCCTAGGATGTATGGCTGTGGCAGATGTTGACTCTCTACACCACATTCTAGAAGGATTACAGTAGTCTGTCACAGCATGGAGATTATAGTCACACACATTATTATTAATGAATCAAGTATTATTAAAGGATTACAGTAGTCTGTCACAGCATGGAGATTATAGTCACACAATTTTTTATTAAAGAATCAGGTATGATGAAAGGATTACAGCAGTTGGTCACAGTAACAAAATTATAGTCACACAGATTATATTATTATTAATGAAACAATTATGATAGAAGGATTACAGTAGTCTGTCATATCATGGAGATTATAGTCACCCAAATTATTATTTATTAATCAAGTATTATAAAAGGATTACAGTAGTTTGTCACAGTATCGAGATTATAGTCACACACTTTATTACTAATGTATAATGTATGCAGTATCTATATCTTAGGGGTTTTGAGTGCAGCTTAATAGTTCTGACATAGTAGGTTTAGTTCAGCTTTCTGTCAATTTTGCAGTAGGCTGGCTGCTTTGTGTTGATTGTGACAACGGAGTGAGCATGGAGACATTCAGAAAGCAAATACTAAAAATTTAACACAGACTTATAAAACCATAAACAGCCAACAAATGCTGGGAATTGTTTTGTAACATACTGTAAAAGTCATCTATTTCATGTTAACTATGTGAGTGGACAAAATAAGATCCAAAAAAAAAAGCTCTCATTTAATTTAGATGTACAGTAAATTCTTGTTCACTCTTCCATAACATAACAATCCACCAGATGTTTCTTGATCACTTTAATGTTATATCTTACTGAATTCTATTACAGGTACATGATATATTAACCTCTTACACCTGAATTATTAGTTTACTGTTCCTGACTGTCTCAACTGAAGTTCTTCAGACAAAACTATTTACTTCTTTTAAGCTGAACTCTTTAGGAACAGATGGAGTTAGAGCACGAATTGCTCAGCACTGAAAGAGTAAAAATAAATTTCATGGGACCTCCCCCCTCTCCCCCCCAAGAGTTTGTGTTTAAAAAAATGTGTGCTAACTGGGGACTGATAAAACATCCCTGCTGGAGCCAAAAGTGTGTTTATGTCAAAGAGCATTTTTTTAAGGGAGTTTGTGTTAATGAGGTTTTACCGTATAAGCATTACAATATTATTTAAACATGTGAAACAAAGATAAGGAATCTAAACTCTGTTGCTCTGTTGTAATTTTGTTTTTGTACTTATTATTTTTTTATATTTTAACTACATTATTGCAAATGTAATTTTGTTATTGTAAGTGTAATTTTGTAAAATCAAGTCTTGGTGTCTACTGGTGTAGACCTTATGGGTGCCGTAATTATAACCTCTTTAGAGGTTGAATCAGGTATCTGCAATCTGCCCTGATGGTCTGCCATCCAGACTGAGATATTCATTTTATCTCAGGGCTGTAAATCTTCAGGTAGCGTCCTGTAGAGGATAAGCCTATAGAGCCATTGATGTCAAAACTGGAACCAAGCAGAAGACAGGAAGAAGAATCTACCAACCTGTAGCAGCACAACTAAGGGAGATCACCTTGTTATCTGGACATTTTGAGCTGGGGACGGTAAAGAAAATGGGCACGCAAATTTAAAACAAACACACCAGAATATATAATCTAAAACTAAAAATATAAGTTAATAATGTAATTTATATTCATTCAATAAATCATTCGCTAGCTGATCAAAAGGTTGTGGGTTCAAATTCGAATGGAACTGAATTACCCCCCCCCCCCCCCCCATATTTTACCTTAGCTCCCAGGTCAATCCATCCTTAAATAGATACCAGGTAAAGTCCTGGGAAGTAAAGGCAGCTGGCATGATGCTGAGTGCATCACAAACCAAGTGTCGACTGGTCTATACAAATAGAAGTCTAGCATCACATGCCAGATGCGCCCCCTGGCGTGAAAAGGGACCTTTACTCTGTTTTTCTTTTTACATTTGATCACTTAACCTGAATACCGGTATTGAGTTTATCTACTCATGTTCCTCTAATGCAGTGGTTCTCAACCTTCCTAATGCCAAGACCCTTTAATACAGTTCCTTATGTTGTGGTGACCCAACTATACCATTCTTTTCATTGCTAATTTATAACTTCAGTAAATATGTGTTTTCCGATGGTCTTAGGCGACCCCTGTGAAAGGGTGTTCAACCCCCTAAGGGGTCACGACCTCCAGGTTGAGAACCGTTGCTCCAATGTCTCCTATTTTCAGAAATACATCTTCTTCTCAACTTCCTCTTTTAAAAATATGAGTCTTGAGACTTTCACATGGTTCTGGATCTCACTGTTCTGGCAGTCTGAACCACAGACATGTGATACTGCTGTAGAGTGTTCCTGATGTGATCTTACCACCTCGATCTTGATCTATTGGTATATGCCCTGTAATGCATCACAAGGATGCTCTATGTGAGCAAACAATTATATTTGCCGTCTTTTAGTGTAATTCAGCATTGGTTCTGGTCAACATTTTTCTTATTCTTTTCTTGTTACCACCATAGCCTTGCTCAAATTCTCATTTCTGTTGTTACTATACTAAATTAGGTCTCTTCAACTCAACTTCTTCTTCACGTTCACTCAGGTCAGAGTTCTGGTTCTTTGTCCACCTCTGAACTTTAGGCTTGTTCCAATACAGGAAGGTTGCATGCACATCCATTTTGCAGATCTGATTTATTTTTATGCAGATTGTTGGTTCCTTGCCTCTCAGGCAGATGCACTTTTACGACATGCTTGATGGGGAGGCAGTAGGTCTGTTCTTGTTTTACCCGCAATGAGGCCCCGGAGCCCACACAGTGATCAACTCAGCTTAAATCTGTATCCTAACCTGACTGCAATGATTAATTATGCAATCCTAGATCCTCCTCATTTTCTTTTTCTTCTTGGATTTTGTGGTAAAATAGTGTCACCAACAGACTTCTATGCCTTATGCTGTAAATAAGCAAAGGTCGTCATCATCGCCACCGTCATGGTCATTGTCATCTTCTTCTCGTGCATTCATCCTTAAAACAGCAACTGAAATGTTGGCTCAACAATCCAGTTTCAGGGATTCCCTAATTACTTGCCTTTTTTGACATGCCTTTTAAGGAGCAGTAGTTTTAATCCTTTTTCTCCAAAAAGGGGCCCCTGGAAACCACACTGCACCCCTGTCACCCCAGTGACTTAGGGAAAAAAGTGGATGTGATTAAACTGACTTACTTGGGATGTTCTGTTTTCAGCTCAAAATAGTATGGTTCCCCTATGAATTCAATGTAAAAGCACACAGTCAAACAACTACAGGTATTACCTGATATGAATTTCCACTTTTTCTCCAAAAGCCCGTTGACTGTTAACTGTTGTGTTGTTTTGTGCAACCGTCAGGTTAGCATAGAAAGGAGACAATACGGTCACACTTCTGGCAGATAATTGCTTTCTGCAAAATACAATTCAAAATTATATTGCTAGATATTTCCATACTATAATGAAAGGCTTATAAGAATCTTTTCTTCCTGTTCAGTTATATATCAGGGATGACCATGCACATCTCCAAAACTGAAACCATGGTGATTTCAAGAAAGGAGAAGAAATAAGAGATCATGACTGGACAAGATGGAATGGACCTGGTCAACCAGTTAAAAAAGTAAAGGACCCTTTTCCACGCCTCGGACATATAGGGCTAGACCTATATTTTATAGACAAACAGCATTTAGTGGGTGATATGGTCAACCTTTACTTCCCAGGTCTACGCCTGATACCCAGTCAAGGCCTGGGAGCGAAGGTCTTTAAAAAAAAAAAAAGTCCAGCTCCATCAGGACTCAAGCCTTCCGATTCGCAGGCGAACGTCTAGCCGCTACACACGGTGCCTCCCACCAATTATATTGAGGCACCAAAACAACAAGTAACAAAGTAACCTACAGTCCAGTGTGGGTGGGTGTAAGAAGAACGTTAAAACATTTTCAACAGAAAACATTAAAAAGTGTACGACTAACATTGCAAACCAAAACGAATTTGTAGTACAATCTCTTGCTCACCCTTGTCCAGTTGCTGTGCAGGCCCATTGTAGCTGGGAATCTGACAACAGTTGCTCACTCGCACATGCAGGAAACCAAAGTCCTTCCTTTCTGATCAGAAGTATGTTGTCCTCGTTGACTTTGACTATGAAAAAAAGAAGTTTGAAAGTTATGCTGAAATATTCTTTAAACACTTATTCTTTAGATGCTGATCCAGCAGCTTGTGCAGCGTGCTTTGTTTTAAGTGTTACCTTTCCTTTACAGTAAACAAGGCCACGAGAGAGAGGAATCATGACAAGGTCTCTATAAGACTGCCTAGGCTTTGTGCTATGAAACATGCAGGCAGGTTCTGCTAGTCACATTCGCCATCCATGGGCTACGTTTCCCCCACCTCCCCATAACAAAATATAACACTGTCGAGTCTAGAAAGATGGAAAAGTGCCAGTTATGGGCTAGTGTATTTCTAGCCACAAATGAAACAGGGTAAACAAGATAGTGCTATGGGTGGCCATTATAGGTGAATTAATTATAACTCCTTAGGATCTGGGATTTGTCCTACTGGACTGGCATCCAGAATGCACACTGCTGAGTTACAGGAGAGTCAAGCATTCAGGTAGAAGCCTGGAGGGTACAGAGAATCATTCAGTCAAAAGAGGTACAGTTACCCGGAAAGGAAACCCAGATAAAAATGCCTGAAGAAGTCACATATGTCGGCCGAAAGGGACTGATAACAAACGAGGGGGGCTTCAAATGAAAAAAACTGAAAAAGTGTGATAGAAATTACAGTAAACATGCCATTGTCATGTAACCTGTCAATATTGTTGTTGAAGATGTCAAGAAAGTTAGGCATGTGACATTAAGGTGCAGGTAAAGAGTTTATATATTGCCACCCTACCTTTGACAAGCTCCCTTCTGTTACCTGTCTTCTTCGCCTTTGTAAGTACACTATAAACATTAACATCTGTAGTTATACTTGAACATCAGTATTTGTAAGTACACTACAAACATCAACATCTGTAGTTATACTTGAACATCAATATTTGTAAGTACACTACAAACATCAACATCCGTAGTTATACTTGAACATCAATATTTGTAAGTACACTACAAACATCAACATCCGTAGTTATACTTGAACATCAATATTTGTAAGTACATTACAAACATCAACATCCGTAGTTACAATTAAACATCATCACTATAAAAAGTCAGACAGAAGCACTTACCACAGTCAGTCTCATCCTCTCCATGGTTACAATTGTTGGTCTCATCACACACAAGATACAGCGGCACGCAGGTGTTATCTGAGCAGGTGAACTCTTCCTCTCCACAGCCATCTAGATTATCATCCACAAATTATTTGTCAATGTCATGTAACATAGAACTTGGTCTTAGACTAAGTCAAGGTTTCAACTTTGCTGCAATCGTGTCCCTCACTGTCCCGTTTGAAAAGCTCTTGAACAATTAGTCCTGGCACAATCCAAAAATATGCGCATGCAGTAAATGCATATGGGGGTTGCAAGAACTGCAATATAGAACTGTATTAATGGTTTTTCGACACACACACAAAAAGACTGCCCTCAGCTATCCTCCAAATAACGGGCACAAAAGATGGCGGCCGCAAAAAACACCATAACAGAGCCTCAGTCATGTGTCAGTTGCGCACTTCCGGCGACCTAATTTGCGGTTTTACGGCGACTACCGCCACCGCCGAGAGTATCCCCCATGCCGCTAATGCGGCGTGGATTGGGGCTAAACTAGATGGCTGGGACTCACGAGCAGCAGCTTCCGCATCTCCTGCAGCTTTGCTCGTGAGTCATAGCCATCTAGTTTAGCCCCAATCCACGCCGCTAACGTGGCGTGGGGGATACTCTCGACGGTGGCGGTAGTCGCCGTAAAACCGTAAATTAGGTCGCCGGAAGTGCGCAAATGACACATGACTGAGGCCCTGTTTTTGGCAGCCATCTTTTGTGCCCATTATTTGGAGGATAGCCCTGCCCTCAATTGGGCACAGCATGAGAAAATGCGAACAGAGAATCACCACACAGGCTCTAAAAGGGGAAATAAAGAGATTGAGGAAGTGAGGGCGTCTATAAAGTAACCCTGAAAAGAATGTTGCTGAGAGAGGCCAAAGGTGCTGTGTGGGATTCCATGCACAATATTGAATTGATTGCACTGAACAGACTGCGAGGCCTGTGTGACATATACTGGCTCAACAGAACAGTGGGAGTGGGGGGTGGGGGGGGGGGATATAACAGAACTTTCAGCAACTATGGAACGATTAATCAACTAAGTTTACTCTGGAGCCAAAATGTTGAAAATGAGCATCGTCACGGGTCACTGGCCCAAGCCCTGGCAGAAAAGATCATTAATACAATACAATGGCAATGATCGGCAGATTTAGCCCGCCAGCTACCAGTTGAATAGCCCTGATCTATGGCTTAGGGACTGCCAACTCTTTCAGACCCAAAGAATGCAAGATGTGTGTTTAGTCTTGTCTTTTCTATCTATAAAATCATCAATGCCTTCTTGAGCTTTTTTTAACATGTTATCAAAGCGTATTAAAGAAATCTGGCTTCTAAAGTGTATGCTTCCGATCTAGGCAGCCAGTTTGAAAGTAATGCACTCGTGATGGTGGCTGTGCCCTCTTTGAGCAATTCTCCTGGGAGTGAAGGAGTTGTTGCAGTTTCACAAACCTAACATACCAGGGTTCAAAGGCAACTGTATATTATTTGCCAACAGACTGCTTTGTTCTAATCTTGACATTGGTAAACTACTGAGAATTATATTGCCTAGTAAACCCAAAAGTTTCAGTTGAATTATCAGCTGCAGTGTCTATGTGCATCCATGATGTCATTTAAAATAAGTCTCAGCTCTTGTACCACTATCCAAAAGCCACACAAACGGCAATTTTCTAAACTGCCTGTAGTTGAAATCAAAATACAATACACTCTAGATTGTGAAACACATTCACCTAACCTCTAAGCAACAGTCTTTTCTTAGACAAAAGCACTAGGACTCAATGTGATATATGATAAAGCCAGATATCTCTCTCTTTCACTCACGCATGCACACACACAAATAAATTTTTTTTTTAAATCCAGTCTCTACCTGTGTTTACCACTTTTCTGATGTGAGGTGGGGTATTTCAGCATGAGGATTTAGGGGCCACATGGTTGGTGCTGTGAGGAGGGGGTATTTCAGCATGAGGATTTAGGGGCCACATGGTTGGTACTGTGGTGAGGGGGTATTTCAGCATGAGGATTTAGGGGCCACATGGTTGGTGCTGTGGGGAGGGGGTATTTCAGCATGAGGATTTAGGGGCCACATGGTTGGTGCTGTGGGGAGGGGGTATTTCAGCATGAGGATTTAGGGGCCACATGGTTGGTGCTGTGGGAAGGGGGTATTTCAGCATGAGGATTTAGGGGCCACATGGTTGGTGCTGTGGGAAGGGGGTATTTCAGCATGAGTATAAGGGGCCACATGGTTGGTACTGTGGCGAGGGGGTATTTCAGCATGAGGATTTAGGGGCCGCATGGTTGGTGCTATCGCCACGGACTTGACAGGTTGGGATTTTATTTTTGCCCCCCAAAAAAACAACTCACAACCTTAGCCAAGACTTGAGCCTGGGTCTCCCGCATGAGACTCCAGTGTTCTTAACCATTCAGCCAGCTGCTAATCAATATTTCAGCACCAACATCTTGCATCATTTATCTAAAACTGTTTGAATACTTACCACAGTCTGCCTCATCATCCCCAAGAGGACAATCTCTTTCAGAATCACAAAGCCATTCTTTTGGAACACACAACTGGCTGTCTTTACAGCGAACCCTTTCATTTGGACACGCTGAAACAAACATATCACCTGTATTATTTTAAGAGTTACTACTTAGTCTCTAGAGTACCTGCCTGTTAAAGTTCCCCCTCTATTTAGTACAAAGCCAGGGCAGTATTATACAGACCATGTTTGCCCATGCATAATAATCCCTTTCTCGGCCTGCCTTGTTTACACCAAAGGAAAGGTAACATCAATAGGTATTTTAGATGAATATAATTTGGGGACTTGGGTTGGAGTATCTTGACAATAAAATATCTAAAATATGTGGAAGAAACATAACCACACTAGACCTAATTTCAGCAAATCTGTATGTGCGGTTCTGAATGATGACTTGGCTACATCTTAACATGCATCTCCTCAGATGTGAAGTTCCCACTGCTGGTCTTGCACACCCCAGTAGTTTTTATGTTTGCAGAGTTGATGGACAGCCTTGAATTACAGTCCCCACGGAGATTATACTTTAGCCACACTGAAGTTGTTTTTAGGGCCAAAGAGCCTTGGTAGTTCAGTGGCGGCTGACATACTTGCTAGCCAACTTCATGATCACATGTTTGAATCTCCACTGAAATGGATTTTAAATTTCTCTCACAGATCTACCCAGCCTAATTTGGGTACCTGGAAGTGTGTTGGCAGGCAAAGGCAACCTGCAATATGCTAACCCTATCACGCATTATGTTATCAACACCATGCGCAGCACTTACAGTGAAGGCAAAATACAGCAAAGGGGATAACTCTGTATTGCTGTGCACAGACTCAACAGAAAGCAACATACAACAATTTTCTGTCTAAGAACAGGACACTGCAGGCTCAACTACCAAATGCATAAAATAAAGATTGTACAGTCCCCACAGTGTGCCTGTTAAACAGGACCACAAACACCTAACCACATTCTGCAGACCTGCCCACTCTACCTGCAACTTCGAAAAGACACCTGGCCTCAAAAGCAAAGTGTACACAGCAAGCTATGGGGAACCATGAAGGACCTGCTGCTGACATGCGAGTTCATAGAGGCAACACACCAAATGGTCTGATCTGAGGAGACAAGAAGAAGAAGTATTGCTGTCCAGACTGATGACATGAGGGTGAAGAAATGAACATTTCACCAAGGGGACAAGACATCTGATTAATCAACACATAACAGGCATCATCAGTCATTTTATGCTAGTTGAGCTTTTAAGAAGGAGATCGCAGCATCAATGGATCTGTCCCGAGTTACTCACTAATCACTATCTCCCAGTGAGTGCCATTGTGTGTATAAAGCCAACCTTGATTGGTTCGATTCCTGAGGTGGGTGGTCAGAAAAAGCCCATCATCATGGCTTTCAGACAATGGTACAACAGGCACACTGTGCAGAAGGAGATCTAGGGACTTACGACACAATGTTCCCATATTTAGAAGTGGACATAATACAGCAAAACTCGATTATGGAGATATCACTATTATTTGGGAGTCGCCGTGGCATAGCGGCGAGACTCTCGCATGCCAATCAGAGCTGGACTGTTTCAGAAATGACCTGGACTCTCAGGTCGACCCAGCCTTGAGTGGGTACCGGGTGCAGTTCCAGGAAGTAAAGGCGGCCAGTGTGATGCTGACCACATCACCCATCTTGTGCCGATTGGTCTATAAAAATATAGGTCTGGCCCTATATGCCCTATGCAGCTAAAGGCGTGGAAAAGGGACATTTACTTTTACTTTACTTTGGTCCAACATATCCAAATTCGGCAAATTCCTAATTAGTCATTTAGTCACCTCTACAACATCCTCCTTAGGGGTGCTGGGTCTATTCTTCCCCATCACCACCCCCCCCCCTCCCCACACCCCCTTCCACCTCAAAACAACCAATGACCAACCATCAAGACTAGTATTATGCCATATTTGTATGCTACTTACATGGCTGATATGTGGCAACTTCATAAACAGTATACGTCAGCAAGAACCCTGCATATCTTCCTATACGATCTGACACAAATACGATAACCAATGAATCTCCTGATGATGTCAGAGTGTCTGGAAACTGTTGTCCACAGTATCGGCCAATCAGAATTTGAGAGCCTCTAGTGACATTGTAGAATTCCAGGAAGTCATAAGAGCATTTTGGATGGTACTCAAGGGTGAAATTTCCAAACTGTATAGAGATATTCTGACGATTGAACAAGAACAAAACAAGGTATTGAAAATGCATATAAATGTTCTAAGGACAAAAACTGAAACTGTATAAACATGTTCTGGGGGCAAGAATTGAAACTATCTAGAGATGTTCTGTGGACAAAAAAACTGAAACTGTATAGAAATATTCTCATCATCATCTGCCAGTTGGTGTAGGCGTTCACACATTTCCACAAATCTCGGTCTTGGGTATTCTGGATCAGTTCCACTGATGATAAACCTCCATGCCACTGTCTTAAGCCATCGGCCATCATTTCTCTTGGTCTGCATCTGCCTTTTCTACCAGTGATCTTTCCGGTCGTCACAATATTTCACAGTGCTCCTTTTATCATCACATGACCAAAGTACTTCTTCTCCTTCTCACTGTTGTATATAATGTTCTTCCTTCATTAGAGATATTCTGGGAATAACAATTGAAATTCTGTAGACATGTTTTAAACACAAGAACTGAAATTGTAAAAAGATGTTCTGAAGAACCCCCCCCCCCCCCCCCCCCCCCCCCCCCCCCCCCCCCCCCCCCCCCCCCAATGGTTTAGTTCTGAGTCAAGAAACACTTTTATTGCACACATGTATCTCCATAAGTGCTTTAGTCTTCTCCCATAAATCACACAATGAGAATCTCAACACAGTGCAAAAACTTCATAATACTATTAATTAATTAATTAATTCATTCATTCATTCAATGACCTATTGTGTCATTACGTGTCATCCAGGGCTCACAGTCTATTTCTCCATTCCATTCAATCCAGTGCAATCACTTCAGTATAATGGATGAAATCCAGTCTGGCACCTTTGGCTTCCCACATCCACGCTTACTTTAGAGTTTCTCTTGGACGTCCTTGTTTCTCCAGTCCCTCAATCCTATTTCAGTGCCTGTTTGATGATTCTCTGTTCACCTCTTCGGAGAAGACATCCTGTTTAGATATTTAGATCCTCTGTTTAGATATTCAGATCCTCTGTTTAGATGTTTAGATCCTCTGTTTAGATATTTAGATCCTCTGTTTAGATCCTTTGTTTAGATATTTAGATCCTCTGTTTAGATATTTAGATCCTCTGTTTAGATATTTAGATCCTCTGTTTAGATGTTTAGATCCTCTGTTTAGATGTTTAGATCCTCTGTTTAGATGTTTAGATCCTCTATTTAGATGTTTAGATCCTCTATTTAGATGTTTAAATCCTCTGTTTAGATATTTAGATCCTCTGTTTAGATCCTCTGTTTAGATATTTGGATCCTCTGTTTAGATATTTAGATCCTTTGTTTAGATCCACTGTTTAGATATTTAGATCCTCTGTTTAGATGTTTAGATCCTTTGTTTAGATATTTAAATCCTCTGTTTAGATATTTAGATTCTCGGTTTAGATATTTAGATCCTCTGTTTAGATATTTAGATCCTCTGTTTAGATATTCAAATAATCTCTAAAGGATAAAGGATCTACGTATGTGTATATTAAAATCATTTATGTGTCAGTATTAATTCTGTGGGGGGGGGGGGGGGGGGGGGGGAGGAGGGGGTGGAGGACTAATTTTGTGATTCTGAAATTTAGCTATGATAGTTTTCTACTGCCTGGCTGTTTTAAAGCCAATAATAAGCACACACTTTATCTTAGTATCTTGGCCTTATCTGAGAAGGCTAAATGTCCAATTCACTAACCCAAGTAATTCTTTTTTTTATATAAGTGAGACATGTAGCATTTTTTCTATTCTTTCTTATCTCTACTCCTGAAATGCCTCATGCGTCAGGGCAGGAAGAGATCTCTGGAATGGGCCCTTCTGTTCACTTTGTATATAGTGCTTTTAAGTTTCTGCGGTCCATCTTCTGCGCAGTCGACGAGCTTTGGCTCTGCTACTGTTGTTTCAGGTTTCTTAATTTGTAAGATGCTATTCTGCCCACTGTGAGCATCTCTATCCAGTCTGTCAAAGTCACAGGCATGATTAGCTTGGGAAATGTTCTCAGTTAGTAATGTTTTCACTGCAGGTTTTAATATTTCTTTGTTGACAGAATAAGAAATGATGCTATCAGACAAACTATTATAATGCTGCCTTGTTACATTGAGAAACAGAAAATCAAATGGTTTGGGTGCCTGGTTAGAATGCAGCAACATCCGTTACCAATAAGTATGCTACATCTGAGGAGATCTGATATGAGAGTGAGTGCTGTCCAGTAAAATGGATTGTTGACTTGATTCATTCACAGGAAGTGGCAACAGCCGGTGCCACCTATCAAATGCTGGACCAATAACTGTTCCTCTCCATGACCTTTGACAGACAAATTGGATGATGATGATCATGGTCCTCTGACAACAGCAATGTTATCTGAATCAAAGCAATGTTGCCCCATTGTAAATTTGCACAAAGAAGACACAAATAATAGATTGCACAATTTATTGCCTGGTATATTTTGCTGTATCTTCCCTGTTAAGGCCGTTTTATGGCCTGTAACTGTAGATGGCGCCTGACGAGATACAGCCAAATATCCCAGGCAATAAATTGAGCAATCTATTATTCATATTTTCTTTGTGCAAATTTTATGTTACGATATGTCAACTAATATTCAAAGGATGAAACAAAGTGGTTAAAAAAAGAATGTGAGTAATGAAAAAAGAAAATGAAAGAGTCGCCCTACCTTCCCTTGTCCTCCTTCAACTATCCAGTTACACGTGATATCAGTGGGATAATCCTTGTGTTGAAGGAATCCAGGTGAGGCTATCAGTCCAGATTTTTCACTGAGCACCAATGGCACTCCAGAACATGCTGACTCCAATGTAGGTAATGTAGGTGGAGTGGATGTTGTTGAATGTTCAGCATTAGCTGTTGTTGGAGTCTTGCTTTGGAATAAGATTATTTCTGAAGTTGCAGAAGGAAAGTATGTTTGGGTCAGCTTGTTAAGTGTAGAAGTGGGTTCAGTTTGGGGGGAGATCTGTGTTGACTGTAACAATGATGGAAGGGAATCTGTTGGCACTGTGGATGTGACTCCAGGCTGTGAGATCTGTGTTGATGATTGCAACAATGATGGAAGGGAATCTGTTGGCACTGTGGATGTGGCTCCAGGCTGTGAGATCTGTGTTGATGACTGCAACAATGATGGAAGGGAATCTGTTGGCACTGTGGATGTCACTCCAGGCTGTGAGATCTGTGTTGATGATTGCAACAATGATGGAAGGGAATCTGTTGGCACTGTGGATGTTACTCCAGGCTGGGAGATCTGTGTTGATGATTGCAACAATGATGGAAGGGAATCTGTTGGCACCGTGGATGTCACTCCAGGCTGTGAGATCTGTGTTGATGATTGCAACAATGATGGAATGGAATCTGTTGGCACTGTGGATGTGGCTCCAGGCTGGGAGATCTGTGTTGATGATTGCAACAATGATGGAAGGGAATCTGTTGGCACTGTGGATGTGGCTCCAGGCTGGGAGATCTGTGTTGATGACTGCAGCAATGATGGAACTGTTTCTGTTGGCACTGCAGAGGTGGTTTCAAGTTGAAAAGTCATCTGTGTTGCTGAATGCACCAGTGATGGAACTGCTTCTGCAGGCACTGCAGACAAGGTTTCAAGCTGGGAGGATATTTGCACTGATGATTGTAACAATGATAGAACTATTTCTGTTGTAAATGCAGATGTGGTTTCAAGCTGTGAGTATATTTGTGTTGATGTTTGCAACAATGATGGAACTGTTTCTGTAGAGACTCCAAATGTGGCTTTAGACTGGGGGGAGATCTGTGTTGACAGTATTGATTCCAGTGGCACTGTGAATGTAGTTTCAAGCAATGAGAAAACTTGTGTTGATGATTTAAAAGGCAAGAGAAGAGTTTCTGTTGGGACTGCAGATGTGTCTTCTGGCTGGGATGACCCTTGTGCCTGTGTTGATGACTGCACCAGCAGCGATGAAAGTGGTTCTGTTGGCACTGCTGATGTGAGTATTTCAGTGGAGGCTGATGCAAATATTGTTGAAGTTGCTGCTGGCATATATTCACTTGGCAATGCAGATGTTGTGAATAGTTCAGTCAAGAGAGTTTCTAATGATTCTGACTGTGCAGATGATGGAACTAACGATTCCAACATCTTAATATTTGTTGACGACCAAACTTCCTGTGATGTTAGATGTTGTCCATAATCTGCTGTTGTAATAATCTGGGTCAAATGTGATAGTTCATTTAAATATGACCCACTTTTTGTAGTAAATAAATTAACACCGGTTAACTCATTCAGACTTAGGCTTGGAAATTCTACGGATGGCAAAACTAGACTTCCACTGTCAAAATCTGGACTGACTTTTAATTTGAATCCCTTTTTGGCAACAAAATGATCTGAGAAAAAATGCAGCTGGACCGCTGACCCAGAAGATGTAATGACAGATCCTGTCTGATTTCCGCACATTCTGACGAGGCTCATGGACGTTGTTGTTACACCGTCGTAAATAATTAGATAATCATACGTACATGTTCTATGTGACTCGATGTCCATATCCAAAATTGTTACTTTCAATTTCTGCGGAAAATTGGGTAGAAATGTTAGATGTGTAATTACAATGTACGTTATACACATAAATGAGAATGAAGGAGAAAATGACTGCAGAAAGGATGAGAGCTGAGCGTCTGTGAAGAAAGAGACTAAACACAAATGTTGACAACAATGGTCCTAAAATCCCATGATATAATTATGGAAGACTTTTCTTAATGACGGCAAGTCTTGCTAGTCATACTCGCCATCACCATGGGCTGTGAGTCCCATGCCTCCTCATAGCACAATATGACACTATCGTCAGGAAAGACGGACAGGTGTCAATCAGTTTACACATAAAATGCCGGAGAACCCTTAAGGCAGAGCTATTCAGCTAAGTTTACACAAAGGGCCAAAATGTTGAAAATGGATATTGTCACAGGTCAGAGGCCCCAGCCCTAGTATAGAAAGATCACTAACCCAGTACAGTGGGTAGGCCACTTGATTTGATTTCTGCAGGCCAGATTTAGCTTACGGGCCACTAGTTGAATAGTCCTGCCTTACGCTTGTTGTCACATAGTCATCTTTCACCTGAGGGGCAATGGGCCTATTCTCTCTCAACCCTGCCCTAAATGGGGCCCAGGAACCGACACATGGAAGCAGAAAGTCATTACCATTAAATGTTAATCTGCTTACAATTAAAAGTAAGACTTTCCCGTGCTGTAAGATGTTTCATGTATATTTGTATTTTTCCTAAGCTGAAAATGCTGCAGTAGAAGGCAATTTCTTTTAAGACCCAAAAATTTGTATTAAGCTGAAGAGACCATCAAGCTGTACCTCATTAGGAAAGAAGCTTTCCCAGAATGTTTCCTAACCATAAGAGGATCTCTAAGAGAAAGGTATATACAGAACTGAAAAGGCAGGTTTCACCCCAATTCCTGGGTGATTTCCCGAGCACAGTGGGAGGGGATGAGGCAAATAGACCAGCTGTCTCCAAACAAAAAATTAGGAGTTTGTAGATATTGCAGCCCAGCTGTAAACCCCCCAAAAATGTGTCAATTGCCCTATTAAGAGCGAAAGCAGAAGAAGAATACCTCCAGAAATACATGCAATATTAAGGTGAATATTTATAAAAAAAAATTAGGGTTTCAAATTTCCAAAAAATGTGAAATCCTAAGAAGACAGCTTTGAAGGAGATCGGGGTTTTCAAATTTTTAGGAAAAGAATATGCAATCCTAAGGAGACTATTTTGAAGAAGAATATATAGTATATGCTAAAGAAAAGCTTTGAAAGAGATTGGCATACTATACCTCTAGATAAGTAACTGTATTTTTCCAGTTCCAGGTCGGATAAGTTTATTGTAACAGACCTTCTTTAGACAGTTTCTTTAGCTTAGTAAAAGTATTATAAATATCATCCGTTTCCATTTCTACCATTAGGCTTCACAGGAAGGAACAGTTTGGCAGCAATGGCTATTGTCATTACATGTTGATGTAAAGTCTCTTTCATGTCATCAGTCCATTTCTCCTAGGGGTACCTCTTGCTTTCAGATCAAGGATTTTAATGTGCAGAGCCTGCATTGGTAGTTGTTCTGGCCAAACTATCTGATCATTTGTTTCTCAATGAATGTGCTGCATGGTGTTTATTTCCAAAGTCTGTCTGATAATGTAATTTTCAACTGTCTAGGGTGGTTAAGTTGGTGGCTTTTCTCAGGCATCTCACTTCATGTGTAAAATATTATAAACATAGTTTTGTATAACACATTTTAGAAGCCTATACATCACATTCTGCTGTAAATGGAATGGTTAGAATATGTAAAAATATAGTTGCATATCCATACATTCAGCTGTCTGACATCGAACATTGACATTTATACTGCTGTTTAAGTCTGCACAAAGAAGTCTGATGCCAAATCGCCTGCAGCTGAATCAAACATGTGTCAGAATTATGAAACTGCATTCATAAGTCTTAAGTCACAGACACTGAAGAAATAAAACAAGGAGTAATTCCAACAATTGACAGAGTGACACAACATACCTGAGATGCTGAACTGGCAAACAGCTTCAAGTCACATGTGGTGTCCAGAGGATAAAGGCTCTGGGGGTAGCCTGGTGATGTCACGACTATGCCATCTTTGTCAACAATGTCAAATATGGAGTCACACACAGACGTCTTGTAAATGTCCTCCAAGCCTCCTCTGATTAATCTAGCATTTTCTGATCCTGTTAAATTTAAAAATGTGTCAGGAAATCTTCAAATAGACTCAAATGGCTGGGGCATATTGTCAGATGACAGAGAGGTTAAAAACTGTATACACAAGGGAGCTGAATGGTCATAGACCATGAGGCAGACCAAGAAAAAAATATAGAGAGATAATATCCAGACAGACCTGCAAACACTTAGTGTCACCAACTGGAAAAAGAAGGCTGACCAGAAAGATGAATGGAGGTGGGTGATATCTGCAGCAATTGAATTTCAAGGACTCTGAATGCTGAAGAAGAAGAAGTTAGGAAATCTTTGCCTGAATCTTCTAGCAGAAGTAATTAACATAACACAACCTCTGGGCGGCCAGCCTCCTTATCATAAAGCGAACATGATAAAGGTTCTCTGGATCAAATGGACAGTGCAATGGAAGAGACAGAGAATCTATACATTGAAAGACTAATTCTTGATTCCTTCATTCAGCCTGTGACTAGTATGCTCATTGGAGGGAAAGGGAAAGGTGCACACAAATACAAATGAAGGTTTTGATTAAAGTCTTTATCAGAAAGACAAAACAGCTGATCAGAAATGACTGGGAAAGTCACACAGGAATGGAAATGCATAAACAGGGAAAAATATGAACAGGAAGAGATATTACTTTATTCTAACAGACACTGACAATCTGTAGTAATAGAATTATCATTCCCTGTGTGGATTCTAGTGCTTCTTAACAAGCATTACAGATTTGATGAAATGAAATGTGTTGGGGGGGGGGGGGGGGGGGGGAGGGGGGGGGGGGGGGGGGGGGGGGGGGGTTGTGTCAGGGGACATTTGCAGCCTAGCTGTAAACCACAACATGCTAACTGTCGTTCTAAGGGTGAATAGAGAAGAAAAAGATTTATCATTGATATATCTTTAAAAGTAGGAGTGCATTTGCATAGGAGGCAAGGAACCAACAGTCTTCATACAAATAAGCCAGATCTGTAAAACATATGTACATGCAAAACTCGAGTTTTGGAACAAGACTAAAGTATATTGAGAAAACCGGAGAACAATGTAACTAGAATGTCTTTGCATTGGAACCCACAGGAGCATAGCAATAAAAGAAGACCAAAAAAAACACATGGAGAAGGAAGCTGGAGAATGAAGTTAAAAAGATGGGGAGGACATGGGGAGAGCTGCATGCGATAGCAAAAGATAGAACGATTTGCCGTGAGTTAGTTGAGGGCCTATGCTCCATTGGGAGCTAGAAAGCAGAAGAAGAAGAAGAAGAAGAAGAAGAAGAAGAAGAAGAAGAAGAAGAAGAAGAAGAAGAAGAAGAAGAAAGTCCAGACGTAATTAGCTGTCTCTTACAACAACTTGTTAGGGAAGCAACAGGTCTACTATCCCCCCCCCCCCCCCTCCCCCCCCCCCCCCCCCCCCCCCCCCCCACAAAACATAAGCCATAATTCATACTTACCAATCTTATCTATTTGAAGCTGGAACCCCGATTTGGCCACAATGGGGTCAGAAACAAAAGTCAGCATTATCATTCTATCATCAGCAAGAAAGTCACTGGCACTAGAACCACAGAATGTCCCAATTGAGTGAGATCTAGAGGAGATCTCCAGCCAATCCAAGCTACAGTCGTTGCTGTTTTCTAGATCCATGTGGCGGAATGACACTTTCAGCCTCTGTATATGCAGAATGTTTTGTTCATGGATGAGCCAAACTTTACATAGTAAACTTTCAGTAAACATACACATTTCTAAGAGGGAAAGTCAATAATTACGTCACAAATTGTTATGGGATAGCAAGAAAATGTAGTTAGTGGTTTCTAAAGGTGTCATTAGGTGACAGCAACATGGAACTGAATGTCTCTGATCATTAGGTGGGGCTAGGTGTTGGATGTGCATTCGCAACACAGAAACAAAATGGCGACTGTATTACGCAGTGTACCCTTAAAGAATAATGTGCTGTTGTCCGGGTTTTATTTGGGGGTAAGGGGGGTGGAGGGCTGCCTGCAAAGGACATTCATAAGGAAATGCTTCCTGTTTATGCTGACTTTTTATCCCAAGAAGTGGTGAATGACTGGGTAAAAAAAAATTCTCAAGTATGCTCTACGATTGTTGATAAAGTCGGATCTGGTCGTCCTGTTGAGATTGCAACAGACACACCAAGGCAGTGGGTGGAGGAGAAGACTAAAGGTGACAGACGAGTAACGGTTGTTGACTCTGTAGCAGCTGCAACAGGGTGCTTGTATGGTTTAGCATACAACATAATGCATGATCGATTTAAATTTAACAAAGTGTGCACAAGGTGGGTCCAGACAATTGATGGACGAACACAAAATGAACCGATCAGGACTGTCCATGCCGCATCTCTATTGATACACAGATGAAGGAGAAGACATGCTGAACAGGATTATTACTGGAGACAAATTATGAGTGCATTACTACCAGTCCGAATCAAAGCGTGTTTCAATGCAGTGGAAATATCCTTCTTCGCCTTGTGTTCAAAAATTCAAGGTTATGCCATCAACAGGGAAGGTTATGCTGACAGTGTTCTGGGACTGTCAAGGAGTGCTTTTAACCAGTTTAAAAAAAAAAAGTGACAATGTGAATGCTGATTCATACTATAAAGTTCTTTCGATGCTACATGATGCAATTTGAAGAAAACATCCAGGCGTGCTGACTATAGGAGTACTGCTCCTTCATGACACGCCAGACCACATACGGCTCAGTTAACTCAGGAGAAAATTAACCATCTAGGGTGGGAACTTCTGAAACATCCACCTTACAGCCTCGACTTAGCTCCTAATGATTTCCACTTTTTTGGTCCAATGAAAACCCACCCTGGCGGGAGATTTTTCACGAATGATGCAGAAGTTGAATCTGAAGTGAAAATGTGGTTTAGAAAACAGAGCATGCAGTTCTTTTTTGCAGGTTTGGGTGGACTGATAAAACGATAGGACAGGTGCTTCAATGTTGGTGGAAATTATGTTGAAAATTAAAGGGACAGTGTATGTATATAAATCAATGGTTTTCAAGTTGTTAGCATCTTCAATTTGTTTGTAACTTAACTTATTGACTTCATATTTTACACTGTATTGTGGTTGGTAACATCAAAATTGTAACTCTGTGCTTGCTGCTGAAGATGGGGATGAAGCGACTGTAGGAATGGCCTAAGTTCTGTGATGCTGATTCTTGATTAAACTTTAAACATATTGCTAGAATCAAATAATTTGACTACAGTACATTAATAATGAGAAATGTATAGTCTTTGTTTAAATGCTGTTACAAGGCAAGAGGTTTGACTTCATTGTGCTGGATTTTATTGCATATGGTTTAGTCTCTCTCTTCTTAACACAATGCACCAACTCCATAGCTTCAAGAACAACCATTGGGGATTTTTGAATCACCTACGAACTGAAGAATGCAGTCTGAAATCTGCTTTTGTGTTTTTTACCTTAAAAGAGTGGTTGGCACATTATGTTGCTGTTTACAGCAAGGCTTCAATATCTGCACCTTTCAGTGCAACACATCTAATTAAGCGAATTCCTCATTAGTCACCTTTTACGACATGCTCGTTAAAGGGCGATGGGTCTAGTCTTTTGTTTAGTTAAAAACTGAGGCCCCAGAACTGACAGAGGGAGTCTCAGATCCAACCTACAGCTGTCAAGGAGTGAGGTTAATGGCTCTTACCCACTTGGTTATGGAGATACAAGTTAATGTTATTTGATTATGTTTGATTATAAGTGGGCCCAAATTTTGAAACTTCTAATCAAATTAAACGGAAGCATGTTATCATACTCAGGGTGACAAGGACTACATTGCCCTTTAGTGTTTATTGGGCTATAAAAAATTTGGAACAAGCATCATACACCATATTAGATCCACCCACACTGGACTACAGGTTAAATTGTAATCATTTTGTGGTGTCCCAGTATAACTGTGCTATATGGCTTTACACAATATGCCTCAAAGTGTGAAGAAAAGCAATCTGCTTTACTTATTTTTATCTGACATACAACTAAAAGTTACAAACAGATTAATAGGTTGGTAGATAGAATTAGAACAGGTTACAAGATTCTCCAGATAGAATTAGAACAGGTTACAAGATTCTCCTATTTTAGACATGTAAAAACAGAATAACACAAAGAAAGAGAAGAGAGGAAGACTGGGAATGAAAAAAAAAATAGATGAAGAAAGAAAAAAGACGTGAAATATTTATGTCACATTAAAAGACATAACACTCTTACAAAAACTACTGGATGGAAAATTTTAAGACAAGCGAACAAGAGGCAGAAAGTGATGCAAATAGGAGGATAACCTCAAAATATGGATGAACAGCAATTTGAGAGAGTGTACATTCAGGGCGAAAGGCAGAGTGTGTTGGAACATTATTTGGAAGACGGTACCTGATCAAGGTAGCTAGGCAGGCAGACGGTCAGTTAGGTCGATAAATATGTATGCAGACAGTCAGGTAGGCAAACAGGTAGGTATGTAGATAGCTAGACAGGAAGGTAGACATGTATGCAATAAACAAAGAGGCAATGTTTTGATCGGCACTCATTAAAAAAAAACAGAAAGATAGGACATGTAGTTAACTAGGCAGATAGCCAAGGAGACAATTAAGTAAATATGTGGTCAGATAAAGAGTCAAGCATGTAGGTTAGTTGTTAAGTAAGTAGGAGGTAGGTAGGTAGAAAAACTAAGTATTGCTAGTGATACATGTAACATTTTACCTAATAAGTATGTATAATGAGCTGTTTTTTCTACTATTTAGTACTTTTGTTTACCATCCAACTGGGGGCTGATATTGGAATATTAATCTTATAACACAGTACCATAACAAAATATGTAAACACATTAAAATACTGTCATAAATAATGTTTAATAACATATGAATTACCGTATCTGGCTCTGCAACGATGACAACATCACAACGAATGTACAATGGGTAGATGCCGGTTTCTAAACCCGGAGACTGGATAACAACATGAGCCAAAGTTAGATTATAAAATGTCTGATTGCAGATATTAATCGTGTCAAACTGACCATCAAAACCATTTTTATTAACACCATCAGTATGAATAACAATGTTGGAGTTATGCTCCCTGATATTGTCTGAAACCACTGATGTGCTACTGATTATACTGTAAACTTTTGTAAGAAGTGCCGCAGAACTTGTTGTTTCTTCAAGGTAACTGCTCGTTGAAGTCTCGCTCAAAAGCTTATTAGGACTGTTATTTTTAGTTGTGTTTTTAGTGGATTCGGTGTAAGTTGATAAACTCTGAATGTTGTTGTTATCATAGTTTGATTGAAAAACGAAATGATTCAGGTCAGAAGCGCTTTCCACATTTGTATCTTGTCCAAAACTAGTGAGTAACCTAACAGTATTATTGTTTAAATCACTTGTACCCCTGTTGATAGCAGTAGTGTTTGATGTATGCATATTTTCATAGCTAGAGATACTATTTGTTCTGCTGTTTGTTGATGCAGCTGGTGCTGAAAATGCATGTGTAGAAGGCTGAAAGTGATATGATGATCTAGCCGTGTCAGACTGGGGTATATTCCTCTCATTCTCAGCTTCTTGTATTGGAAGGGCAGATACCAAAGATAATGAAGTCAAAAATGCTGCAGCTGTAGTATATAGATTATCAACTACAGCAGACTTGACATGGTCATCATGACCTTGACTGCTGGACAAACCTTGGGTCAAGTTTCGCAGCACAAATGTTATACTAGCTGAAAATCCTTGACCTTGTATCATACCAGCAGACGTGAACATGATCAGCATGGGATCATGGATGGTAATTGTGTCTGAAAGTTGGGATCCACACAATTTTTGGCTGAAATTTGGTGCAGCTTCGTCACCTTGTATAATCTGGATGCTGTCTGAATCACAAGGCTCGTGGTCTTCAATATCCATGTCTGTGAACTGTATGGTGGCCACCTGCAATAAAGAACATGAAAGGAGAATTTATAGATATTACAAAGCAAAAATTTTAAGATGGTTTGATTCCTTCAGTCTTTTATTTATTCCATTAACTCTTTCTAATCTAAAATGTGTGATTAATTGCATTTGCAACTACTGATACAACTGCTTCCCTCAATGATGAACTGCATTTCTAGTTGTGGATTGTTTGTGTAGAACGCTCGTAGAACATCTTTGTACTGGAACCTACAGGGGCACAGAAACAAAAGGCAGACCCACACACAAAGAATGGAGTTTGAGACTGAAGTTAAAAAGATGTTGAGGATGTGGGGTAAACTACTCGCATTAGCGAAGGATAGAATGACTTGACGTGAGTTGGCTGAGGGCCTACGCTCCATTGGGGGATGGAAGGCAGAAGAAGAAAGAAAAAAAAAAAAAAAAAGAAGACATGACAGTAACACCTGTCACCTACAAATGAATGACTATTTTACTATCTTACAAGTCACAAACAATGATGTGGATTTTTTAAACTAGCCTTAGCTCTCAGGTAAATCCAGCATAAAATTGGTAACCAGGAAATGTCCTTGGAAGTAAAGGCAGCTGGCAGGATATTTACCAGATTTTCCACCAAATGCCGATTGCTCTACACCAATATAGGTAAAGCACCAAAAGCATTACTGGCCACTGATGTGAAAAGGATTATTTATGTTTTACTTACACACTACACCTGGCAACTCAAATGACTTACATGAAACATGTCCGTGTATACCAGCCATCTGCAGGTTGTATTCGGTGGATACTGCTGTCCTGAGTTCAAGTTGGGTGATCGTATAATGGCATCATCAGTGATAAGTACAGGAAATACATCACATGGAATGCTGGAAATATCTGGTCTCCTGCTATTTTCATCCAAAATTTTATGACCACCAGGGGATAAGCTCAAGTAAATGTCATCTGATGGATAATGGAATAAAATTATTTCATTAATTTCCAAAATACTGCAGAAACAAACTAGACAGATAAACAACATTTCAAAATTAGAATTGTCATATGTTGTGTAATACTCAACCCAGCTATAAGGTGCATTAACCCGGATAATCGTTTGATATTGGTAAGTCAAGTGGAGATCACTTGTGACTGCGCTATATGTCAACAGAGACTTGAAGAGGATAGTCTTAGTCTCAGTCGAGATTTCAACTTCACTGCAACTGGGTTTTCCATACTTGCTCTGTTCCTGTGAGGATATACACTGGTGGTCTCCAACCTGGGAAGTGTGCCCCCTTGTGGGGGTGGGGACATCAAACAATATTAATACTGAGTTCATCTTGTCCAACATCAGACCAAAAATTACAGATATCATCAAGACAAAACGATTGTCAGCCATCACACTGATATTTGGACACTAAATTATGAGTTGTTGGTGACAGTATCTTTTGTTATTTGACATTCTAATATATGTGCCTGTTTTTCAGCAAGTTCTTATTAACGGTACTTGAAAATTTTTGTTTCAACCTCTTTTTAATCACATTTTATTACGTCAGGTGGGGGAAAAGGGGGGGGGGGGTTGCCATATACTTAAGAGGGGTGGGGGAGTCTTGTCATATACACAAGGGGGCGTCACCTGAAAAAAGTTGGATAGACAAATAGAAGTTAAATTCAGGCCACATAGACTGGCATAGCACAGCATTTAAAGTGGTATCAACAAATTCCTCTTCAAGCAATTCTATACCAGTTCTATACAAGGTGGTAGAAGAGAGAATAATGAAGGGAAATTCTTTAAACATCAGCAAAGTGTAATGTTTATAACGGATGTTAAAGTTACAGTTTCTTTGAAACACAGGTACAAGCAGTTAATGGACAGAGTCACAAACACTAATAGGTAATTTTGTTAATTTTTTTTTTCTTCAAAACTTATTGAATCCCAGGATCCTGTCACTGATTGATAGGTCCAATGGTTAATATACCTAGCTAATTTGAAGCACAAATATTTATATTTTATATACCTAGCTAATTTGAAGCACATATTGTTAATATACCTAGCTAATTTGAAGCACATATATTTATATTTTATATACCTAGCTAATTTGAAGCATATATTGTTAATATACCTAGCTAATTTGAAGCACATATTGTTAATATACCTAGATAATTTGAAGCACAAATATTTATAGTTATATATACCTAGCTAATTTTAAGCTCATATATTTTTAGTTTATAGTTTTTTAGTTTGGTTCTGCAACATCCTGTAAAGGATACACAACTAACTAAAAAAAGAAATACTGATAGTTAATATGCCTATCTAATTTGAAGCACATATATTTATAGTTTTTATACCTAGCTAAACTGAAGCATATAAATTTAAAGTGTATATATCTAGCTAGTTTGATACACAAATCATTATCATCATCATGTGCCATGCCGATAAGCGTATGCTGTTCACCACCCCATACAATCTTCAGAATCATGGAACGTCTGTGCTGTTGTTCACTACACTTCCCCTTTCTCTGTTGGTTAAGCCATTCAAGGATCACTTTGTCTTTTCCTTGTTCCCTTTACCACCAAAATTGTCAGTTGTCATTAAGTTTTCAGCCTTATTCCTTTTCATAACATACAGTTACTATCCCTCATTTAGTTGAAGGTTATATGTTCTGTTGGCACCTTTCTGGTTTTTCAAGATGATTGTCATATTGTGCTGCAGGGAAGCACCAGAATTACAGCCTATGGCAAAAGCTAGTTTAACTAGCAAGACTCACTCCTGTTAAGAAAAGTCATTAACAATTAGAGCATGAAATTTCAGGATCACTGTTGCTATAAATAAAAAAAAAAGTAAAGATCCCTTTTAACGCCTTTCGGCGCATCGGGCTATGGGCAGAGCGTCCCATATTTTTACAGACCATCAGCACTCGGTTTTTAATGTGGTCAGCATTACGCCGGCTGTCTTTACTTTCCCAGGACAGCCCATCCTGGTACCCATTTTAGGCTGGGTCGACCTGCGACGTCCCATACCACGACAAAAATCCACGCAGCCTGCAGTGGGTTTCATTGTTGCTATAGGGTGTATTTAATTTACAGTACATGTACTAATAGCTAATATACCTAGCAATTTCACCTTGACCTTAAATCCTCGTCCGTTCACAACAAAGTCAGAAAGGAATCGAAAGCAGAGCATATTTCCTGCAGATTTTATTGGTTGAGGTTGGCTGTTTCCACAGAGTTTGACTGGAGATTTAAAATCACAAGCATCCCCATCGACTAGTAGCTTGTCATATGAACAGGGGTTCTGATCTTCAACACTGAAGTCCAGGAACTCAACACCTAATTTCTGAGGAGATAAAATGATTGATAAATGCACTGTCTTTATAAGATCACTAACAACACATGTTGAAACATAACTGTTTCTTTCAGGATCAGTCTGCAATTACTTTAACAATTTCTATTTTAAGAATTTCTATTTTCAAGTAGCCGATGTTGAAGGTAAAAGAAGTGGAGAAAGAAAAACAAAACAATATGGAAATGACACAGATAAACTTCCAGTTCAGACACAATCAGTTAATACACAGCTGTCTGGGACAGACGATTGCCAGAAAGGCAACCTGTCTTTGATTGAAATTAATGCATGGTATAGAAATAATAAACAAAAGGTAGTAAAATTACCATTAGAATTCTAATAACAGAACAAACCTTATTTACTGTTGAGATAACTGTCCACTGGCACTGGGAAAATTTTGGGTAATTCTCTGGGTAGCCTGTATGGAAGAAATAGGTCAGTTTGTGAACTCTGCCTAATTTCACTACTTTCATTAGACGGCTATCCTGCGAATAACGGTCCCGAATTATCGAGGTTAAGAAAATACCCTAACAGGGCCTCAGTCATATGTAAATTGCAGACCTTCTTCCGGTGATTATACCGCCACAGCCGAGAGTAATTCCCACGCCGTTACGTGCGACATGGAGGGGGGCTAAACTAGATGGCTGGGACTCAAGAGCAAATAAAATGGAGGAAGCTGCAGGAGATGAGGTAGCTGCTGCTCGTGAGTCCCAGCCATCTAGTTTAGCCCCCCCCCCCCCCTTCCGCGTAGTGGCGCATGGGGAACTTTCGCGGTGACTTAAACTCGGCGGAAGCTTTTCTGCGGTATGCGATACAGTCGTCGGAATGAGGTCGGCAATTTACATATGCTGAGACCCTGTAGGGTATTTTCTTAGCCTCGATAATTTGGGACCCTTATTCGGAGGATAGCTGATAATTAAGGAGACGATGGATGGGTGGACGGAAAGACATGTATGTATGTATGTATGTATGTATGTATGTATGTATGTATGTATGTATGTGTGTGTGTACGTACGTACGTATGTCTATATAACCAACCACCTCCATTATTCACCTACCTATCAATATATATATATATATATATATATATATATATATATATATATACATATATATATATATATATATATATATATATATATATATATATATATATATATATATATATATATATATATATATATATATATATATATATATATATATATATATATATATATATATATATATATATATATATATATATATATATATATATATATATACAAACATACATACATACATACGTACGTACACTTACGTACGTACGTACGTACGTAAGTACGTATGTATGTATATATATGTATATATATATATATTGATAGGTAGGTGAATAATGGAGGTGGTTGGTTATATAGACAGAAAGAAAGAAGAGTAATTATAGATAGACAGGCGGATTAGGAAAAAGGGTTGATGAATGGACAGGCAGAATAGGGTGGATGAATGGACAGACAGATGGACGGATGGATGGACGGACGGACAGACACACAGGCTAGCAGACAGAGGAATAAATGGATTGGTAGGTGGACGGAAAGACAGACAAGCAAGCAAGGTTAGACAGACGAGTAGACAATATTATCTTGAAGCAAGTAGATAAGAAACTACTAAACCTGGACTGGTAATCGTAAATTCATCCATTTCCCGGTCCAGCACAAATATACCTCCACACCGGAGAGCGACCGCGGCCGTGGACACGAGAGACCAGATTAACAAACCTGGAAGTTAGATAGGATAACATAAATCACATAATATGTTTTATAGTTTATGCAAGCATGCCAGTTTTTATCTCTCTGCTTTGTTGCTTCCTAACACTTCTGATGTAAACTGTTACAGTGATGTTTCTTACCATAAGACGGTGGTGGGGGGGGGGGTATGGGAGCTGCGTAGTCTCGAGGCATGGTGTTCGCCTCGAGTGCTGGAGGTCTCGGATTCAAGTCCCGGTGAAGGCTGGGATTTTCTCACGTAGACTCATAGTTTTTCTGTTCTTTGAGTAGTAATATAAGATGCTTGTGTGTATTGTTGCGCAAAAAAAAAAAAATCCTTGGCAGTTGGAAAGCGAAAAATAGTAGCATAACAGCGCTGCCAGGACTAAATTAGGAGTTAAAAATCTACCCAAAGTATTTTAGGATCCTCGCCGGTGCTGCAGTGTTTGTGTACTACGCTGAGAATTCCAACAGGCTTGAGTTGGAAGAAGGACGGAGCACTTATGGGTTACACCCGTGTGCCGTGATGCTGGTCCGTTGAATAAACAAACACACAAACAATCTTATCATATAGATAAAGACCTACAAGCATAGTAGTACTTAACAGTAGTAATTTACAAACATATCCAGTTCGTCTCTCGGGATTATAATTAGGATGTAAAGTGTTAATCGAGTTCTCAGAGTATAAACTTGTTATTTTATATTTATACATTAGGCTTAAAGGATAATAAATCCACGACGGCCCTTTGGGAGCGAGTGAACAGTGCGGAGGAGTAGACGGGTCATTACCGTCTGAGGAGAATTGCGCTGCAAGAAGTTACCAGGAGGTCTGGCCGACGCTCAACACTCAGGGAAAGGATGAGGCGGATATACAATCAGACGGTTACTGGTGACATCGGAACTGGAAATCTTGAACACATTACGCGTTGTCTGAAGGTACGGGTTGCCAGGTATTGCTAAATAATACCTCAGGTGTTGGGGTGCTCGATATCCTTTTCAGGACAGCTTACTTTGGCTCAAATCTGGCATCCAGCTCTCACCTCTGGCTTCACGCAGCTGCCAGCTTGCGGCTACAGCTACGCCCTCCTCCTTTTACCTGGCAACGGCTTTGACAGGCCGGCTAAACCAGGTGAGGGTAGCCGAGTGGTCTAATAGACTTCGGTGAGATTGGATCTGCCTATCCTAGCAAGCAAAGTCTGGGCTCGGCTGAATGTGCGGAGGAAGCCATTACTGGGTTCAATGGACCCGATAGCGGGTACCAGCAACACTCTGTGGAGCGCAAAGAGCACTGTGAGGCACTGCAGCTGACTTCATATCCAGCCGTCTCCCCTTGTCCTGCCACTGGATTCAGGTGGATACAGGCGAGAGAGTGAGGTCGACGAAATTGCGAGACTCTTCCTCACTTTGGTCTAATACATCGCGCAAGTCACTTTTTCCTACATGTATACGAAATGGTGCAACGATCTGCGATGCATCTAGGACAAAGGGCAGCTGAACAGCGAAGGCAGGTCAGAAAGACTCGTTAAGCAGGCCATTTGTTTACAGACACTGTGCCCTGCCCTCATTTTCCTAGACTCTTTTGGGCACGCATTGGACTTATAAGTCACCTCCATTCATGACGGATAAAAGTAAGAGTGGTCCTCATCACCAATTTAGCGTTGTGCGGTACGGAAACTCAAAAGCCAAAAAATGGACTTTTACTTCCTATACTTACTTATCTTCAAACTGATAGTTTAAAAAAAACCTAGCGGTGTCACAGGTCACGCTTTACGCGCCACATAGAAGACATGTTCATTCAAGTAGTTGATTCTATGCTTGGGTTCTCTACTGCCTACCACTTTTTAAAAAAAACTTTACGGTTGACCTCCGTTTACAGCATGCAGATTTGTAATACAGACCTCTTTAACATCAATGCCGGCATTTCTGCTTATCTAGAAGGCAAACACTTGCTACGATCTTGCACAGTGTGACCTAATCCTAATGTTGTTTATCGCTGTTTACGATCCATCGCGTACGAAATAAAAGCTTTTAAACTGAAAACAGCTTGAGCTTTTTTAAAATCTAAAACTTGTTTCCTTTTTTTTTTTTTCTCCCTATCTGCTGTCCAAGGGGACCTCGTGGCGAGGTAGTCAAGCTGTTTGCCTCGCTCTCTGAAAGTCGTGGGCTCGCTTCACGGCGGCGCCATTCAGTTCACAGGTGCAATATGTACGGATATTCCTGGGGATCGTCACCGGAGCTACGAAGGTCGTGCTTTGTGTGACGCTTTCAACAGACAGCCAGCTGTTCTGCTGAGAGAGACAGAGCCATATAAGATTAAAAACCGGTGCAATGAAGTCGATAATCTCATCTTTACCTTCTACTGTCCAGATGAAACAAGGGGATGTGGACGACTTGGGTAACCTGAAGATCGATAGTAGATAGAGATATGACTTGAAGTTTGAACAACGAATCAACATCATGGCACACAGGTAGTAACTCATCAGTGCTCCATTATTTCTTCTAACCCAAGTCTCCGAAGAAGCTCAGCACAGTGCACAGGCTCTGTAGCACCGGCGAGGATCCTGAAAAATTTTGGGTAGATTTTGAACCGCAAATTTTGATCCGGCAGCGCCTTTAGCTTACTCTTTTCAATTTCCAACTGCCAAGGGATATTTCTACATGCGCAACAATGCACGAGGGCGCCTGATCTAACTACCCAGAGACCAGGGGAAAATACTAGAAGTCCAAGTCCACGCGAAAAAATTCCAGCCCTTACCGGGATTGAACCCGGAACCTATAGCACTAGAGACAGACACCATGCCTCGAGACCACACAGGAACCCAGATAAAGATATGAAGTGAAGTGAAATAAAAGTAAAGGACCCCTTTCCACGTCTTTAGCCGTATAAGGCATCTAGGGCTAGACCTATATTTGATAGGCAAATGGGCACTTGATAGGTGATGTGGTCAGCATCGCGCCGGTCGCATTTACTTCCCAGGACTGAATCTAGTACCTACTCAGACCTGGGAGCCAAAGTGAAACCTCGAACTTCTGATCCATGGGCGAGCGCAAACGCAGCAGACTAGTCGCAATAGCAATCACTGTTGAGCAGGGTTATGCCTCGCTATTGATACACAGACGTGATCGCATCAGACGGCACCGTAAGGGAGCGTCATAAGAAGTAAAATCAAAATGCACTTTAAACATTTAAGGAGTGGAATTTAGAAGACTTGCTGGGAAACTACCTCACGGCCCTGCTTGTGAATGCCTTATATGGTAACAGAGACATGAAAATCGTATAGACAGATTTTGAGCTCATTATAAAGTAAAATTTCAAGATTTCATTCACTCGAAGTTTGAAGTTTAAAGTTTGAACAACGGATAAACATCATGGCACACGGGTTGTAACCAATAAGTGCTCTTTTTTTCTTTTAACTCAAGTCTGAGTTTGTAGAAGCTCAGCACAGTGCACTGTAGCATCGGTGAGGATCCTGAAATACTTTAAGTAGATTTTTAACTCTAAATTTTACTAGGGTAGCGCTGTTAGGCTACTCTTTTTTTTAATTTCCAACTGCCAAGGGATTTTCTACGTGCGCAAAAATACACCCGGGCGTCCCATCTCACTACCCAGAGACGAGGGAAAAATTACTAGAAGTCCAAGTCCACGTGAAAAAATTTCAAGCGCTTACCTGGGATTGAACCTAGAACCCCATTTCCTTCTATCGCGTCAGGTTATTAAATGCCAAATAATGCTTGTATATGCCACTTTTACGGCGTAATCTGGGGTGGGTGGGGTTCTTTGAGACTGAGTGTTTAGGGCCGCATGGCTAGTGCTGTCGCCACGGACTTTAGGATTTCATGTTTTGCCATGACAGAAAAAACAATCCATAACCTTACTGAGGATTTGAACCTGGGTCTGCCACATGGGAGCCCGGCGTTCTCCAACCGTTCCACCAGAAACAACTCAGAAACACCTAATGGCAGCTGGAATGTTGTACCTGAGAAAAATACTACCAGTGTTGGGGGACAGGTGGGGAAACAGCCGAGCAAGTACCCAAAGAAACAAATTAAAACCCTCAATTGAATAGTGAAGCAAAGGTAAATATGAGAGCATCGACTTCATTGCACCAGGTTTTTTCCCATATTGCTCAGTCTCTCTCAGCGGAACAGCTTGCTACCTGCTGAGAGCGTCGCACATAGCACAACCTCTGTAGCTGCGGCAATGATCCTCAAGGATCTCCGTAAAAATGCACTTGTGAACTGAATGGCGCCGCTCTGAAACGAACAGACGAACTTCAGAGCGCGAGGCAAAAAGCTTGGCCACTTCACCACAGAGACCCCCAGTGTGGATAGTGAAATGAGAGTAGGAAGTCAAGATTGCGTTGGCTATGTTGTCAGAGAAGATATATACTTGGAAACATTGTAACAAGTGGCAAAATCGGCAGGAAAAGTTCAAGGCGAAAAAGACATATATATAAGGTGTCCCAAAAGTCCTACTACAATGACTTTTCTTTATGCTGAAATTCTTCTTTTTTCTTCTGCCTTTTTATCACCACCAAACCACCACCACCACTACCACACCACCACCACCACACCACCCCCTTTTTCTTTGAGGCGTACACAGTACGGGTATTTGCCGTCGAAGTGGGAGCGAGAGGCCTCGTTTCCACTTCGCTCTACAATGTGGTGAAAGAACTAGGATTGCGCGGTAATGAACGGAAACGAACACTCAAAAAACTGGAAGAGGTAGCCGAAAAGGCCTCTAGCTGGCTTTGGACGCAACGCAACAACGTAGGGGACGGGCCTCGGTGAGCTGGTCCGGGTGTCTAGTGGAAAAGGGTTTCTCACCCCTTTGAAAGTCCATCGTGTCCGAATTGTCTGCCAGTGTTCCTCTGCCAACTGCTAATAAAGGTCCAACATGTGTCCGGTAAACCAAACGTAAGCTTGTCGCTCGGTCGTCCAGGCATGCTGACTGCTTTAATTAGGCTGCCGCGGCGACTTCTTATCTCACAGTACCTTCTGCGAAACCACCA